ATATGTGACAAGTTGAGGAGCTCTATCGTTTTCTGCGTATTATTTTGAGGAGGAATAAATGAGGGGTTTGGAGGACAAGGCGCATAAGTGCAATTTTTGCTATTTCGAGAAATACGTAAAAGAAGTTTCAAAATTACATGGACCCTTATGGCAGCATCTTTGATACTTACAAATTTGAATTTAGGAGCTAATTTTTCACAGGATATGCATTAAGACTAGTTTTACTTGAAATCATTAATACCTCAATTTTTTTCAAAAACTGCACTTTATGTACCTTGTGCTCCGAGCCTCCTAAATGTATCGTGATGTTTAAATTCATACCTTATCCACTGGCCCGTGTGCTTAGAAAAGCCCGCCACCGATGGGCTTTGCGCTTGGCAATCCTTACAAAGCTCGTGGTTTTTGACTCCCTTAATTGGTTTATGAATCGGAGAAGGCTTTTTGCGGCGCACGTTGCCACGTCACGTGTCCGCCCCCTTATTCGCGTCACGTCCACGTGAAGAACAACACGACGCAGAAGATCTCTTCAAATACTTTGAGCCGAATGTTTCATCTTTCACGTTCGTAATCCATACATGAGAGGAAAATCCTTTTCCCTCCCTCATTTCGCTCCCTCCGTTCAATCTCTCCTTGTTATTTCGTCATTCCCCGACGACTGGACGTAACTTCACTTCTAAATGGAGATGTTGCATGTGTGAGGAATTTGCGATTTGACTGTTGATTCCTATGTAAAAGTTCGCGAGAAACACGATGGTGCATGCCACTGGTTTTCACTGAAATCAACTCCCAAGCTCAAAACAAGCTCTCAAGTTGAAGCCTAAATGGAGGGGATATCCCACGCTATCCTGAGAGCCCACCTCTACATCAAGACGAACTCTTCTTGCAAAGATAGGGAGCAAATACATTAGCAGGGATGCCGTGTTTTCAGTTTTAGAGTCCCAAATAAAGTGGCAGCCCTGTCAATGTATTTGCTCCCTGTCTTTGCATGGAGAGTTCGTCTTGATGTAAAGGTGGGCTCTCAGGATAGCGTGGGATATCTCCTCCATTTTGACTTCAACTTGAGAGCTTTTTTTGAGCTTGGGAGTTGATTTCAGTGAAAACCAGTGGCACCGTCGTGTTTCTCGCGAACTTTTACATACACTGAAAAAAAAGTAGTTAGCGTTGAGAACTAATTTGGTTGGTTCTCGCCAAGTAGAATCAAAATTAGGCTTCAGAACTAATTTATTGTACTGAAGCACCAATCAATTCGCTTCATACGCTGACTTGACTTTACTAGAGCGCGAACCAGAATTGGAAAACAGCACTAGCTGTAAAATTAGCGCTGTGGTAAGACAAATTCACCTTCGGGTCAAACTAATTCGCCCTCAACACTAACTGCCACATTGTCCGTTACATTTATTTAGTTTCGAAAAAGTGGCGTCGGTACAACAGCCTCAATCGCGTCAGCTCGTGAAAATCAATTAAAATGTGAAATTTCGGGCTCGTTTGACAATGTAAATACTCCCGGTATGATTTATAGTGTCCTCTCTTTCTTGAAAACGTTCGAAAGCAACATAAATAAACCTGTTAAGGTTAGAAATCGTCTGTTCGATTCAAAACGTAAACAAGCATGATATTCGTTGGAGTCGTCAATCTTCTGTATTAAATTGCGATTAAAGCGTTCCGCGTTCAGTTTATATTTTACGAAAATCTGTGAACTTACTGCTTACTTCTATAGTTCGTGTTCTCCCGTAATTTCAAAAGAATATCTCAAGTGTTCGGACGAGATATGTTTATTCAGTGTGAACATTCGCTACCGTTTCATGTGTGAGTGTGTGTCTCTCTAAAGGATAATTCTGTCTACTTGCACATACCTATGGGATATTCCTTTCCTCTGTCGTTCATTTGGAACCGGTCAGTTGATTTTTACCTCTCATCTTTTAAGAAATCTTCTTTTCCTGAAAGTATTGTCCAGTTATCATTCGCTAAGCCGTTTTCTCCTCTCTCAGTTTTGAGGTTAGGTTGACCCAACCCTACCGAATGCGAATTAGAGTAGCGGAATTAGTTTCCAGCACTAATAGTGGTTAGTGTACAGAAACCAAAAATCATGTGTGTCCAAATCACACAATTTGAGTTAGTGTATAGAAACCATTTTTAGTTATCTGACGCTAACTCATTTTTTTCAGTGTAGGAATGAACAGTCAAATCGCAAATTCCTCACACATGCAATGTCTCCATTGCAAAATTGATGCAGCCGTTCAATTTTTTACAAGGACTAGGTGTCACCCCCTCACGACGCGGTTCAGCCCTCTGAAGCGCTTCATGCTTTAGGGGTTGTGCGTTACACGACTTTTATGATTTTATATTGAGTATGATACGAATGTGCAACTTCTTTACCAATTTTTCTCTCTGATCTCTATGTGTGATCAGAGGGAGCATTATTTCAAATTTCGGTAAAGAATGCCCAGCAGTTTCATAGTAAAAATACAATTTTATTTTGCAACCTTAAAATGTAGACAGGTTCTTTAGCCTGGGGCGACAATTCGCGATGAAGTCAGGAGAGAGGGTCGAAAAGTAGAGGAGAATCGAGCAGGAAAGAATACCCATACCCATCATTCACACCCATAATGGGTATGGGTAACAAGAAAACGCTCATCGATCATAGACTTCAAATAAGTTTTCTTCTTCTTCTTCTTCTTTTTGTAATCATTGGACTCAAAATAGGGAAATATGTGCGTTATCGGGAACGTAACCATAAGGTGAACGAAGCAGACGAGTCTTTACGACTAATCCTGATCAGGGTGCGCGAGCTAAAGTTTTAGTAAAAAAAATGTTCGCATTAAAATTTTGACCATCTTCTTGTTTCCCGTGTGATACTTCGATGTCTCTCTTCAATACCAATTTGATTGCTTTATTTTAACGAATAAAACCGTGACATTGTGGCACGCAGCGCCGCCAAGAGGTGTGACAGCTTCTGGGGGAGAGGGAGGGGCGAACCCCCTATTCTTACCACAAAATTGCGATATTTTCGATCAACCTCTGTCCGATCTATCATCATGGCCGTAGAAGGTACTTTCCGCGCCCGCAACCGAGAGGATAGGCAACACGCAAGTACCTACTCCAGAAATCGAAATTTTATCCCAATAATATTGTGATAAGTTCAACGCTTTAAATTGCGAGGACAGCAAATATGCAATCATCGCAGCACAGCACATCATGCAGCTGATAATCTCAGATTATGTTGCAACTTTAATTCGAGCAAAACCTTCCATCTGCAGGTTGCTAGCTCGGACGAAACAGCAAATTTGACGGTGCAATTGCTATACAAATGGCACCCCATCAGAAATAATATGCCGTATGCTCGGTGTTAAATTCGGTAGTTAAAAAAGGAGTAGTTTTTACGACTGTCGACTAGGGTGAATAACTTCGGACGGTAGTGGAATATACGTGACACAGCACACTCGAGGGAACTCTGACCACGCGAGAGGAATATCAGTAGAGGGGAGGGGGCCATCTTGACCACGAGAGGTAAATATACTACACGATTTTATTTAACTCTGAGGGATTTGGACCAAACGTCATTTTGACTTGCACCAAGTGGGACACGATTTCAACTTAGAGTAGTAGTGGAATGAACTTTTAGATTTGTAACAATTCAATTAGTGCTTTCATGGGCTCTGAACACAGGTCGTCACCTTCCAGGCAAAGTATCACAAGCGCCATGCGACGTTTAAAAATTTCCGCCGCCATTATATTTTTTTACAGAGAAATTGTTCAACGAAGCTGTCCGAAAATTACACCGAATTTTTTTTGTCCTGCCGATAAAATTTAGTGAAATTTTCGAACAGATTCAACCAACAATTTCTCAGTAAAAAAATAAAATGGCGGCGGAAATTTTTAAACGTCGCATGGCGCTTGTGATACTTTGCCTGGAAGGTGACGAGGTTATGGACGAGGCCTGTGAGGACACTTTCCGCGCTAATTATCGCTTATCACCCTGTTTCGGCACGTCTTTCGAAGCAGCTGTCACACCGGTCTCCCAACCAATTCCTCTATTACACAAACCGATTGCGGTGGACGCACGGGTCGTAAGACAACATGTTGGAATTTTTTAGCCAACGTGCGTTAAAATGAGTGCGTTGTATTGAGATATCGGCTTTATGCTGAATTTTTAACGCACGTTGGCAAAAAATTCAAACATGCTGAATTCCTGTTTTGGTCAATGTTTTGCCTCCGACCCACCACCGCTATTTAGCAGTAATTCATTTACAAAATTAGCAAGGTTGCTACAACGTTACTTTTTGAACAAATTTGCAAAATTAACGATTAAGGCGCTCGCCGTGCTGTGCGCGCAATGCGTGAAATATTTCTGCAGTCTTGTATGTAAGCGCTAAAATTCTTCTCACGCCAAGTGGACTGACTGCAGTGCGTTTGGCGCAATGCGAGAAGTATTTAGGCAGTCTTGTAGGCGCTAATACGCGCGTCGCGCCGATCGCACTGTTTGGCGCAGTGCGAGAAGTATTCATGCAGCCTTGCAGGCGCTAACATGCGTTCAACACCGGTCGCACGGCGTTTAGCGCGATCATTCGAACTCGTATCAGAATAATACAATTGCAGTAACGAATAATGGGGCTCAAAAGGCCCATGTCGACGCCGTATGAGCATTCCAACGTTGCTTCGTTTCTTCCGATAAAATAGTTAATTTTCACTGCCCGCGCTGATTTCCCTTAAAGCGCCGCACCGCCTCTCGCTCAGTGCAGCGGCCAATCAGCAGTGAAAAGGCGGGAAAAATTGAAATTTTATCAATTATTTCACGAATTTTCTCAAAGTTCACAAGACACGAAGCTGTGTTTATGCTAACACTCGCATCCTAGAGTGCGGAACTTTAATGTTCACCGCCCGCACAGATTTCCCTGCGATTTCCCGCCGCGCGCCGCTCGTCAAGTGCAACGACCAATCAGCGTTGAGATTTTATGACGTCAGATAAAAACAGTGCAGTCAGTGATTGATGACGTCACATCTGCTTTGTTGTTGTGATAATGGTGATTGATATCAGATAATAATTAGTTTTCTTGGTTTTGCCTCGACCAAATTGTCAATCATCAGCCCGGCAGGAATCGCAAATTTTCTCGTTCATGGTTTGCCAATTAGTAATTCGCCGTGTACGTGAATTGATGGTCTCTATCACGCTTCGTTAGAATCCGATTTCCTCAATTCCTTCCTCGTCACCGTCACCCGTCAACCGTGTTGTCGTGTCCCCGTGTCAAATTGTTCTTCGCTGATAAGAGCTAAAGTAGCAACCAACATGGGTCTTCAACCGTCGACAGATCTTTCTCGCTTTACTTTTAACTCATTTCATAATTAGTACGGCAAGTGTCATCACCCATCCCTGCTAAATGACTCACAGGGTGTAGTGGCCCCCTTCCAACTTCCATCTGTGTACACTAACTGCGGAGCCCATTTCAACCCTAACTTAAGTACTGTTCTCCACCAGGTGAGTTTATTTGTTTCAAGTGCCCCTCAGTTATCACTCCTCTTTAGCTTCCAAAATCATGGTCAAAGTTAATGCTTGATATAATCTGCATGTGCCGTCCGCAGCCACCAGACAGTGCCGCTGGGTTGACCACTACCTGCACTGTGCCAGTATAGCGATCTTACTGATTAAAGTTCATCTAGCTTTATTACGTTACATTGTGACCATCCAAATGAACATTATCTTTAATATTGGCTTCTTTGAAAAGTTATTTTTATCGTGAACTGACCCGACAAATGCACACCGTAGACTCTTACCCCACGTTCATCAATCTGAATTGCTGTATTTTTTAGAGAGCAGATTGTGTCGGAATGTTGAAATTCTATCAAAATTTTCAAAGTATTGATGGTCTCAGAAAAATTGAAGGCTGTATCATCATTGGGTGGTATAAATGATTGTATCCTCGAATCGATGCCAGTTAATATCTATTGTTGGATTCTTAACTTTCAGCATTCGATTTCTACTGAGTCTTTTACAGATTTATTCTAGATAGAGAATTAGTTTTAATGAGGGTATTCATATCCTTATTCACTCAGAAAAGAATAACAGAATTCTCATGGCATAAATCAAGGAAGTTTTCACGGTAATTCTGTTGACTAGTTTTCAGAAGAAACATCTAGTCTGACAGGAACCTAGCAAAGCTGCAAACGCCAGTTATGTGGTTTCACACTTTCGCCATCAACATAATCCAATGGTCGAACTCTAAAATTTTGGTAGCACTCTTTAACAAGTAAGTATTCTGATTGTCCACCTGAATGTTTCATTTACGTTGGGCGGTTTATGTTTAGGCAATGCAAGGTTGAGGCTATAACAGCAACTACACCTGTAGAGAACAAAGAAACTCAGCGCAAACTTAACCTTGAACACTGCTATGCATTAGAAATAAAATTATCCATAAAAAAACATTCATTTGAGTGGTCATTCTTTATACTATTGCCAGGCAGCTGCGTGCCGTTGGAAATTGATTGTGGAACGGAGGAAATTGCCTGGAGTGTTGAACCATGTTTGCAGAAATGAAGAATAAGATACGGGAGAAGGCAGGTGGTGAACTTCCTAAGCTACCTAGTCCAGCCACTGCATTGCGCCGACACTCACGCCAGAGCTCTGCAAGTAGTGTTAGCAGCCTTATGCAAGAAACCCCTGATGTAAGTATCTTGAAAGCTTGGAGATTTTTTTCTCGCTCATAAGTCTGATTCCAGTCTCAACTTGATAGCAACTTTTCAGCCTTCCAACAGAAAATACTGCTAGGAAAGAATGTATTTTACACACTTAATCACATATATCGAGGCGCAGAAAGTTTCTAGCATCCCCCCCCCCCCCAATCTGATCCAATTAACCTTCTCTCATTTTTGACCAAAATTCATGATAAGTTTCCCCTAAAGACTAATTAATTATTTTAAAAGTAGGAAAACCTTTCTTTCATAAAAAATTGGATGTTTTTACCAACCTCTAAAATACTGTATAACCAGAAACATCAAACTCCTTCAACAGTGTCCCCTATTTTTCCAAAAATCATAGGGCTTCCGCCATTTCATGCGACCTGATTGGTTGCATGGTTGGAAAGTTCCTTCACCTCTGAGCATTCTTTAACGCACTTGAATTGCAAGAAAATTCTCTACTGAAAATCCCTGGAAAGTCAAAAATAAGGTCGAAAAGTTTCAAATCTTCGGAAATCTTCTCTGTTCACATAATTAAATTCCGTGCGTCTTTTCGTTGCCTTTTTGAGAAGATTCTCAAAGATTTTCATCTAAAAGTATCAAAAGACAAGTATTCGCACGTATTCCAAAAAAATGTGTGTGGATGTACAAGTGTTCCCATGAAATCAGATTGTTCAAGTGAGGAAAGAAGAGCCAAAATTTGTCAACCTTTCAATAAATATATGCATCTTTTTTGTTTCTTCATCACTATGTGTCTTGTCCGTTTCATCTTCTTAATGGTAATATTCAACCTTTGAATTTTTCAAAGTAGATAAGCTGATGGTTTTTTTCTTTGCGCAGAAATCTAGTTCAGAGTACAATGGCACACGAGACAGCTTTGGATGGAATGGTGCTAAAAACAAGCTTCCAAAAGGTACAGAGGAGAGTAGACAAACATCAAATGGTTCTGATGAAGATGCTCGGTGGCGTAAAAAGGAACAGACATACGTCGATGACTTGCTCAAACAGACTAGAGAACTTCAGGCTGCTCTCAAGAAGCTTGAAGGTTTGTCACCAATGTACCCAAAATATTAAGCAAAAAAAATTTTCAAAATTTTCATTTCTTCCCAAAAAAGACAAATAATAAAGGCCACCTCATAAAATATTTTGATATCAAAAGCAGGCCTGAAAGCATGTGACTCAGACATAAAGCATTTTTGCTGGTATTTTGGTTACTCAAAGTAACTACATACATCCAGCGTTTTTAACTGAAAATTAATGTGAAGTATTTTTGATAGGGCAGAGGAGAGTCACTCTAGAGTTTTATGGCATGAAAAACACTTATAATACTTTACAAGTATACCCAGGTGAATTTATCCCAATAAGTCGTAGAATAGTCAAAATTGGTGCAGGGAAATTAAATGTGGCGTCATTTTTTGACCGCCGTTGAGTTTGGTCAAAGCTCACCTGTGTTGATGAAAAGTCACTTATCAAAAGTCAGTAATAGTTTGTCAAAATTGTAATTAAAATCTAGTTTTCATCCAGTTCCAATTTTAACAAAATGATGATACAGGATACAAAACCAGTTTAATTGTTTGTAAAATAATTTTTCAACCCCTTACCTTTCATATAACCGAGAATCAATTTTTTCAACCCAGAAACACTGTAAATGGTAGACCAGTAGAAGTGCTAGGTAATTGTTTTGAATGACAGTAGGCTCATCTACATGAATTGGATAATCTATACAATTTTAATTTTTTTAGAATATGAATCAAAATTCAACTCACTGGCAGAAGAAAAGGATCAGCTAGAGAACTTCCAAACACAGGAAATAGCGAAGATTAAGCATTTGGTAAGTTGCCCTTCGTCAGAACTTTATGGTGTACCTTCTGCTTATTTTATAATTGAAAGGACACATTTCCTCCACAAATACATGTGTATATATCTGTAGTTTAGCGCCAAAAGATTGCTCAAAGATTGCCATAAATTTTTTTCCTACATTAAAATAGAACTTGCAAAAGCCCCACTGTTCATATTGTAATTTGAAATTTTTTACATATCTACATACTGCTGGCTTGACTGGTACAAACCCAATTTTTTACGTTTATCAAAACCTCACTTAGCACATCAAATTTCGAGTCATTCAACTTTTAAAAATAATATGAATACAATTCTCCCGAAAAAAAGTTCATCATACAGCCATACAAGCCATGATTCAATCCAATAACACCTTTATTTACAACCTGGATTGTAGTCTCTATAAGTTTTCTATGCAGTCTTGTGTACAAAATGAGTGAAATAATTTAAATTGAAAATATAGTTCAAACTTAAAAATTTCTGCATCCTCTCAGCAATTTTCCTCCCACACAGGATGACGAATTTGCGTTTTTAAAGTCTACAGTAGTAACTTTTTAACTTTTGTCCACAGTTGCTAGCAAAGGAGAATGAGAACAATTCGAATGTAGCACAATTGAAGGAAAATCAAGCTCTAATAGATTCTTTAAAGGCTGAAGTTAGCAGACTGAGACCATTTGAAGATCGAGTCAGTAGTTTAGAGGTAAACTTCTCAATATTCTAAGTTAAATTATAATTTTTATCTGTGAATTAGCTGCAATGTAAAACTTTCTTGTACATTATGCTCAGCTTTGCACTTATTTTATGTTGAAGTACAATACACATCCATCTTTGACAGACAATTTTTGCAAGGGTGGATAAAGCTCTAAGACACTAGCTGATTTTTGCTTCATCCTTTCAACCGAAAGTTCCAATTTTATCAACATTTTCGCCAAGGCTAGCCTGTATTTTCAACATTTCTGCCAAAATTCATGAGTTTTGTCAACATTTTTGAAATTTTTGGGAAAAAGTCATTATGATTTGAAAATATCCACCAATTGCTTTCTGTGCCTCCCATTTGCTGCAATCCACAGGTCACCAGCTCGAACATCCTCCGTATTCTGGTTTTCTAAAAGTTACTGCAGTTAATGGATTTAACTAGCCGACTTGAAGGTCTTGTAGTGTTTTTCTTATCAAAAAATCTGCAGGAGTAATTGGGAAATGGGTTAGCTGTGCCAGTCACAGAATCATGTTTTGATGATTTCAGTACACACTCTAGTAAAGAATTTCAATATCTGTCCAAACACTAAGTGTCTACGTCCAACATTACTTGATGGGATATTGTCCTTCAAGAGTCATGGCATATGACATCATCCACCACATCATGGTGCATACCATGATTTTTCCACCTTGATTTCATTTGTGTTTTAAGTTGAGTAAGTAGTTCATCGGAAGTGGGAGAAACCGTGTTATATACTACCATGGTGAATGATTTCATGCACTGTGTTTTTTAAAGGGCAATATCTCAACAATTATTGGACGTAAATACTAGGTACTCAAATGAATCCTAATATTTTTTGCTAATCTGTAAGCCCAAAACTGCAAAACGCAATTTCTTGACTAGAGCAGTTAACCCATTCTGTTTTGTCCGGGTCCTCAGGGAAGAAAAGTTGATTGCTTGAGTTTATCAAGGTGAGAGATTGTAGGAATCAACAAAAATGGAGAAAGTCTCACTTTTTCAGAGAATCTTTATTTTGTAAACAACAAAAACAGATAAATGAACTTTAAGGGTAAAATGTGACATTTTTCCACTATTCTAAGTTGGTCACCTTATTTAGTTGTTACTTCAAATAGTTTGACTGCGAAAGTAGCGTACACCAGATTGCCACACCTTTTCAGCTTAAAATTATGGGATTTTCCTTTGTTTTGCACCATTTATTTTCACTGTATCTTAAATGTTCAAACTTGGGTATCCTTTTTGGCATCTGTCATTTATTGCTCGATAAATCCCACATTTTGTTTTTAAGCATTAATGCCATCCAGTCCTCTCTACTTAACGCAAGAGGTTATCTTGACGAAGGTAACCTAGAATAAAAGTGGGTACTTGATTGTAAATCTTATGTGAATAAGGAATTCATTAATGAAAAAATAGACTATCGGCAAAATACATTTTGGAATCGCTGGAATCCAAAGGGTAGCATTTTTAATCATCGTCATAAGCAATTTATGTGAAGAGGTAAGATGAGGAAGGCTTACAATACGTACTGAAACCTGAGATCAAAACTTGAAGTGAGTCTGGAAATTGAGTCAAATAATTGCCTAAACCATGTAAACGGCAAATTTATTGAGGTAAATACTTGCCTAAGACACTTAATACTTTGAACACTCTTATGCATCATGCACACTCAAATCTTATTTTTAACGTAGTCCTCACTCCTCCGATTCATATTCCGCCACTGTCAGTGTGTGCAAAATTTTAGATACTCGACAGCTTGATCCTAATAGTAATCAGTTTAGCCTACTGTAGAACAAAACTAGAGGAGTAGACTAGCTATTGTCACAGATCATGCCCTGTGCACACGCTTGCTCTATTTTTATATAGTTCATGACCTTATACAAACTTGCACTGCTCTTCTCAAAAAATTTTAAAACTCTTAGCTTTAATGAACAACAGCCACTTTTATATGAGCAGAGGTAAGACAGCTCTATCGATAGCACTACCATCCCTTAATTTGATTCATGACACTGATTTGTTTAAACTACTATCTCAAAAGGAGTCCTTTGTAGGAGATAAAAGGCATATTTCCAGTCAATTCATTCCAGAATTTATTTTTAATCTAATGAAAAACTTAGTTCCCTAAGTACGTCTGCACAGATGAGAGACTTAGAGTTTTTAATGCTGAGTGTTTTCAGCTCTTAAACTCTTAATTAGGGGAATCGCCCTCTTTGTAGTTCCAAGAACCTTGATCTCCATCATTAGGGATAGAACTTTAAACAACATCACGATCCATATTTGTTGCTTTTTTGTGTTTTGTGTATATTTTTTGCTTTTATTGTTTGCATTTTATGTTGTGTATCTATCGTTGTTTTTTGCTTTTTCTCACGCAGTTTTTTGTGTGGTGCATTTTTTTTTTTGGTTCATTCATCAAGGGTTTATTTTGTTCTGCTGCTGATTTCTCAAATCACAGGTATGTTTCATTTGATATTGAAAGTATGTTTTCATTAAGGATTTTTTCCCCTTCTTTCTAATACCATAGTAACCTAATTTTTGGGAAAAGGGAATTACTTTAGGGAGGATAATATTCTCTCGGGATGGAGGGGGTAAAACGCTAAATAAAAACTCATCAAAAATGCATTTTAACCGGGGTGTAGAAATTAAGGGCTCTTTTCGGTTGTGGTGCCTCAAAATCTTTGCTAGTGTTTCATTCATAACGATCAAGTCAAACGTATGTAATTCGTTGACACTTTTACTGATTATTTTTATGATTTTATAATGCTATAAACAAAAAATTTCAGAGACTTCTCCGAATAGTTTCCTCTCTCAAATACGCACATATTAGCAGTGGAGATTCTGAAGTGCTGACAAAAAATGCCTTTCTGCCCCTAATGCCTCAATTTTTATGTTTGATCCTTTTCCCAGATAGCATACTTTGAAGTTGCTTGATTTTCCATAGGCTTCAAATTTATTCCTTAAAAAATAAGATATTCTTAATTGAAATGAAATCAACGTTACTGTGCTAAGAAGAAATATAGTCATAACAAGATGAGACTCCTTTCCTTGTAGCTTTCAATTCAAGAATTTTTCATGCTTAATGTCACTGACATACAATGTCCATCGTCATTTATTCTTCTGTTGTCATGAATCATTGATTAAAATTGTTTCTTTGATCTGCAGGATGATATGGAAATTTTACGTCATACATCAGAACGTGAGCGCTGGCAGTTGTCTTCCAAACTGGCACAAAATGAAGAAGAAATCTCTCATCTAAAGGAGCGGGTGGCTGTTCTGAGTCGTCGAGCGCAGGCAGAGTGTCAAGCACTTGGAGCTCAGCTCACTGTTGATGAAAGAATCCAAAGTAAGCGAATCTGCCGTCAGAGTACCTTGCAGATAAAGCTTATCTTTTTTATGGTAGTTAGACTGATTTGTGATGAGGTTTCTCAAAATCATTTGTTTGTGTCATCTTGCTTCACCTGAGAGACAGAAAACACCTACAAATTATCAAAATATCATTCATCAAGTCGGTAACGTTGCATGGTGGCAACGATCATGGTGTCAACAAACCAAAAATCTGATCATGGAGTCAATGATTGTTGACGTCGTGATCAGGCAGTAAAACGCAAAAATGGGCCCTGAGCATGGTGTCAACGATCACGGTGTCAACAAACAGAAAAATATCTTCCTTGTGAGTAAAATTAAAAAATTAAGTGTACAGGAGAGGTCTGGGTCACGTATAATTTTTTATTTTTGGATGATCATGGTGTCAACAAAAACTTAGAAAAACTGTTTGTTGACACCATGATCGTTGACACCATGCTACGTAATCAACAAGTCCCTTCTTTGCTCCTCAGTTGACAATTGCAAAGCTCAATAGGGTATTTTTAAAGAACTGTAATCCACAAAAGAGCATAAAGAATTTTTGTTTACATCGCATTAGTTGAAATTCTGTTGTTGTATATACATCAGGATAAATGTCAGTGTAAAAAATCATCAGTCTATATTACCTAACAGATTTTTCTTGAGCACGTCAGAGAGAAAGAATGGCCCCTGTTTTTCCGGACAGTTGATTTTTATCATGACATGAGTGTCTACCTAAAAATTCAACCTAAAAATTTTCTGCGTTGTCAAAACTGAGAAGATGGTTCATATATATTATTATGATATATTGTCCCGAAGGTGTTAGAGATGATGGGAAAAGCGTAGGTATTTTAAATAGGAGTAGGAAATACAAAGTTTTTGAAGCACTAAACAATTCAGGGCTAGATGATAGAATTTCTACTGCACAAAGGAATTTTCGGATTTTTTTGCTTTTAAATAAAAAAGACCATAAAGAGTCAGCTAAGTCAATTATTTTTCAGGGATGCAGAAACTTCTCGAGAAAGTGCTCAACCATGTGTTTTGACACTGTCTCAATAGCATGCTTTTTTTTTCTTCTGAGGGGACAATTTTTTGAAAAATCTTGAATATCCTCCTCGTTTTTCTCGTGTTAGAAACCAGAGGAAATCAATTTTTGCAAGCAAATTCCTCATAGGCTCTCCTGACTCATTCGGCAACCTTACCAAAACTTTTAAGAAGTTGGTGAGTATCTTTAGTAGAAAGCACAATACGTTCTCTTGACAAAGCTTTGAATTGCACTAACTCCATCCATAATTTTGTTTGATTTAGGTCTGTTGGGCGAGCGCTCCTTGCTTGAGCGCAGGTTGGAGGAGGCTCACATTCACTTGTCAGAAATTAAAACAACGTGGAGCGAAAAGATTTCATCTCTGGAGACTCAGGTGAGTTTTTTGTGATGCCAAAAATAGAATATATGTGCCTGGCATTACTATCAGAGTTCAAGCCTTAGATTCCTGGTGTTGACTTGAATTATTATCTAATCTTTCCTGACCTAAGGGCGTGACTACTTCTGAAATGAACTCTTTAGCAGTGGCAATTCTTGAAAGTTGGTAGTACTGCTTGTCCTTCTCTTAAATGTATGTAAAATAATCAATGCTTGGTGTGGTAGCTTGTCTCACTCAAAATCGATATTTTTAATGGATTTAAATGAAGAAAAAATGGTGTTGCCAATTTTCAAGAATTTTCACTGTCTTGTCGTCGGTACCATTTAATGCTTTTCCGGGCTCATCTTGATGTTTAGTTACGTCCCCTAATGAGCCGAGGGATTAACTGGAAAGGCAGCTCAATTTTTTTTCTTTTTTTACCCAAAAATTGGTAACTTCTTTTTGAGAAAAGAATGCACAGTTTCCTACATTGTCAGATAATTTTTTTCCAGGAATTAAATGCCTTTATTCATCAGTGATCGTAGTTTTGAGACACAGCTTTTTAAGTTTCCAATCTGTCAAATTTGGAGTCAAAGTTTTGGATTAAAATGAAACTTTCCATCGTCTATTGGCACAAAATTAAGCCAACTGTCTGTAACTTAATCTTCAGGATTCTGTACAGTATCTGAACTCAAGTTCCGATTTTTGGACCTTGTTGACAAATTACGAAAGTTGGAAAATGTGTCCTCGTGCACTAAAGTGTTTTTCATTGGAACCATCACTAACTGCATTACATTTATGCAGAACTAAATTTTTTTAAAATTTTTCCTTGTTTGTTGCAGGTGGAGCGTCTCGGGCGCCAAGCTGTAGAGGAAGGCTGTGAGCGTAGAAAAACAGAGGCACGGATCGAAGAACTTGAAAGGCGATTACGAGAGACGCAAGAGGAAAAAGAGACGCTCTCTAAGAAGTTTGATGAACTGAGTGCAGAAAAAGTCAAGTGTGAAGAAGAGCTCAAAGTTTTAGAACAGCAGATCGTAAGTGGATGAGGTGTTGTGTTTGTCCAATCAAGTAGTTTGTAGATGCTTCCATTGGTCAGATCTGATTTTAAGTCGTCAGTGTTTCTCAAAAACCAGCCGTAACTTTTTCTAATTAAGGCTTTTATTAATTTTTATTTTATTTTCAATATCTGCAGTCATTAATTTCTGTAGCATTCCATTTCTGTAGAAAAAAAGAATGAAAAGCAATCAATGAATCTCAATTTTATCCTTTTTTACCGTTTTTTTTTTTCACAAAACATTTGGCTTTTGCCCACCAACAAAAATAAAAAGCCTTTCCTATGAAAGCAATAAAACAAGACAAGTTGAAAACTTATCGTCAGTAACGGAGGAAGTGTCAAAATATCAAAAATTAAGTGAAGTGTCACATTGCAATTCATGCACCAAGGACACCATGCTGCATTACAGGCTAGGTTCCACCAACATAATATCCATAACATCCTATAGATAGCGTCAGTAGTTTGCTGCACGGCAGTTTCCAGAAATAAAAATGTGAATAACTCAAAATTCACTTTTCGGCACCTAGCCTGTTATTCATGATTAGTTTTCAATTATTGCACTGCACAAAAACTAATCTCAAGACCCACTCAGTGTGGTGGTCTGGTGCATAATTTATAATTTTAATCACAGAAGTTGTATTATATTGTTTTTGAATATTCAGTAGAGCATTTTATTTTCTTCATTCCTTGTTATTTTTACCGCACACCGTTTAGAGTCTTAATTGGACTACATTTTGCAATTAGGAACCACTATTTACGGCTCACTTTATAAACAATGTATTTTCCATTATTTTCCCTAAGCCAATAAGAGCTTTTACAAATGAGTCAGAAATTGTAGTTCCTAATTGCACAATGAAGTCAAATTACTCCCCCAGTCCAGATTTATTTTTATGCATGCTTGTAATTACTGTTTCGTGATTTTTTCCCCCTATTTTGTTTCTGTTTCTGCATTCCAATAAATACTGTACAAACCGTAGAATAATTTTTCTTTATTTCTTTTTCTCTCAAAGTGTACATCCTCTGACTGGATAAAAATAACAACAAATTGAAAAAACTACAAATTTTGATCCTTTTAAGTTTTTACTACGCTTGATTTGCTTTTAGGAATTCTGTTGAAATTCACTGACTTGAGAGCTGTATGTTTTCTCTTAAGTTTTAATTTTATTCTCGTACGTTTGATAAAGAATTGGCATATGCAAGGGCAATCAGATATTAAATTCGAACATATCGTTATTTGTACGAAAGTTTGTTTTTAGTTCTTAACTGGCTTTTTCCGCTGAATTTTACCAATCAGTTGGGCTGGATTTTTAAATTCTCACTTATTAAAGAACTGTCTCTAAGATTTTTTTATCAATCTCCTAGATAAGTAAGCTGTTTGAATATTAACGTCGAGTTTTTAACAATGCCGCATTTTTAAACAGTGTTAATGTCTTGTCAAATAAATTGGTCATTACTAAAACAAAAATATTCTGGCCCTCTCTCTTTGGCATAAAATTGGGTCGTTCAAAGTAGGAAAAATCATTCTCTGTATCAAGGATGTTGAAATGACAGGTTTCCATAACTTCTTTTGTTATCTAAAAATTGATCAGCAGGAGAAAATTTGGAACTGGTAACGATTCCACGAATGTGGGAATGTATTTAGTTTTGATTAATCTATTTTTGAAACTTAAAGAATTGTTTTAACTTTCAAAGCCTCTAAAATATCTCCTATCAACGAAAATATCTCTTCATCATATCCTGTGCTAACCGCCTCTCAACTCTAAGACTGAGTATGTGAGTCTTGCAGGCAGTCTTTAGAGTATGCTACCGATCAATCCTGCGTTGTCTCTCTTACTTTATAACACCATCGTCAGGAATACAATTGTTTTATCATGTAATATGTTGACTCTTAGATGGTGTATGCAGACTTTCTTGGCTTTTTCAGACCTATGGTTTATTACATTAAGCCATAAATAAAGGCAACTTCTCTTCTTACAAAATTCTTGTTTTGAGTGGGGTTGGACAGGCAACAACAGGTCCTTGATGGCATCAGAGGGACTTGTACTGTAAATCAACATTTGAGATCCTCACTAAAGTGTTCTGCAGCAAATTGGGTTTTCTTATTGTTTAGTCAATTTTGCCAATTGTTGTTGTTAGTTTGTTGTTTTTTTTTGTTTTTGCAATTTTTTTTTTTTTTTAGTCAATTTTTTTTTGTTTTTTTTTTGTTTTTTGTTTTTTTTTTTAAGTGTCTCTGCCTCTCTTCTCTGAACATATATTGGCTTAAGGAGTTCCCTTCAGTTTTTTAGATTATCACAAATTCCGGTCGTGGCACCTTCCTTGGTAGAAGAAATTTTCAATATTTTGTTGAGATTTGATAAATTCTGAAAGATTTGAATTTTCTGAAAAAAAAGAAAAAAAAATTACTATTTCGAAGTTACTACTGTTTTTCAATAGTTGTCTAGACTGTTTGTTTGTTTTTCCGTACGAATTTTCAATCTTGAGAGGAAAATTTCATAACGTCAAAATATGAAAACGGTTATAAGGTTTAAAAGCATCACAACTATGCACCTTTTCACTTACAGTTTGTTGTTTTCTTGGTAAAATTAACTTAGTGCATGAAAAGCTTATTGCAATTTTGTTTTACTTTACTCAGTATTTTGTCCTATTTTTAAACAAAATTGCTGGAAATTTTTAAATCTCGCAATGGAGTACATATCATATTATTTAAATGAAGGCCAGAGTTCGATTCACTTTTATCACAGCAATATTTCCTATGTTTCAGGCTGCACTGTCGGCAGACAAATCTGGGCTAGCTTCACGGTTAGCCGAATCAACAAGTGCCCTTTCAGCAGCAGAAGCAAGCAATAAGGAGCTACGTGCGGAGTTGGCTGTGTTTCGAGAAACTCTCATTCGTGAGCGGAAGGCAGCAGAAGAGGCAAAACGGGTGCTAGAGCGGGAGAGGACAGAGAAAGATGAAGCGCTCATGCGAAGCGCTGAAATGTCAATGAAAGCGCAGCTCGCAGAAAATGCGCTCAAAGCCCTCAGGCTAGAGAACCAGGAAAATGCCCAGAAGATCCTGGTAAATACCTCAACTAAACTGGGAGAGCAAGGATACTTGCCCTAGTTTGATTTTTTATCTTACTAATAAACAAAAAGGAAGTAGAAAAGAAATAAAAAACTGAAACTTACCAACTAAAACTTTAAAAACACATTTAATTTGCATTTCTAATTTTTAATTCGTAAATTTGAGTCTTACATTTCTTTTCTGATCTCTTCTCATTAATCATTTATCAGTTCCTTATCTCATTCTTTCCATTGATTTTATGATTTTTCATTTCTTTTAATCTAGTATCTACTAATTCTCATATCTTTCATATTTGAAAATTGGTGTCAAAACTCATGCGTACGAAAGTTTCGGTCATACAGTAAGAAAGAAAGAAGCACTTTTATCCAAAAACTATTTTTTGAATTTGCTCATTAAATGTCTTTCTCAGAAATTTTCCACTGTTGAAGCTGATGTAGCGATACGGGATGAGGAATGGGGACTGCCGAAAACCCTCTCAAGTTCTGAGGTTTGACGCCTCCAGATTTTCTATTGGCAATTTCGATGTGAGTACACATCCTGTTTTTGCTTTTTCAGGATGAGCAGAAGTCGGAAGATGAGAAAAGTATACAAGCCAATGAACTAAATTCTAAACTTGTCGATCTAGAAAATCAACTAGTAGAGAAAAATAAGGTACGCAATTCTCTCTATTCATCTTTTATCTTGTTTAATTTTTTCATTTTTCTTTATTAAAATGTCCTGTCAAACCATCAAGAGTCTCTCACTGCACAAAGAGATGCCGAAGGTGGTGACGAGCAGAGAAATGTACATTTTTCGTAACAGCTAGCAAACTCAGGTCTATTGAAAATCGTCACACACATTGGTGTAAAGCACATTTTCAAAGCCTTATTCTAATATGCATATAAGCAAAAGTGTATTTCTATGTCCAACTAAATTTGAAGGTGGCCGCCTCATCATCACCGGCTATATTTTCTCTATGCTCTCTACTCATACCATTGAAAAATAGACTGTTTGAAGTTTTGACCTGCAGTGTTCAGGTCTTACAATTGTCCCCTTCTGATGCAAATTAATGCCTACTATTGGTTGGAAAATCGATGACGGATATACCAGAGAGTGTCTCCTATTGTATCTTGACAAAAATCGCTCTCCGAAAGTTGATTCTTTCGAGCTTCGAAATCTCTCTCTCTTTTAATGGTCACTTTTAAATATCTCACTCAGGAGGAAACTGGCTTACCGTACTATAGCTTACAACCGCCAGGATGGTTTCCTAGTTTTTTTTCCAAAGCCAGAAAAATGTAGGCGCCAAGGTGACTAATGCAACAAAGACAATGCCTTAAGCAGAAAAAATTATTTTCATTTTGTTTCTCTTTGCAGACAATCCGAGTATTGCAGCAACGAATGAGTGACTTGAAGAAAATGCTTCAAAAAGAGGTTGTGAATAGTGGCGAATCAAATTGTGTGTCTCGGCTTCCGCTAGATGAGGATATCAATCTGAAATATTTGAAGCATGTTGTGATCAAATTCCTCACCTGCAGAGACTATGAGGTAATTTTTTTTTTTTTCATGTAGTACGCTGCTTTAGTTTTATGAAATGCGTTTTGCAGGAACAAGATTGCAGAAGAAAAAAAAAAAGGACAAAAATTCCGATTGCTAGAATTGTAAGAAAATTATAAAAATCAGGAAAGAGGGGAGTTTTGCGTTTGTAGGGGAATTTTTTTTCAGAGTGTAGGTGTGAGAATTGGGGTGTATTTTTGTCTGCTTTTGGTAATTACGGACATTTTTATCTCTCTCTCCCTCTTCTCTCCTCCCCTTTCTCCCCCTCTCTCTTCAAAAAGTGAAGGAAAAAAGGTGAATTTTGGTATTCGAAGTCAAAGACTTTCTTGATAAAATAAGAGGAAGTCAAAGGAAAGTCACAAAATATTTAAATTGTACAACATTTGAAACCCTGGTTATAATTTTGTCATTATGTGTAGAAAAATTTAGGAAATTAAAGAATTTTCCATCATTTTTGATAGAAGTATACGAGAAAGTTTGGGAGTTCCTCTTTCTAAGTCAAACCATACCCTACAAGCCTTGAAAGAAGGCATTACGCATAAGGTGTCAAATAAGTACTTGAATATTTTGGTAGAAGCATCTAGCTTCATCGAGTTTTGGTGCCGACTGAAACGGTCTCAATAAATTAATCTTGTTTACCCTCCATAAGTATAAATCCGTAATTTCCCATAGGCGCAGCATTTGACGCGGGCTGTTGCAACATTACTGCGGATGTCAGCCGATGAAGAGCGATTGTTACGAGAAACAGTGGACTGGCGCATGTCGTGGTTTGGCTCAAGACCTCAACTTCCACCTTTGCAACGGTGATTGCTCCCTCAGCTATTTTTGGCCAATTGGCCATCAGAATAAGGACTAACATTTCAAGTCGGGAACTGTCCTTTATCAAGGTCAGCAGTAACGTGATGTTCTACGACAACAAAGGTGACTAATTCGATAGAATTTCATGCATCTAGGAATTCTGAGGGATGTAAGAGGGAGTCAAAAAGTGATAGGGAGTGAAGTCTAAAAGAGACCCCTCTTTTTTTACCTTTACACAAATTCCTGTGTCTTGTTTCCATCCCTTTACTTCAGCAGCTGCGGCTGATTGAAGCATTTTCCAGTTTCCTTGGGTCCCGAAGAAAAGTGGTGCTTGTTGATTGCTATGCCAATGGATTCTTATAAGTCTTGTCATTTCGTATTCCAATGATGTAGAGTCAGTGTTTCAACAGCCAAGTTCTGTCCAGAAAGTTTCATGTTTTACGGGCGCAAATTTTAAAATGTTTCTCAGTTTGTCTTCTCTCAAAATTAATACATCCATCTAAGTTGAAGCAAATATAGGTGATTTATTTTGTTTGGATGCATCTTTCTTATTGATCATCCAATTTTCCAAAAGGAAATTTATGCAGTGAAGGCAAAAATGGCTGTAGCAACAATTTCTATTGATCCTATTTATGGCTTTAATCGAAGATTCTCATCTGCATTTTAATGCATTACGTAAGTTAGTTTCACACTTCCTATTTCTATTTTCTCCCAGAGTGTAGAATTTCAAAATCTACAGCTTACCTGATTCATGTTTGACGGCCCTCAGCACTGATCTATAGGTAGTCAAGTGCAACATTTCATTGAAGATTTTAAGTTTATAAAAATAAAAATACTTAAAGTCTTGTATTTTTGAGGATTTAAGTCACATACATTTTTGTGAATTATGTTCTTTTCACATCTAAGCATTTCTGGGCGTGGAAGTTTAAAGTTGGCTTTAATAATTGAGTTGATGTAATTTTCAACAAGTACTTACCACAGCCCCAAGCTTCAGACATTCCTATTTGGTACGTTCCATTCATTATCTTATCTCAACATGAATCTCAATTTATGAAGAAAGAGAAATTTATTCTAATAGTAACAATAAGAGCAAAAATAATCAGTAACCTTATCTTTGAAGTCTCCTAATATTTGCACCTCCCTACAAAAAACAATCTCCTTCTCTGTAAAGGTAGAATTGTTACCAGAGCTGTAAAATTGTTCTCCTCCAAATCATCCTTCAAAATGTATTAATTTTAATGCCTTTTTTTCACGAAAAAAATTAACTTCTTATTAGAAAAACTGTTCCAATTTTTTTTTAAGCTAAGAATCTGATGACTGTTATACCAAGACATGCTACATTTCTTAATTTCATAGGATTTGTACACAAGGAACAAAAAGGTCAAGGAAAGGCCAAATTTTATTTTGATGGATGGAAAATGTCATTGTCATAAGGTTAAAACTAAAGTTATTACAAATTAGGTAGTTGTAATTTTGCTCAGCCATTAAGTTTAATGGCAGAGATCTTTAGATCTCCAGATACCAGAGACATAGTAGATTAGAGATATCCTTAAAACTGTTTCTGATTGACTGAAAAAGAAAATGTTTCAGATGCTACTAAGAGGGTAGTGTGGAATGAAAAATCTTTAAACACTGAGTAGTTCTCATAATCCTTTCCTCTAAAGTTTTAACGTATGCATCTTGGCGTAAGAACTATCAGGTGAAGCAATGTTAGAAAATATTCATGGCTTCTGTTTCTCTAATCATGGTTGAACTAACTGATTTTTGTAGTGCTCCTGATCTAGGTCTTAATGGGTCATGATTTATAAATATGTTTATTTACTAGGAACGATAATATTTATTTGTTTATTTTTATACCTCAGGTTTTTCCTGTTTTCTTTTTTGTATTTATTTATTCAAAGTTGTGCATTACCCTCTCATTGCCAAAAACTACGATTAAATAAAACTTGTTGCAAATCTTTATCATATCTTCCAGTTAATATATTTCTCTTTTTTGTTCTCCAAAGTCAACTCAGTTGCGGTGTGTCAGAATCTCTCCTTTATTACCTTCATTGTGAGAAAAGTGAATGCATGCACTCAGTGGAAATTTTTATTGCGTGTTTTTCATGACTGTACAATGTTTTATAGAAAAAATTCTAGGAAATCACCAATTTGTCGCCCCTCCGACTAAAGGGCACACTTCAATATTCACGTGGGTCCTGTTCTCCACATAACTCCTCTCTTTCTGAGATTCATGTGGAGAGAGAGATAAGCCCTTTTGTCAGAGGAGTGGCAAATAATATTCTTCTCTTAGACATAAATTCGTGAAGGAGATTCTGGAATTCCATTTCTAAGGAGTACCCTTCTTGCACTCACAATCTGTGCTTCAGTTCTCCAGTCATTTCTGGTGCAAAGTTTGATTTGAAAAAAGAGACCTAATTTAAGATTTAAACAAATTATCACCTCTGGCAATAAAGTACCTGAAGGTCAATTTTAGAATAAATAATATCTAGAAATCAGTCCTGGTCTATTCATGTTGCCAAATTATCAATCAAAGAATTTGGAGAGCTTTTATCATTTTAGTTGAAAACAATGTAGAAGAGCCTAAACATAATTTTCCTCGCAAATCCTTAAAATTTTTGGTAAAGCAGTAACCATTTTTGAACGTAAGGAATGAAATACTCCTTCAAGATTACCATATTAATCAGAAAAATAAAAAAACTCGAATCTCCATTGTGACCTTTCAAAATATCTGGTTATGCTTTAATTTTTAAATAGAAAGCTAACGAAGAGATTCATTTGATATTTTCTGTAAATATTTTCTAATCAGGGAAGGAAGTTGACAGCAAATTTCAAAGAAAAATGTTGGTCAGTTTTCTCTGAAAAAGAAAAACAGCAGAATTTTGGAACATCAAAATTGATGTCACAAATTTTCCAACTGCAGTCATCGGAATTTCAATTTCTTCATTAGAATCTTGCCGTAAGTACCATGAACAGGTGGCACTGGTCAGTAGATTGTATCATACTTTCCGATTGACTGCAATCAGCACCTGGAGATATTGTCGTGGTAAATTCAATTAATCCATTTTCGGAAATTTTGATGTCATAACACTCATAACGCCCAACAAGTGAATGGACAAAATCAATTAATGATACCTATATGAAATTAATCAATATACAATTTTAGCCATTCCTCAATGTAAACTTAACTTCACTCGGCAATCAAGTACGATGGGAAGTTTGTAAAACGGGATAAGCGTTTTTTTACTTCCATCCTGGCTTTTGCTGTAGATAAATTATTTTAATGGATATAAGGCGGCATCATGACCAACCTGCACATTTTTAAACTTTCCCGCTTTTCCTTTACATTGCCGCCGTTCTAGATGTTAGTACACCACTTTGCGAGCAGATTAGAATTTGTAATTAAATTCTCTCATCTATAATCATATTCACTGGTCTGTAAAAGTTCCTAATTGTAAACAAAATTCACTCAAAAAAGAACTCATTTTACAATCGTACTCATGACATATTTAGGTACAGCACAAATTAATATGAAGGTAGTTTAAGCTCGCTGAGTATTTAGAAGTTCTTTGCGCTACCACCCTGATCGGCACATTCTGGCATGGCTGCCAAGTTGGCTATTTCTTCGCCACATTAATTTTAAATTTTGATTTTGAGGATAAAAATTTTTTTTTTTTTTGGTGCGGGGATGAAATTCTACGAGCTGCAGAAAATTATCCCATAGGAATATAGCTTGTTCGTCTATTTTAGGGTGAGGATTTCTGAACATAGTGAGATTCTTTGCCTAGTTTTGCAACGTGAGATTTTCCGGCAAGAGGCTCCGATGGAAAACAAGGTTATCACATGATATCACAGCAGACTTCGAGACCTGTGAAGTTTTTCGAAGGGTATCTTCCTATTCACCCTTCACGGTTCTCCGAATCCATCCCTGGATCAGAGTCCAAAATCTAGCCAAAGTCGGCTATAGTCCTGAGTTCATCTTCTTAGCTATACGTTTCAAAATTCCCAGTGTGAGAGTGGCGAAATTCTAGAGTTTGTGTGAAGTGTTCTCCAAAGTGCTTCCCAAGTGGTTCCTATTCTCCCTAGCAACACCCTGAAGAAAACACTAGCACCTTCTTTAAAACACTGCAGTCTTCCATTGTATACCCAATCAAATCTTCCTGCCTTTTTCGAAGTTTTATAAGTACAATTATTTCCAAGTCTTCAGTCTACAATCCCAGACCAGGCTTAGCAAGTTTGGTCAGCCTTAAATTTCAACGTGTGCCTCCCGAACAAATTTTTTCAATCCACATCCCTTATCTCTAAGTATCGTCTCAATTATACATTCTCCTCATCATCAAAGCTTTCGATTCATTGCCCAGGGCAGAGTGGCTCCGCTACATCTTGCGTGTGTGACTTGGAGGTTAGGTCGCTCACACTGCAGCAATGGCTCTCTGCGGAAAGCTGTAGCTTAGTCCCTTCAAATGTGGGAAAGCATCCGGGAACATGGCGGGAAATCTCAGCAGCTTCGTTCAAAAAATGGATATTGACAATCCTGGCAACTTGAAGCGGTCAAATAGTGCTCCCATGATTAACGAAATCAATGCGCGGTCTGTCGCTACTACCGCCTCAACATCGAACACCACATCAAGGTGAGTTCCATTCACTGTGCTCAAAGTCAGAAACCTAGTTTTCTCCAGTTTCTTGCCTGAACTGCTCATATCCGGCATGACCTTTGAATTGTTGGCCTGGAAACAGTCCTTACTTTGAAACATCTCCGGGCTGCTCAAGTTCTCTCATTGTATGTTGGGACATAAGTCAAGCCCTGTTTACATCATCACCTATCATTGCTTTCATTCGAATGTGTGTTAGAAGTGGTGGAGTGATGCTGACCTGGTGTTGATTGGAGATTGACTTTAGTCTTAACATTCAATATGCCGGCCCCAGGTCAAGCTTACTTACTCTTACTTGAATGGAAAAAAGTCGAGAGAGTTCTAGGAAGTTCCAGAAACAGTCACTATTCGTCGCCATGTGACACCCTCGTGAAGTCTACAAAAATTTTGGAAATTTTTGGAAGGAAGAAGGGGGAGCCTCCTTACCTGCCACATTCCTCTTACTACCTTTATTTAAATTCAAGATAGTTCAAAAAACTACTACCACCCGTCACCCCGCGCCGTTCTCCCAAAAGTCCAAGAAAGTTCTAGTAGTTTTTTCCATTACCCACCAATTTTTAAGATGAACAGATTTTAAGTTTTGAATGCACCTATCTTGCAATTCTACATTTTTGCCTTGTGGCCAAAGTTTTGCCTTGCACTATTGAAGAATGCTCAATTCCACAGCAATATGCCAGATTTCTCTGCTAAATATTTGGTGGCTTGCGTATGTACATAATTCGATGCAGGGTGTCAAAAAATAATGAATTTCACCCATGAGGTTTTGCTCGTATATTTACTTAAGAGCAGAACCTACAAGTTTTTGTACTTGTGATATCCATATTGATGAGTTTTTATTTTGTTCCCATTCTCAGGTCTTCTTCACCATGTAACATATTTGCATGCACCACTGTGCAGTCACGCACACGGAGATTCAGTGCCAGCTTCAGTCCTCATCACACTCCTGCAGTAAGTATTTTTAGCTATGTTCTGACTCTATCTTAAAACTTGAAAATCAATTGAGCTGGTAATTCTAATTTCTAAAAGGCATTTACTATTTAGAAGGTATCATAAACAATTTGAACAATACTGAACAATATTTAATAAAGAGTGAGGACAGATGGGTATTAAGGCTGCACCATTTTTCAGGTGCCAAAGCTGGAGCTTGATTTTTAGGCCCATTTTACGCACACATCACTAAGTAAAGTTAAAATATGGATTTTCAGAATCTCTGACACTAGAAACTGTAACCCTTTGATTATGTCAAATATATTTGACAACAAAAAGGTAAGTTCCACTTAAATGTCGAATACTTTTGACAAGGAAAAGTTCGCTGCAAAGTACTGTTTCTTGAACTTTTCCGACCGTGCCAAGATGTGGTGCTGCCTGGCAGAGGAAACCGGAACAACGTTCATGTCTACTCAACGATTTTGCGTTGACTGCTGCATTACAGGGTGGTAGAGGCGAAAAGGTCAAAGAGTGCATAGGGTTAATTAACAGAAGTTTCAATGTTCTTCGGAAACTCAGAAGCAATTAAATGTATGAGATCTCCAAGAATTTTGAACTTGAAAAAATCGCTGTAAGTAATGTTTTCCTTATCTCTATTTCAGAGCTCACCAAGGCTGACGCCACGAGTGAGTCAGTTGCGACAAGAAGAATGTGTGGACCGAGAAGCTGCACACGAGAAGGAGCTTCACTCAGCCATGGTCATGTCTCAGTCCTGGGAGGACCTCACTGTTGATCCCTCGTCAAAGGTATAAACAAAACTCAATCGTCCAAAGTCAGGCTAGTTTACCATGATAAGTTATGGCCTTCCCTTATAAATGGCAAGAATACCATGATGACTGACGGAGACGTCCTAATTTCAAATGTCTCATGAGAAAAATGTCCAATTATAAATGTCTGTCGCAAGAGTGTCTGATTTGAAGTTTCGAATGTAAAATTTTCCAACCTAGATCAACGTTTAACTGCATGCAAATTGCATGTGCATAATGCACAATCGTTTGTGTAAAGTTCCCAGCAATTCTTTTGAATTCATTAAATATTTTGACTAGTAGATAGTGTATGATGAGTTTGAAGCCCAATTCACACTGTCAAACTTTTCATCCAACATAATTGAATGAAAAGTTGGCTGGAAAGTTGAACGCAAACAAATTGGATTCAATTACTCTCTGTTCAACTTCCCATCCAATTGGCACAGCCAAGTGGATCGAAAGTCAAATGAAAAGTTGAATGTGACGTCACATTCAACCTTGCGCTCAATTTTTCATAAAATTGTCATTTTTTCGCGTCAGTATCATACTATCCAACTTTCCATCATGACAAGTTGCATTCAAGAGTTGAATGAAAAGTTTGATAGTGTGAATTGGACTTTACAGTAAGGGCTTGAATGACAACGCTTGACACTGTAATTGTTGGTTGACCTAGAAACAGAACAAGTTTTTTTTACCACTAATTGAAAGCAATCAAGCTCCTTTCATGGCCTTAAAAAGTGGTACATTTTCCAATAAGGGCTAAATAATCCTTATAACATATAAAAACTTTATCAATCATAGAATGTACCATTATTTTTCGAAAAACTTAATCAGAACAACTAATCAGGAGAAGAAGGTGCTGTTTAAGAATGTTGAGTTTTATGTCCAGCAGTTTAAGTGAAGTAGTTAATATAATGTCATCCCTCCAATTGAATCAACTTTGAAGCTCCATAAAATAATTTTCCGTGCAGATGCCTCAAATTTTATTAAGGGAAGAAGATATTTTTTTGAGCGTATTGTTAATTCTCTCTGTAATTTAAAAAATTCAATGTGCACAGAGTGAAGATGGAAGTAAGTCTGTTCGAATGCTGGATCCACTCCATGTGTCGTTGCCATGCGGACCTCCATTGTGCTCTTCGCCCTCGCCAACACGAAGTTTGACAACGAGGCAGTGCTTCTCACCATCAATCTCTATGTGGAAAACGAGCCTCTCCCCTAGTCCTACACGGAAAGCATTCTGCACCAGGTAAAATTTTTAAGTTCTCTATGTCCGCAGAGTTGATGCGTCCTTGAAAAACATTTAAAGAACCACACTCCTAATACCAAGAAATTCGATGCCAGTTAAAGTTTGATACTTTTTGATACCCGACTCCATACGACATCCTGAGTATGATGAACTTTTCAAATCAAACTTTCCATGTGCCGATTCCAAAGAAAAATGGGCTGAAAAGTGACTTTTTGGCTCACTGACAAGTGATTGCCATTGGAGTCATAGGGCTGTTGCTATGTGTGTGGAGAAGCTGCATTATATGCTCTTATTGTTTGGAGGAATTTGATTATTTTCGTTTGTGTTGTCTTCCCAGCCTGCGAGGATACTAAAGATCTCCTCAATCACCAACAAGATACTGCAATGTTTCTACAAATCGTTTCGAGTTAAAAATGCCGAAAAATTTTCAGCCTTGCTCTTCTTGAGATTGGCACACAGGAAGTTCGATTTTAAAAGCTTGTTTTGCTCAAGAGATTGCAAGGAGCATCTTATCAAGAAATATTGAAACCTAGCCAGAGCCGAATTTCTTGATATTGTGTGCATACAGCAACGCCTTGATTTATTGGATCTCACGGGACCGGAGGCCGAATCCGTAAAATCGCGCTAGTGGGTCCTGCTGAAGGGACGGGAGGTTCGCTCCATTGAATGGGGAATCCGTTAAATCGCGATCCGATAATGCAAAGGCTTACTGTAGTCTTTTTGTGAATTTAATAATGGATCTATCTCCTGATAATTGAAGTTTGCTCATTACAACTGAATTACTATTTTTTTTTTCCTACCTGCTCTGAAAAGTCGGTATTGGTACTGACGTGTAAATTTGATTTTTTAGGTGTGTTTGTGCATTCACATATCTTTTAAGTGTTAGGGTGATAAAGTTTGTAATGACTATCCTTTAACGTCTGTAAAAAGTTGCAAAACTGTTTAAAAAGGTACACTGAAGTCCCATTTTCAGTTTAAAGTCCTCGATAAATTTAGCAAAAGTTTTAAATAGTTATTTCCTCGAAAATCTCATCTTGAAAAGGTTACCTTTGTTATTAAACAATGGTGTTTTGTAAACAATAAAATTCATCTATTAATGTTAATTATCTCTACTTTATGTTTTCAGAAGTCTAAGTCCAGTTGCAATGCGCCCCAGTTCCTTAGGTTCAGTAAAACGGAAATTTGAACTAGATGACAATGAACCACCCGCAAAGAGAGGTGGTCTCCTTATTGCCCAGTCCCGGTAATTACCTTTTTTATTTTTTGAAACTTCCATTGTAAGAGGCCTGTAGCAAGGTTCAGGAATTGCCTTGAAAATGGGTGTTCCTATAGTAAATTTTAGTAAAAAACTTGTCTGAGCTTATATGTGTTCAAAACAGTTTTTATACTAAAAAAAGAAGTTTGAAGTTGAAGTTTAATCAAAAAAAAGAGAAGGTATTTCATCAGCCCTAAATTTTCGCTTTTGCATTTTCCTTTAAAAGTTTCATCATTGTGACTCATTCCTCCGTAAATGTATAATGGAAGTCTCCAAAACAGGGAGAGCGAACAAGTAAAAATGTTTTTCAATTAAGGTGTTTTTTAGTAGAAGAAAGGGAAGGCAAAGCCCAATATTATCGATTCACATCACTGGAAGATGAATATCCAAAAACTAACTCGATTTAAAAAGTTAAAACATTATTTTTCCTTAGAATTATTTTCAATTTTTTCGCATCACTAAGAGAAGTTGTTTTTTTTCTTTTTTCATCAGGCTGGAGGTAAATTCACTTAGCCCACTGCCAGGATCTTTACCTTCAATCGGGACCCCAGAATCTGTATCCAGTGCAGATTCTCCCGGAGGCTTCACGTTCCGACCGGTGGACACCCCCGCAGCGTCACCTCTTCCCTCACCACAGCAGTCAACCCCACGACCACCCCCACCACCTCCTGATCATCCTATGCAGGACCTCACCAAGAATACCAGCTGAAGCACACCAATTCTGTTTTTGCATAGAGACATAGTCTGCGCCAAGGAGTAGTTCCTACAAGGGAAATGTATTCCCTAAAGTGTCTGTTTAACAGGAAAATCATTCCTTGTCCCAATCAGTACACCCAGAAAAGGTCATGAAGTATTCATATTTTTTCACCAAAATTGAGGTATAGAAGGAAAGTGATGATAATGAAGTCTCTCACCGGCGACTCTGAAAATCAGCTTAATTACTTTATGTCACAATGAAGCTTAACTTCTTTTTTTTTTTTGAAATTCATTGCTGGTAAAAAGTCATTATATTCCCTTGTAAATCCTCTGTTAGTCACTTGTTACCGAATTTCATCTAAAGAGCACTGAAAATGCAAACTGCAACCGTGCAACTTGTGCCGCGTTTGCATATGGCTTCAACTGTGTAAAATTTTACCATGCAGCAAATTAGAAAGGATCGTTTTTGTCCCATGCTCTTATGCCTTCATTTCATCCCTACCATTCCTTTTGATGGCTTGTGGTCTCATCATGAGATTTTATCAGTGTATTTCATAATTTCTGGTCTGATGCCGACCAAAAATTATAATCAAATTTTTTTATTTGCCCTCATAAATCTTGTCAGTGTTTGTACACCTTATGAAAATCAAATTTTTCCAAGGGAACAGGCGTTTTCAGATAGAAAGAAAACTGCAACAGGAATGTAAATGAAGTGAAAGTATGAACTGGAAAAACCGTCACACTTTACAGAAAAATAATTTGTATCTAATCTAAAAAAAATCGGGTAATTTTTTTTTTTTTTTTTCTTTTTAGATTTCTGAAAATATGTTTATTTATTAAAAAAAAATTTCAGTGAGTTACCATTGAGGTCTGATGTACTTAGCGGGTTCTTCTTTAGATAAACTTATATCTACCTTTGCATGGTGATCAGGAAGCATACTTTGCAGTGAAACTTTAATATTTCAAAGAGTAATATCCAGTGTTCTGTTGTTTGAGACTACCAAAAGTTGAAAACAATGTTGTAAACTCAAATGCTGCTATAGAAAATGTCCAGTATGGAACAGACTAGTGAAAATGATTCATCAATATCTCTTGCACTGATCACCATTTCATATACAAATACAATGAAATCTTTTTCAGTTTGGAAGCAATTTATTGGACATGGTTTCTAGCAGTCCGGAAAACCTGGAAAGTCAGAGAGATTACGGTGACCTAGAAAAATCAGCGAATTCATAGAAGAAGTCAGGAAACTTTGCAAGCAGCGTTTAAAAGAAGTCAGTGTACTTGATAGGAAATGAATTTACATAGATCAAGGCAAGTGAGGAAATTCCGAAAGTTTGGAGTTACAGAATAGTCAGGTAATCAAAATATGGAAAAATTATGGAAACCCTATTGGAGGACAAACTACATGCCTTGCAAAGAAGAAAAATCTTTCATCACAGTTTCACTCAGGGATGGAAGCGGGAACTTTTCAAGGAATTCATGTTCCTGTTTCTGCAATGTATCTCTTCCGAACAACTTTAATCTCAAGTTCCATTCTGTATTAGAAACACTTATCATTGTGTTTCCAAAAGAGAAAAGTGTTTCTCAGAATGAAGAAGCAGAAGTTCCATGAGACCTACAAGGAACGACTGGTTTGTTATTTAGAAGCAACAAAGTCATTTTTATTCATAGTTTAATTAATTGTCGTCTCCTGTACAAAAACGTAACTTGATTGCGCTCTTTTGAGTTTTCTCACTCACATTTAATTTTTTTACAGAAAAATCATCCCATGAACTCTCCTAAAATGTTTAATTTATTTCTTGATCCTTTTCAGAATAGACTCTGAAACTCTAAGACTAATTGGACTGCATTTTGCAATTTGGACCTATAAATCCCGGTCCGGTTTAAAAACAACGTATGTGCCATTAGTTTCCCTAAGCACATAAGTGTTTTTTCAGATGAGCCAGAATTTATAGGTCCAAATTGCAAAATGCAGTCCAATTTGTGCAACAGCTCTCTCATGAAAAAGTATAATGTTCGTAGAACTACTCCGACAGCGCAGACAAGATACGTCCCTTTGTCCAAGAGATAGAGAAATTCTTCCATAATGCAATTTAGATCAGTGAACTTGATAGTAGTAATCAGATTCTCTTTTTATTTATCTCTACAGAAATCACCTTATTTCATTGGAATAAAAGAAACCTTTTCTTGTCCTACTATATTTTTTTTATTAAGTAAACTTCTAGCATTTCTTTGTTAATTTTCCTTGCCAAATCAAGCAGATCCCTGTAGATTATGTAATATTATTTGTTGCATTATTCATGAAAGCTTCATGTCAATATTCCTTATGCGACCTAAAGGTATGGAAATTAATGACCACATAAATTGTTTCATTCGGATAAATTAAACATTTTGGAAGTTTGCAGAAAACTAATCTGAAAAATGTAATTCCGGAAAATGTTGGAAAAAGGCCTAGACATTTTAAGGCAAAATTAAGTAAAAGTCATTAATCCACAATTTTGTGTGCAGGCAATGCCTTTGTGTACGAAATGAATGTTAGGTATTCATTTCATTCGGAGAACAAATCTAGTCCTATGTAAAACTGCAGTGACATTGATAGCAGTGGTTCCTCTAAGTAAAGAGTTTCAGCCAATTTTACATACTTCTGAGTGTCGAGGCCTCGTTTTTTTATCAAATGACTACGTGTCCTGAATTATGTTTACAAGAACACTCAAAATTTATGCCTTAATAGCATGCTTTTCCATGCATGCATTACCCTGAGAGCTGTTCCTCAGAGCATTTAGAAAGTCTGTTGTAGATTTGACAGTCTTCTTCAGAGCCTGTAATAAATGTAACAAAAACTGTAAAATATTTGAAAACTTCTCATTGCATATCGAAAAAAAGATGATTGATTTGAAACTCTAGTGAACTTTCTCGAAAGGACTAATAAAAAAAGAAGCTCTTCCTTTTTACAGTTGGGCTATGGTTAGGGCCTCTAGAATGTGATTTCAAAGTTCGCCTTTTTCTCTCCGACTTCTTATATTGAAATTTATCAATAAAAGTGTCATTTAATGCAAATTTTTAAGTCAATGGAACTTATGAAATTGTATAAAGCAGGTAGTACGCCCCTTAGTCTGTGCCCTTATTTGTAAACAAGACTTAATATTTTTAGTCTGCAGTTCATGAACACTTCAACAGCCAGTTCCACAGCTTGAAGCTTGAGCCACAAGCTTTTTGTTTTTCAAAAAATGTTCCAAACTCATCACAAAAACAAACGAGTTGATAAGTCTGTATTTAGATATTTTATTTCTAAAAAAACTTATCCTAAGCAATGGATTTGGTTTAACGAATTCTCCCAAACCTGTATTTTACCTATTGAAAATTGATAAGTTACCAAGTTCCGAAATGAAACCGTTACTACAACCTGAGTGTGTGAATTCATTCACACATCCTTTGGAGGTTTCTATTTAATCAGATAATTGATTTTTTATTTTTCCTGCATGATTTTTGAAACGAAGCATAACATTAGTACATCTTAAAATATACTGTCCTACCTACGCTTGTAACTCTGAAATTAAGTTGTTGAATATTTATTTAAGATCCACAGAAGATTGTAAGAGATATTCTAAAGATAAGTATAAGAAACATGTGTCTTTGGAACCTTATGAACAAATTACTGAAGTTTTAAAGTAGCTTTCATGCTAGAATGTTTCTTACCACCAGCAAAGATTATGGATTTTATTTGTCTTTTGTAGTGGAAAGAGGCCTTGCCATTAACGGCTTCTGTTTCTGAATTTTTGCCCTGTTTCACTTTTTAAAAATTGTTTAAGAAAAAAATATTAAGAGCCTTTCTTAGCCAAATGTCCTAATTCTACCGACTTATTTGTACTAATTTGATCAATTTTATCTGTTGCACCTGAAGACATCAGTAAGTTGGTTTAATCTCATTTTATTTCAGTAGTGAAAGCAAGGAAACACATGTATTTTCATTGCTTTATTGTTCAAAGTTTCAATGTTTTGGTCATTTTATTTCTTGCTTTCCTTTTTTTTTAAAAAAATAAGAGTATTCCTATGCATGGTCATTACAGACACTTCAAAATTCTTTACCCCCCCCCCCCCCCCCCCCCCCCNCCCTTTTTTTACATCTTTAAGACAGAACCTCTCCAGAGAATGGGGGAATGGGGGAAAAAACCATCAAATTCGCAACTCAGTCCGGTTTTCAGAAATCAACGCATAGAATCAGAAAATTGACTGATTGGCTGAGAGGTGCTGTTTGCTGTGTTGATGATTTAATGCAATGATCATTTTTGAATGAGTCTGTATAAATACCTAATTTTAAGACACTGTTCTGAATAATAGTTGTTGGTTTTTTTCTACAATTTCTCACAGCATGTTACCTCGAGAGTTGCACCAAGCCAAAATAATGGTTGAAAGTATCTAGATTCACACAATTTTGTTTGCAAGCCCGTATGAACCGTGATAGGATAAAAGCTTTCACACATACTTAATTTTACAAAACAAAGTTTTTTCTCCTTGGAATGTAATATTATGAGAAAATTGCACTGTGAAGGAATGAGTCAGGTATGTGTCTCCTTAGTTAGCTGCCACTTTAACCTGTGGCACTGTGTTCTGTTATCTTCCAAGCCTCCCTGCAAGTGAGTGTTACAAGCGAAGCCTTCTGTGATGTGGCAGATGAGATGCCTCGTAAAATCTGTTAATTTGTATTCAAATCCTGTAATGGAGAACTGTGTAATCAAAAATTTGTTTTTTTCTCTCTTTTGAATTGTAAATGAAACTTTTCATTTTGTACATTTGTCCAGTATGATAGAATAAATAATTGTAGCTCAAATTTTTTAAGTGGATATTTTTTCCAATGTGTTACCTTCTCTGTGGTAGCTGAATAAAACATCCTAGGAGGTCCCTCTCATATAATTTATTCTTCAATCAATGTTGCCATCTCTCAGTTAAAAAAATCATTTCTACCCACCAGTGCTTGATCCTAGTAGCCATGATTACACCATCCATAAAATATTATCTATTAGAAGTCCCCACCTGCCTTTAAAGTCCCAATAAAACACATGTTTTCACTTACTGAGTAAGCAACCGCCTCCTGAGGAGACAACTGACTTAATAACATTTATTGTTTAATATTTAATTCTAAACATCAGTAAAGTGGCTGTGAAATGTTTTTAATATACTAATAATAATAATAATATAAAAAAGTAGACTATCTTCGAAAAATTTTACTTTCAGATGCATTTTGGCCGTGTGTGATAAGCATCTTCAGCACTTTCGGTCTATTTTCTATTTAAATGAAAAATGAAATGAATAGTTTTTAATCTTGAGAAACCCTTAAAAAAGGGGTTATACGTACGCACGGTCACCTTTAAGTTTTTTCACCGAAGATACTTAGAATATGTGAGTGCCACATATTTAATGATCTATCTATTTAGAAGTAGGTAATCAACCTTTCCTTGCGTGGCTTGCCGATAATTTTAATTAGAATTTGATGAACATTGATGAAGTTGATTTTTTGATCACCTTCTGAAGGGTTAACTATAAACTTTTTGTAATTTCAAAATGCATTATTGAATTTTTCGCTCATCAACGAAAAGCTCAGCCCAGTGCGTTACCGACATAAAACGCCTTCAAAACGGAAAATACACACAAGAATTATGAAGGTTGTATGCACAACACTTCAGTAACGAGTGTTGCCTCATATCCTATCGAAGGCGAATGAACATTAGGCAATTTAACCCGGTGTTGCAAGTTCAAAGTAACATTTGTCACTTAATGCCAATTAAATGATAGGAAATTATCCATGAAATTGAATTTTTCGCCAATATTTGACGCAATTAATGAGTAAAAAATGGTAAAAACCATGAACTCGGATGCGAGCGTTTGTGCGAGATGTGAAACTAGCTCTCGCAAATGCCTGAGGTTGCCCGATTCACACGGCCGGTTGACTTTACGATAACCTGTTTACATTCGCATTCTTGTCTTTCAGTCATGATTCATTGGCGAAAATCCGTGAGGAATTGTGTTAATTTCTGCCTCGATCCTGCTTCTCGAATGGGTAGCCACAATTGCGACCATGTCTCCCTTCCGACGAAAAAAGTCCGGTAAATCTTTCCCGGTGAAGATTTGTACTTTGGACGCAGAGTTGGAGTTCAATCTTGAGGTAGATACACTGTTGTTTACCTTCTTTCTTTCTCCTGAGTCCCTTCCTTCTTCCCTATTTTTAAATTAATTAATAATCCGACTCTCCATCTCAGGCTTACCCTCGGATCTATTATCATTTATTTCAAGTAAAATTGCTGCGTTACCGTCCTTGGGACAGGCAACCAGCTTTTGACAAGTTGTCGCTCCCATTCGAGCGATCAGTCTTGTCCATCATGAATTTTCCAATTAATTTCTGTAACCATGCAGTTTGGAAATCCAAATCAATTCGTGGGTGTCTGTGGAATAGGATCCACTGAACTCTGTAGCATTTTTGCTCGAATCGTAAGTGCCAAGCTCAACAGTTTGAGGTTAGTATTTCCCAGCCAGAACTGGAAGCAGATTTTCGAGCGCACCCCGGTGGAAACTAAGATCGGCCACTGAACTTCACGTAAATTTATATTTCTTGTTCCTGTAATACGTGAAACAAGAAATTCTTATGGCTGATTGCTTAAATTTATTTTCAGTGGCGAGCAACTGGAAGAAATCTGTTTGATTTGGTTTGCCGCACCACAGGCCTCAGAGAAACCTGGTACTTCGGACTTCAGTATGAGGATTGTAAAGGTTTCATAACATGGCTGAAACTTGACAAGAAAGGTGAGTTTTCTATCCAACCAAAACCAGGCAAATTCATGAAGAACATGTGACTCATTGGACGTCTCTTATTTTTATGTTTCACATTTCCTCTTTACGGAACAAAAAAATAGTATCTAAGTTTTAAGAACTAATTTTGATAGAATACAAGCTCCTCAGTGAGAGAATCCAATGGAAGTTAATTGATACTCCCATCTTATTTCAAAAATAACTCATCTTGGTAGTGCACCAGCGCCGACCTCTTGTAGAGAAAATTGTCGCCTTATGAATAACAGCTTTCAAATCTGAATTTTGGTTTCTATTATTCCATTTTCCTTTTGTCAATGATAAGCTACAAAACTGGTGCTTTTAGACGATGAAACAGGTAACATCAGTTTATAGGGATTAAATGCAACTAAAAGTTTGATTTGTTTACTGCAGTGGTGGACCAGAGTGTTTCGGACAATGCAACGGCATCATTTACGTTCCTTGCCAAATTCTATCCTGAAGATGTTTCAGAGGAGCTCGTGCAGGAACTAACGCAGCATCTTTTCTTCCTACAAGTAAAGCAAGCCATCCTTGCAATGGACATATACTGCCCACCTGAGGCGTCTGTCCTCCTTGCATCCTATGCTGTTCAAGCCAAGGTTTGTAGAGTTATACGGGCATTGTTATTTAGTATGCTAAACTTAGAAACAAAGCTCATTGATTATAGTGCTCCAAATTTCAACTCTTCTTTGTTTCTTTGAAGGGAAGCAGGTCAGCTTCATGGATCACCAAACCATGAACAAATTTTGACTTGTGAATACATTTTTCGGAAGATAAAATGATGCCTAGAACACAATGTGCCCATTGAAAATCCCATAAAGTTACCAAAAAACCGAGAAATACGCAGTTCCAAAAGTGCAACTTTTCCGCTAATTTAAAACACCTTGGTATCGCGCTGAACGGAATGATGTCATCCAGCACCAATCAGAAGGGAGCACGGGTTTCCACGACTTTGGTCAAATGTCTTTCTACTACTCATATATGAAAACACTATGAAAGTTAAGACTATATCTTCAGTAACACCGAGGCGAATCTCATTCATGTTACCGTCAGTTAGCATGCAGCAATTACACCTTGAAATATGTTTTCCTTTAACAAATATTGGATAAGAGTAGATAGCGATTTGACTGTCGAAATACATCACTTTCCTCATTTTCTCGACATTCCGGCGCATTCAAAATTCCTCATGTCTTCAGCCTCCGGCTGAGGAGCTACAGAAAACCTCATCAGACTCAACCCTCAAATCAACCCCACCATTTGCCTCTATTAGACATCTTTCAAGGTTCCCCAGGAGTCCAGGAAATTTTCTTTTGCATGGGGCAGATTCTATCAATTTATAATCAGAAAGCACTATCCATAAGTAGTAATATTGTGGCATTTCAAAATTTACAGTATGGAGATTATGATGAAATGACGTACAAGCCAGGGATGCTGGCCTCTGAAGACTTGCTGCCTCAGCGAGTCATCGACCAATATCAGATGACCCCTGAGATGTGGGAGGACCGCATTCGCATATGGTACGCAGACCACCGGGGTATGTCTCGCGATGAGGCGGAAATGGAATATCTCAAGATTGCCCAGGATCTTGACATGTATGGTGTAAACTACTTTCCCATTTGCGTAAGTTGCTCCTTAGAATCTCCCATACATTTTTTTTTCTTCTTGCAAAGTTAGCTTTTGAAGAAATACTTAATTCGAAAATTAAAAAAAAATTCCCACCTGAGTTTCTACGGTATGCATCAAAATACATTCTAGCACCTCCACAACATAACGAAGAAATATAGAAAAGAAAAGGAAATAACACAGTGACAAGGTTGAAAAACAAAAATCAAAGAAAAGCCTAGAACTTTTCACGAAGTTGCCTGAATATCACCAACCGTAAAACGATGAAAAATGCCAAAAACACCCAAAGCTAAAATATCCAGCTCATGACAATGGAAACTTAATATATAGCCTATCCATTTAGCATTCATCACAGCGAGCAAAAAATTTTAGCTTTCGTTTTTTTTACATTTTCTCATCATATGGTTGATGAAGCCCGGAAAACTGGATGGAGTGTGGTTTGTCTTCCTTAAATTGGAATTTTTCAGTATATTGTCTGCAGTATATCCTTTCTTCTCTGTGTTTTTTTGACTCTATAGAACATAATAAAGTATTAAAATCATTACTATTGAGACATTGCTCACCTATAATACAAACTACTGAAGGAGATGCATGAAAATTTCTTGTTTTCCTCTCCTTATTATTCTTAGCGCAATAGCATTTCTTAGTCAAAAACCTCATTTAAGGCATTATTGGAAAAAAATAGTTCATGCATAGCTTCAAAATCCAAAAGTCCTCTATGTCTTAGTGAATACTTGTCCTTGGTAGCAGCAACCAAGCAGTAGAAAATTTGGTGAAATTTTGTGAAGTTTATATTTCAGCGTTGTATCATGTCCTTATTTTTTTGCAGAATAAAAAGGACACGGATCTGTGGTTGGGTGTCACTGCACTCGGTCTAAATATTTACGAAAAAGAGAACAAATTAAGCCCGAAGACGACCTTTCCTTGGTCAGAAATTCGGCATATCAGCTTTGATGATAAGAAATTTATCATCAAACCTGTAGACAAATCATCACCAAACTTTGTGTTCTTCTCTCAAAAAGTTCGCATGAACAAACTAGTGAGTAACCTTTTATAATTAAACCCTTATTGCAGCAAATTAATTAATTTTGCTCGTTGGCTAGTGCTTTCAATACTTTTTCAACCTGCAACAAGTTTTTCTTCAAATTAAATAATTTCATTGAACTTTTTCATCTTCAATATCCTTTAAGTTTAAACTGCATTTCTGCAGATTTTGTACGTGCTATTTCTCATAGCATCAGTCTGTTCCTGAACGTAAGATGGCAAATTCAGCTTCAAAGAGCTGTAAAATCGCAATGTCACTATGAATTTTTGCAGGATATTGTGTGTGTTTGCAATTTTCTGAGGGCTAAGCTCATTCGTCCGAACTTAATGTCTGTAAGTCACCTGTCCATACTTGATATCTGATATCCTTACGGATTTTTACGGGAGGAAATACTCAAGGACTTTTAAAAAAACAGAAGAAACTCTCGGAAATATAATGTTATAAAAACTTAAGAATAAGATGCCAACTCAAAAAAAAGATTTTTTTATTATTCCTCCTCGAAAATTCAACGAAATCATAAGATCAAACCTCAAGCATTGAATATATTAATTTAAAACATATTAATGGCTAAAGTGGAAAAATCACAGAATGCCTTTTAAAGGATTTTCAAACAAACCGACAGTCTTTATCCAAATTCTCCGTGAATTTTCATCCTTTATTCTTCATTCTAGAAAAATCACTCGAAATTGCAAGGAAACTTTATATGTAATTAGTTTTCCTTGGAGAATTCGAATCCTAATTTGAGATTCTCAGGTGTTGAAATTGAGGTACCAATTTTTTGCATTTAGCTATGGATAGAAGAGTTGCTTCCTCACCTGAAGATTATTAAATTTACGTTATTGTCTTTTCAGATATTAGATTTATGTATAGGCAATCACGATCTCTTTATGCGGAGAAGGAAACCTGATTCCATGGAAGTGCAACAGATGAAAACACAAGCAAAAGAAGAGAAATCAAGGTTTGAATATATTTTTTTTTCTGAAGTGTGTTTATGATCTCTTTACAATTTGACTGCCACAAAATTTTACCCTCTGATTTTTAAGGTAAATTCTATTTTTGTAAAATGACCTAGAAATAATAAGAAAAATAGGAAAAATTATTTGATCACATAAATTAAACTCTCTTAGATATAACATTTCATTAAATTTGAAGCAGGGGTGGGCTAGCATAATTTTGCGCAGTAGTACTTACTCGCGGCTGACTCAATTAAATTTTCAATTTCTCATGTGGCCACCAGGATGGAACCATTTAAAATCCAGTGTGTTTTGCCCAACAATTATCCTCCAAAACAAATGCAGGCAAGGTCTTTTCTCCATCATTAAAAATGACAATTTGAAATCGCAGAAAGCAACGTTTATGTGAAACAAAACTTTACCCTCCAAGATTTTGAGATTAGATTTTCTCTAACTTTTACTACACCCATAGAAAAATTCAATACCCGCAATCTTTAGGCTGAAAATTTGAATCAATTTTCTTGATAAATTTTGCACGATTTCCTCTTTAACAGGATGTTTAATTAAGTTAATAGCCACATGTTACAATTTTTTAGTTTGATTTTCTCTCCTCCAGGCGTTTAATTGAACGAAATAAACTTGCACGTGAGAAGCAGTTACGAGAGGCTGCAGAGCGTGAAAAAGCAGCCATGGAACAACGACTTCTTCAGTACCAGGAGGAAATACGCTTAGCCAATGAAGCATTGGTTTGTTTTCTTTTCTTTTTTTAAAATTATATTCTGACATATTCGTTGGCTCAGACTCGTACTCAGCAGTAGTATGAAGTACCATTATTCAAATATATCAGCGCAGTTTGGTTTAGGTTAAATTTCATCAGTTATAGGTGCAGTACTCTTTAAGAGCTCCATAGAACTAAATACTTTAATGAAGGAACTTACCTTGTACCTATTTGTAAAACTTGGTGCTGAAAAGTAAATTTTTTAGCTTTTTTGCGTGATTTTACTTTTGGGCTTTTTTATTCAATGATGTTTTATTGACACTGTAGTAGAGTCTATTCCTCTCCTCTTGTTTGACAGAATAACACAGAAGCATGTATCCTTCTGAACAGAAAGTGTGTAAAGCGGTGGTTAACTCAAAGGCTACATCTTGGTCTGAGAGTTAATGTACCGATACCATCCCATCAGTATTTTTGCCACCCACCATACTGCTGTCCCCAGAAAAAATACTGTAACTCCAATGAAGACTTAGCATTTTTTCTCTACACACACCTTTCTATTATGAGAAAACCTGATTATTATAAAGCCTCATTTTATATGTTTGAATTTACAATAGTATGCCTCAGTTCATCTCTTCAAAAACGGGTTCATGTTGGTTTTCACGTTTTTTCTATTATTATTATTATTATTATTATTTTTATTGCAGCGGCGGTCTGAAGAAACAGCAGATTTGCTTGCAGAAAAATCACGGTTTGCAGAAGAAGAGGCCATGCTACTTAGCCAAAAAGCAACAAAAGCTGAGAACGAGATAACAAGGATGAAGCTCACTGCAATGAAGGTTTGGCTCAGTTTGCAATACATAGCTTTTCCTCTTTTCTCGCGAGTTTTTTCTTTTTTGATTGAAGATCTCATGTTCTGCCGCATCCACTAAAATTATCAGCATACTCTAAACTGAATTTAATGATAAATGGATCAATGTATGTAATCATTACAATTTATTGAAATTTCCCATTGCTCAGTTGCCAACTTCACAACATTTGAATCCGTTCTAGAATATATCTTTTGTCAACTGCTGAAAAAGCTTTCCTTTTTTCCCATTGAGCAGTTACTGCCATGAGCAGGGTCATGTATATTAATGTAATATAGCAAATTCATCAGACTAGAAATGACTTCGTTAATATCAGTTGTCTGTCCCAAGTAAGTTCTATTCGGATTAGGTTCCTTAGGTGCCATTCATTATTTCTCTCCTCCTGAAAAAGCCTAAAATTTATCACTGTGTTTGTTTCAGACGGAAGAAGAAAAGGTGACTTTGGAACGAAAAACGCGGGAAGCAGAGCAGCTAACAGCCCGGCTGGTAGATGAGAGTGAGAAAAGAGCAGCAGAAGCTGACAGACTCAAAAATGAACTTCTGCATGCACGTCTCGCTGAGAAACAAGCCAAAGAAAAACTCCTTGAATTCCTTTCTCGCAATGCCTATGTAAGTATTATTAAAGAGGTTACTCATTCCAAGCTAATCTGACCCAAACTCGATTGAAGTATAACCTTTTCAATGGTACTTACTTCCAACTTTTTTTCTAAAAAAGTTTATCTTAGGTTTTGACAAATTTTTGCGGTATGGTGTACAGTTGAAGAAATTTTATTAGGCTTTGGAATTAAATCCCTTTGCCAAAATGTCTTAATTATTAAGTGGCAATCAAGTAAAAAAAGGTTTTGATAAAAAAAAAGTGACAAAAATTCCCGAGATTTTTTATGAGTACGTTTCTGGAGTCTTAAGCATTTTTGTAGGGGTTAGTTTTAGGCACAGAAATTGAATTTGTCTTTAGTATTTTATTGGTAGACCAAAAGAGTGGAGTTTTAGGTAAAAGATGCTGGCTCAACACTCACATCTGGGCTTATCATGAGCCTTTCATCTGGAAACATCTGGGAACCTATGATCCTACCATCAGAAAAAAAGGAAAAACGGTTTCCCAATACCAAACGGCCACGGATTGATCTGAAAATTTGCACACGTATATAGTGGAGCGCAAAAAATCCTGTGCTCGAATTTCCGAAGGAAGGTGGCATTTGATTTTGCGCTCTTTTTCTGGAAAGCTCCTTGATTATTTGTAGTTCCTTCATAAAAGTTTCATTCATTAATATACCAACCTTTATTTCTAAATTCAGTCGGTCTATCAAAAATTATAGTCTAAGATGCAGTTGCATTTTCGACGCCACTACTCCTGCAAGTCTCAAACTTTGCTAAAATATAGTCCTGACCTTTCTTTGGCTTGAAGTTGAGTAGTGGCGCCGAAAGTGCAGCTAGCTCTTAGACTAATGAAAAAAGAGACATTTTCAAACACTAGACCGTCAAGTTATGCTAAGCAGAAAATGGGAGGGATGGGGTTGATAATTTTAAAACGCAAAAAGCTAAAATGCGTCAGCACCTGTTCCTGTATTGGAATGAAAATTAAAGTGCACGAATTTGCTGACCTCATGTTGGGGAGCTGTAAACATGGTATAGATTGCTGCAAATTCCTCGTTCTTAGGAATATCCGCCCAACCTCTTTTGTTTAGTAATAACCTTTTCCTCTCACTTTTTGGCAGAACGCTTTTTCAACTTCTCCTGTGCTGGAGCTCCAGAGTTTGCATCCTGAATCGCCTACATTACCTCCGTCGGATCTCTCTCCACAGTATGACCTTATCACGAACAATGATGTCGAACAACTATCTCTAGAAATAGAAAAAGAAAGGTATGATGTTGTGCTTTTTCTAGTTTAGTCAATTCTAGCTGGTGGCTGTGTCATCCTGTAATAATGAATGAATTTTAAGCAGAAATAGAATTAATTTAATTTTTCTCTAATGGTGTAGCGGTGTACCTTTTGAGAAAAGAACTATTTGTTTGATGAAAATTTTTTTTAAAAAAAATGAACTTTTTCTTGCAGGGTGGATTACCTAGAAAAGAGCAAGAATCTCCAAGATCAGCTGCGAGATCTTCGAACAGAAATAGAAGTGCTCAAGGTCAGTGAGAAGCAGAGTGACCTGGACACGCTTCATGAAGAGCAAGTTCGGCTGGGAGAAACCAAATATTCAACCTTGAGGAGGGTAAGTCTTCACTACACACTTATCGTACACCATATTTTAGGCATGAGAAAATTTCAAACTTCAACCAGAGGTTTCAGTTACGAACAGTCAAATTGCAATGCTGGCTGCGTGCAAAAACGCAATGATAATGTCGCGGTCACTCAGTTTCTCCAAAAAACTGAGCAACAAACAAGCAACACTGCTGTGCGTGGAAAATATTTTCTGCATTTTTCATCTACTTTTATTGGTTGTCAGTTCACTAATTTTATTTAATTTGTTGTTGTAGGTGAAATCCGGTTCAACGAAAGCTAGAGTGGCCTTTTTCGAAGAGCTGTAATCACAACTCTCCTTTACTCAGTATACTAAAATACATTTATCCTCACAGTGCAATTATTCATTTTGTTTGCAACTGCAGGTGCAGACGCATTCACGAATCAACTGATAACCACAGTTAAGGTGCTATTTTCAGTGTTGAAACTATTTTGAACATAAATACTCTTTTTATGATATAGCCAGTAGGGTAGATAATTTGAAAACTGGGCTTCATTAAGCTAAAACATTTGACCCTCACTGGGCATAGATAACAATCGCATAAAAAAATTGACAAGCAAAAAAAGCAACACATGTTTCTATAGTGCTTTTCTTTTGATACCAACTAATTTTAGAACAGTAAAAGTCTTCTGTAAGTTAACTATTAGATAGTAGGAAAGTAGATCCTTGAATGTCTGTTGTAAAATTAAAGTATTGGAAAGGAGATCAACCAAAACTGCTGAAAAATCGTTTTCAATAGCATATTATAATACCTACTGGCTGAAAAATGTGGAAACTAGAATTAGTCGGGGAAAGAAACTATACTGAAAAATTTCATGTACAAGACTGGTTTTTTGTCCTCTCGCTCAATTTCGGTTTATCCTCCGAGTTCTTACTATTATAGGAACAAAGATTATTGAAAATTATTACGTTGAGCTGATAATTTTGACCTTTTTTTCATAATTGAAGAAGACCATTATTCTTCTCCTCAAATATCTTTGAAGGACTGAAAAATAAGCCAAAAAGGGAAAAGTCCTTTAAAATCCTAGTATCATCAGACATAAGCCTTTGTGTAACTTGCCTCAAGTCATTGAATTTCTTCTCTGTTTTGAATGTTTGGACTTAGGACCCTGTTGAAGTTAAATTATTATTCTTTGATCAACTTCAAAATCAATACTATTCTCTTCTCATTCCTCAAAATGTCTTTCTTGGCTTAATTTCGGAAGCTGTGTGAATCTCTGTCCCCTGTCTAGAAAATTAATCAAAGAAAGAATAATAATATGAAGACGAAGGTTCATAACCAATTTTCGGTTTGTTTGCAATGTGATGCCTTAACCTAAGCCTGCTTTATTTTGATGCTGTTTGCCATTCATGTATATTTTTCTACATAGCTGTTTTGTACATATTATTTTGTATATTTCCGTTTGGAAGCTCTTTCCTATTGTTACCAATCGTCTTTTGTGTAAATTGAACTAATATAAATCCAAATTTCCTGGTTTTCGCAGCAGCAAGTTCGGACCATGGACTTTTGTGCATGGTATTAAGGCAGACACTCATCACAAATTGAACGAGAGATGTATCTTGCTTGTGTATTCTCACTTAGTTAATGTGAATTCGAAACAGTTATACCTAATTTTTGAGTTAAATTTCGAACTTTCTGTTGTGAAAATCTTTTGCCTAGGAAGCATGGAAAGTAGTGCTTCAATTCACTGGCCTGTCATTGGGAATTTACCTACAATCTAAATCGGATCAAAGCCTTGTCAATAATTTGTCTTATTTATTATTGTTAAGTTTGTGCCAAATATCCATTCATTATTAAAAGCTCATGGTTTGTTGGTGGAGTAACCATCAAATTTCTGTTTCGATCTGTATTAATGTGAGTCGAATTAGTGCCTAGGAAGGCCTGTGAATTTTTTAGTCTGTTTTGTTCAATTTTTTATCAGTTAAGTTGTTTTGGAAGTTCATTCCAGATAAAAATCAAACTAATGTAATTGGCCAGCTGTGTTTCTTGAGGAAACGTGGCTTGGCCGTTTAACTGTAACAAAATTTCTCGGGAAATTGAATCAAAGTTATGTATGGTATGATTGTCATTAAAGCGTTCAGTTATTAGTGTCGCAAATTTGTAATGGTTTGATTTAGATCATGGTATCTATTCATCTGAACCCTTTATAAAAGCAGTGTATTTTTCAGATCAATTTCTCTCATTCGTATCAGTTTAATTTAGATGAACTTCCAACTGATGATTAGTAATCATTTGAAGTTACCTCATTTAAAATAAGTGTTTTGCAGAAAACACTTTCTAGCTGTTTTTTTGGATTCTGACCACATATACGGCACAAACCAATTCCATTGATTGGATACAATGTGTTACTGCCGTTAATACCGTTTTTTAAATTGGATAAAGAACAGTAAGGTCTAATTAATTTTGTTGTTTTAAAATCTGAAGAGTTGTTTCCACTATGAAACCTTCAAATTTACATTCCCGAGGAACTTTGATGAATGCTTGTGCGCGCGAGCTGCTCACGAATTTTGACAGTTATCACTCACTTTTTCTTGATGAGCAACGCCTTATGTTCCCAGGGATTCCTGTTCCCGTTACCAGCACTCAATTTTTCTAAAAAAGTTAGATTTGCATTCGAGTGAGCTTGCAATACGCTACTTTAATTTTATTTTCTGCACTTGCCTGAATCAATTCTGATCAAAATTGTAAATATGAGACCTTAATGGAAGTTTAGAAGTGTTTGAGATATAGTCGAGAATTCCTCAAGAAAGTCCTCTTGATGGCTTCAAATCTATCGAGGGTGAAACTGCAGGAATGTGTATCTCCTTTGCGGTGTCTCAAAACCCTCACTCCCATTTTATTTTATCATTTAAGCACTAATCAAGGCTACTGCTTGAAATTTCCCTAAAATATTAATCACTTGGAGAAGTAAAATCGAGCGAGTTTCCGAAGAACAACAAGGAGTGCTTCTTCATTTAAAAAGGAAAAGAAAGACAGAAAATCTTCAACATTGCAAACCAAGATACGCATTCCTCCAGCTTCACTGCTGATGTACTAAGTTCATTTCTGTAACTTTCTAATCTTCAATGTAAATTTTTGCCTTGAAAATTGTGATAGTCGACTGTTTTTTCAATTAATTTTAGTTTATTAACTCACCTAACCAGATGGTATGAGTTGACAAAACTTGGATTGTTTTAGGTGTCATAGCAACTCCAAGAGTTGCTGCAATTTTTTAATGTTTTAGCTTGGCAGGTTGAATTTGTAGGTTTAGGGCTGTATTCATAGTCGTTCTTTGAAAGTCAAGGCATCCTTAAGCCGTAAGAATTAGTTAGTTAGTTAATTACATCGGTGAGGGAGACCTTAATATATACGGAACGACTTCGACTATGACAGCTACTAAGAGAACAAAGAAGTAAAATTGAGCCTGTGTATTTTTTTCCATCTGCATTTATATTCTGAACACCAGTGAACTGGAGAGGTGTCGTGGAGAACAGGTCTCGCTTCCCAAACTTTTGACAACATATTTTTGTCTAACTGTCAAAATCTACAAAAACAGCCTGCTTTTTTTACAAGCGCTTTTTACTTTCATTTCATTTTATTTAAGATTCTAAATTTTTAGCAATAAAACGCTCTGAGAAGGCAAACTGTGATTTCTATTGTGTTTTAACCTTTTCGAACCTAATCCATCACTAACAAGAGATGAAAACGTCAATTACACAACTGCACCTACTTAAGTCATCAATTTTCTTACAAACAATTAAAAATTAAGCCGAAGTAAAAGAACAGGCCTGAGGAGGTTTCCTCCATTTATTTTAATCAAATGAATGTACAAAGTGAAAATGACGATCAACTAATATTTACAACATATTTACAACATTACAGCAGAAACGAAAATCATTCGGCAACAAATTTGACTTTCTTAAAGGTAGACGGAAGATCACTCCAGGTCTGCATTTTTTATTGCTCACTTTTCAGACTTAAGCTATTACAAAACGAACTCTACTCGATCAATGGATAAAAACTTCCAAAGAATTTTTCTCTCAGTATTTGATTGACTGATTGATTCCTTTTTTGTGGATTTGCATTGCTAATGCCAATTAAGTGATAAAATATGAAAAAACTGCCTTGAGATACAAATGGTGTCTAGAGGCTTCAAAATCAGTAAAAAAAAAAAAAAAAAAAACTGTCCTAATGCCAGTTTCATGCAATGCTTTATCTACACAGGTGAACTACTTCGGCAAATTTCGGAAAAACTTTTGTACATTCAAAAATCAACTTCGCCGATTGAGCTGAGTCTACTTGGTTCAACTAACTACTTAGTCCGCCATGCAACATTAGTCACAGAAGTTCACCAATGTAGACCAAACGTTAAAATTTAAGAGGAAAGCTAAATACGCAAAAGGACCCAATTTTTAAGATAAATCTAATCAATAGATTCAAAATTAGAAGACTGTGCCTAAAAATTGATACCCCTGATTTTTCTAAGGCAGTAAATATTCAATTCAGCACCTACTATTAGACACTGACAGAGTGGTCTTCTAATCAACAAGTCTTGAGGTTACAATCGTTTCCAGCCTCATAAAATTAGTCAGGATTTTATTCCCTAGTTAGTTCGTGTACAGGTAATGTAAACATTTTAGCACAAAAGAGGGCGACACATTCGTCCGAAAATGGGATTCAAAATTACTGCAAATACTTACATGAATATATTATTTCTTTGACATAAAATTAACTTTCAGTGGCCATCTTCATATTCAAATTTATAAAACGTAGTAGATTACTGACGGACTAGGGGTCAAAAATTTAAAAGAGGTACAGTTATCTAATGGACCACAAAGAGAGATCCTTAGATAGTGTTCAGTGTTTCAAACCTTCAAGTTTTTGCCCCTGAGTTTTCACTGACAACAATAATACTGGACAATGAAAGAAGTTCGATGGCTGAACTGAAAGACCTAGCTCATGCTGCAACAATGATGGCAGGACCGCTTTTCTTTAAGAATCCTAAAATTACTGCCAAATAAGATTCCCACTCATGCACTCACTTTTGAATTCTGAGAAAATAATATCCGTAGGTAAAAGAAAATTCAAGGAATAATATTCCTTTATGGAAATTGAAATCATCCAAAATGAAAGCGAATGCTTTTGCCACCATCATGCTTTCAATTTACTTAATAAGAAACAAGTAGATGAGTAAAGCACGCCGAGCCTCAATCTGACTCTTCGTGAAGTTGTTGTAAGAGAGCAGCCCTTTGTCGTTCTAATTCTTCATCACTGACTTCTGGTGAGCGCTCACGAGGATTATCGGTGGCTTCCGGTTTGTCCTCTTTCTTTTTTGTTGCTACATCTTCACGCTCATCAGACTTGACCTGCAGGCAGAAGAGAAACTTAAAGGGATGCAGAGAAAATTATCAAACTTGGTTGATTTTAGAATATTACTAATAAAACTAGAAAAACGATCGGCATCTCAATAGTTGAGTTGCGAAATTTCCTCTCAAATTTCATTCTTCCAAAATATATCAACTGTGATATTTTTTCATGAATCATGGAGGATTTTCTTGAAAGAGTAACCAAAAATCAGACAATTTTCTACAGCAATAACAATGAGAGATCATCTTTCAGACAAGTCTGAGAAGCCTTTGCTTGCTCCCGTCAAAGATTCTAGTGTTCGACAACGGCAATTCTGATAACAGGGAATACTAATTTCTAGGCACCACACAAATAGGTTACAACAGGTATCTGTTAGGTCTTGAACAAGATTCCTGTTTTTCCTCTTTCCCAATAGATAAAAAATTTTTATTGACGCCAACTTGTATCATTAACGGTCCCACGGGACTACATGTGCTCCCGGACTAATGTGTAAATATTTGAAACCGCTTGGCAAAAAATTGTTAAAAAAGGACATAAAAATTAGGACTCATTCACTGAGAGTTTAAAATGACTGTTCAAAAAACTGTCGAAAAATGGAACGATTAGAAATTGTGAAAAAATTAAAATAAATAAATTCACCTTGCAATTAATACCTCTTTTCGATAAACGCAGCCATAAACTAACACGCTTTGATTAATTACATTTAGTAGTATTTTCTGAATACATGGTGATCCTTACATTATCATATTTTTGTATGATTTTAGAGAAATAAAGGTCACTTTAAAACAAAGGCAAATCCTAATTTTCTCCTTGAAGCTGGAGTAAAATGAGAGAAATTAGCATTCTCAACCTTTACCCGAGACCTACATTATTAGTTTTCCAGAAATCTAGCATTCTTAGGAAGCCTTTTATAAATGAGCAGAATTTCTTACATTTCACTGATGTAAAATATTCAGTTGCATTTAAATGCATAATAGTTGCAACTGCTGAAGTTTCTTAAAGAAAGAATAATTCTTGAAATGATTAGCTGTCACACTGTCTTGTGTCCGATTCTTTAGGACATTATGCAACAAAATTTTCGGGTAGATCCAAATGTTTTTGTCAGGTAAATCTTGGTATTTTTGAGCGGATGCGGAATGGAAAGAGAAGGAGGCGGAAGGATGGGTACATACGCTTGTGGCGCTTGGGGCCAGGATGGGTCTCGAAGCATGGGAGGGGGCTGAGGGGAGGGTTCAGATACCGACCGGTGATTCGTCTCGCGTAGATCGCTTCTTCTTACTCTTCTTACGTCTACTTGATCGGTGATGATAGTCCGAACCATCCGAGGAGTGTGAACTGTGTGATCGCCTTCGTCGCCTACGTCCGTGGTGGTCTGAGTCACTTCCGGAACCCTGCACATAATCAAGAGTTAGTGGTTGACTATTGGCAAGATTTTGCGAAATCAATTCACATTGAGCATTGGTGGAAGGGGAAAGAAGAACACAAAAAATCGAATCTGGAAGATAGGCAAATATATGAAAAAGCAAGTGAATTATTTGAAATTTATTTTAAAAAAAATGTTTTGAAATTTGAAATTTTTGAAAGTTTTAAGATCTATTAAGGAGATTTTCTAGAGAGCAAATCTCACATTCGTCTATGAGAAGTGCAGAAAATTTTCAAGATGAATCAGCAATGGTTACACTTTGACCACCTTAGTCTACTAAGCAAGGTATAGTAATAAAATGAAAATACTTACATGTGAGCGTGATCTTGACCGTTTCCTATTTTTCTTGTTACGTTTTGATTTCTTTGACCTAGAATGATGATGGTTACAGGATTCATCTATGTCACGCTGGTACTCCTGAAATAGCAGATCACGAGGCACATTTAATTTTACAACATTATGTATGCTGCAAGCAAAAAGGAGCTTATGAGTGGTATGAGATTACTCAAATAGATGGAAACTACAGTCCATTGCCTTTAAGTTACTTCTTAATCAGCAAAAAAAGAAAAAAAAGAAAAAAAATTAAAGAGCCTCCAATTTTAGGTTTGGAATATTTTAAATTCCTAGGCAAAGAACTTTCTAGAAAATAATATTATCAATAACACAAATTTTTAGTTTTTGAAATTTTTGTATGCATAGATGCTTAACAAGTTAGCCCTTTAAGCTCTAATACCTACTCCTGTTCGAAAAATTGCTTTACAATTTTGCTCGTGTTCAAATGCGAATACAGGGAGCATAACCTCGAAAAATAATTTGAGTGCAATGAGTTAAAGATATTACACATGTTTTCACCCCAAAAAATGTTGAGACTAGTTTATAGTCAGAAACCAGCTATATTTTTCAAAATTACAATTTTTAGTTGTCTACATCAAACGCAATGCAATGGACCAAATGGATCCAATGTAAGATATTAAGCATCATTAACAATTTTTCATCCCCGAATTTTTTAACCAGTTCATAGAAAAGATACCAAAAATTTTCTCCTGTAACATAAATTTTTAGTGTTTTAACTAAAAGAGCACTGCTGTTCAAAATTGTTAAAACACAGCACTTTTATTCTTGAACTTCAACAAACATCGCTCACAATGCTGCCACATAGCACCCGAAGTCTGATTGAATCGAAGAGACCTACCTTGAAGACTCTGATTCTTTCAGACTCAGCAATAATCGCTTTGAAAGCATCTTGTTTTTCGATTTTAGGCCGGATCTCTTCCCACTCTGTCTTGTAATCAACATCGAACTCCCTCAGAACATTCTTGAACCCATTTTCTAGTTTTCGTTGCTTTCTTGTCTCCTCTTTCTGCCGCTCCTTGTCCCGTGCCTCTGCCTGAAATTTTAACTCAATTAAATATTTTTGATTCCAATGCCCACACAAACTAATGCACAAACGTTTTAAGTATTTTCCAGCATATGCATTTCACAGAAAATTGGAGAGTTAGTCGGTAAATATTTATTTAAATACTTATATTCATGAATATCAAATAATTCCTGAGAAAGTTAACAGCTTTTTTTTGTAGAAAAGTAAAGTTGAATGCATATAATGCGAAATTTGTTGGATTTTTGTGCATGTTACCTTCAGACCTTTACATTTCCTGCAGAGGATTTTCAATTTGGTCTATTTTTAAAAGATACAATGGACAGCAGAAAAAACACTGCAGAGATCTTTCCAGTTCTCAGACCAGTCTCACATCAAACGGTATGTAAAGTGATTGTTAAAGAATGTTGGCGAAGAACATTAGGAAAACCTAACTTCTGATTACTCTCTTTCCACAAAATACTTGCCCGCTAAAGAAATGAGTCAAAAACTGAATTAAAGTCGGAAGAATCTTTCTCCTTCAGGAAAACATAATTTACCATGGTAACTTTTATTCCAATCAAAAATTTCCCTCTAATAAAGAAAGAGTCTGAGCTGAGCAACTATCAGCACAAACATTCAGATAGAACAGTATTTATTCTTTTTATCATATTCAGAGAGGGATAATTGAACATAAATTTTTTTATTGTCTATAAACTTATGTGCCTTGAAAATTGATTTGGAAACTTTTTTAGAAAACATTTTTAGTTGAAAGTCTTAATAATTTTGCGTTCCACAAAAATATTCTTTTCACATTAAATGAGAGGCAAAAAAATACATTACCTTTTCCAAAAGAGCATTGTAAGTAAGTTTAACATTTCCTGCATCTAATGTTGCTGAGCGCTGGTCCTCACATACAACGGTTGCAAATTCTTCAAAGGAAGTATTTGTCTAGAAAAGATTTAAGGAGAGAAAAAAAGATAAAATTGGATATTAAAAAAACATGCCGAACAAAAATTAAATTTAAAAAAAAAAAACACAAAGAAAATTTGGAATACTTGAAATACACTGGTACAATATTGTCCCTCATAAAAAGTATAGAGAGAAATACGCAGAAATACAACAGTTAGGGGTAAAAAAATACCGTTATCTGCTGGCTTTAATTTAGCATATAACTGTGATACTATAGTAGAAAATGACTGCAATAAGAGTGTAATAGGAAATGGGTAATATTATACTAGATTAAATTAAGAAGATAGTTTTTTTCTTGTACTTCTAAAAATAAATTAGAAACTTGACGAGGAAATTAAATCTTGAGCCATTTGGTAAGAATAACTAATGAGAGCTAAACATGTAAAAATCTGATATACTATGTTCGCGAAGTTCCGAATTAAGATGAGATGGGAGAATGCAGTGCAAAAATCATGCAGATCTACACAACATAACAATAGCAGATTAACAGCCTCTTAAAGTATCACATTAACTTCTGACGACTTATTTGTCAAAGGCTTTTCAATCAATTAGAGAACTCCAAAATTACAAGGAAAAATCTCAACTCCTGAATGGTCAAAATCGTACTGCATATCGTCCTTTCAGAAAACTCTAACATCTCAGGACTGGAAAAAATTAATTCTGATGTGGTCTCTATGCCAACAAAAAAAACGATCATAAACATAGGAATGGAAGTTTACCTCAACTTCAAATCCTTTTTCCTTGAGAATTTCCTTGATAATTTTCTTTTCGTCATGGAATCGCGATTTCAAGTCCTCGACAAAAAATTTGAATAAATCTAGAGGTGTTGAACCTGAGAAATGAACATAAGAGTGGTGCGTTAATAGAGGTTTATCTCACAGTTTGAAGAAAAAAAAATGTATTGAGGACAGGGTTACGGCTCTGTCAGGTAAGTTAGCAATTTTTTAATTTAGTTTAGTGAATGATCAAGCGGTTTACACTTTCTTATGGCCTCTGTCATCTAAGGCTACGGTGCCACAAATGAATTTCAGTATATGCTAACATTTTATTGATCTTGACAGCCATGTAGCAGTATGAAGACCAAGAGTTCGATTCTTTTTTATATACAAAGGTACTCTTACAGTTCTTGCCAGGTGAAGTCTCCTCTACTCCAGTTGGTTAGTTGGCAGAAAATCTCTTCAGTCCAATGACATGTATTTTAATTCATAGCATCAGACTCATGAAGTGTTCAACTCAAACTTTAAGTCTTCACCTCAGTCGTGACTATATGATCATGCAAAGTCATAACTAGTGGTTGCCATTAGATTCCTTATCTGTCGTGCTATCTGCAGCTACCAACAAAATCATGTCTCTAAAGACTTGCAGACTTAAGAACTGCAATGGTCTTGACAAAAATCATTGTAATTTTCAAAAGTAACAGAAATTGGCAACAAGAAAAAAAGGGACGCATTCAAATGACATTTAAAAGGGCAAATGAAAAAGAGAAAAATTTCACACAAGATCAAACCTGGTTGGGCGATAAATGGAGACATAATAAAATATGTTATTGTCAAAAGTTGATCTTTTTAAAAGGTAAGAACCATCGTAAAACCTTCAATCAAATAAACTGATTTTGGTTAGGATAGGATACATACCTGGCTGACCCAACATGGCCGAGAATCGGATATCAGCACTAATTATTGGATACAACTCTACCCACAGAGACATGGATGTAACCTTGCCTTGCTCGTGTAGTTCATCAAGTAGCACCTGGTATAAAAAAATAAGAAATCAGAAATTCAATTCATAGAATTTACTAAGTCTCATCGATTATTATCAAGTATAATTCCAAAAATTTAGGAAACATCAAAAGATCGTTGCAAAAATACAACATTTTTTTACCAAACCTCAACTGCAATCATGATTTTACAAACACAATGAAGGATTTTCATGATTATTTTTCAAAATAATCCTGATTTTACTGAACCCAGGAGGGAAACTTGATGAGGTAGAACTATTATCGTTGAAAACTAGGTTGCAAAATTCTTCCATAGCCTTGTAAAGATGCAATATCTTGAATTGAAAGGAAGATTAGCTGAATGAGCACTTACACAAAAATTATCTCTAACTTTCCGTTGCTGCCTTTTTAAACGCTTCTTCTCTCGTTCCTTGTCTTCTTCTTCTTCTCGCTCTAGCTCTCGGATGTGATCTTCAAACACTATCAAAGCATCTTCTTTGTCCATTGCTACATTCGGTAGATGAAAAGAAGAAAATAAATGCATTAGATAAAATTGGAGAAAGAAAGATCAATTCCCAAAAAATATGTTTAAAATTGAAAAAGTACTCAAAACATACATAAAAAAATTTTGAGCTGGAATGGTAAATGTAAGAATTCATTTTAAGACTATCTTGAAAAGTTAGACTTAGTAATCGATTCTAAGCAAAATGTGGGATGTCTAAATTTGACAGAAATATCAATTTCAACTCCTTGATGAACTAAACTTGTAAACAATTAAGACGGAAAAACCTCTCCTTTTCCACAAAGATTTAAAATGCTCCTGAACTCATATGCGCACTAGATTTATTGTAAAATAGTTCACACTGATTTGCACTGCTCACCTAAGAGGTTAGGTTCCTCTGTGAACGCAGGATTGTCCAATAGCATCTGCTGCGCTTCCTGCCACGTTGTTAAAGCTTCAATTTGAGTCATTGAATCCAGAATCGATGCTAATTGTTTCATATTACTTTTCTTTCTAGCTTTTGCTTCCTCTTTTTCCCGTTTGGCTAGATTGAACATGACATCTTCGAAGATGTCTCGCCGTTCGGAGTCGTTGACATTTTTCCACACCTGAAAAAAGAGCATTGACAGTGCATAAAACATATCCAGAGCTTTAAGTTTAACAAGAAGTGATGGAACCAATATTTAATTAATTATGTTGACACCTGTTCGAACTGTGACAAATTTAAGAGAAGAATTCAAAAATATTATCAGGTTTATACAAAATTTTTTCATAAAAAATATTTTACTGAGTCAGAGAAATGGTCCAAGACAACTTTTGAATGCAATCAGTGTACCTCTGAGGAAATCTCCTCACTCTAGTCATTTTGACATGAAAGAACTTGCTAGTTCTTCCACGGTTTTATCAACTAGCAAAATTACTAACCTCTAAATCATCAAACAGCTCCATACATTTGTAGTACCGTGTGCTAGAATTAATCTTGTCAGTTGTCATGAGAAATTCTTCAAGATCTTCTTTTGCCTTTTTGGCACGTAGTCGTTGCTCCTCTCGTTCCTCTTTCAGTTTTTGCGTCTTATAGGCATTGAATGCCTGCTTCTTCTCATTAAGTTGTTTCAGCTGAGGATAACGAGGGTCTCTTGAGATCATTTTCACAGCTTGTTCCCATGTTGCGTTGCTAGGCACATCCTGGTGGATAAAATTTATGAAAATACAGATCATTTTTACCAAAATACAAGTTTGAGACTGAGAAGTAGAATCTTAACTTTTACTGATTGAAGAAAAACAATTTATCTCACTATGGGCAGCGGCATAAAAATAGTGTTCAGTGGCAAAAAGTTGTGAAACAATTTTATGACTTGAAACAGAATTCGTGGAAATTAAACAATTCAGCAACAACATACTGTTAGACTCTAGTATTCTAAAAAATATATTACAAGGGGGTTCAGTTCATTTGGATGCTACTTAAAGGTATTTTGACATTTAAATTAAAAAACTCTGTGCTTCACACATGATGTATGCAATTTTTAAATTGCTTCCTCATAAAACTGCATTTTTAAAGGAACAAATTTCAAAAAGGTTGTGACTGCAGTTTGGTTTGACATTTTTGGGGGTTTTTTGCCCTAAAAAGTGCAAAACACTTCTCTATAAAATCTTATCAATAATTTTATTTTGAGGTTTTTGAGGCTGAGATCTTTTGCATGTAGATAGTCACATTGTGTCCATTTCTAGGTTTGCAATTGCGATCTGAGTAGGTGGAGATATGAGACAGGCTTATGCAGCTAATTTACCTTTTCCTTCAATAAGTCCTTAAATGCTTCGATTGCTTCTTTTTTATCTTTAAAAACTAGTTTCGGCTCTGGAGTTCCATTTCGGCTGGCTGATGCTGAGCCTGGATTACTGTCCTCGTCTAAAAATGCAAAAACATTGGAAATTTTTGAAAAAACAGAAAATATCTGAAAACTAAAATAATCTAATTTGACAAGCAGTATATTCCCCTGATGAGCCGCAAGACAAAGTTAGAATTAAAACATTACGAAAAAATTTTCCTTGGCAAAAGTTAACGAGGAAAACAAATTGTATGACAAGAGGTCTAAAAATTAACTTCTAAATACGATTTTAATAGTTAAAATTACCAGTGGTTAAATGGCGAGCATACAAACGACGTCATTCATTTAATCTAGCTTCCATTTTATCTGTGTTGAAAATACTATTCAACACCTCCGTCAAAAGTTGATTTCTGATTGTTCTGGCCGAGTGAATCATTTTCTGGGAGAGATTTTCAAGAGAAAACATGTGATGTTTTTCTCTAATTCAAACCCTGTCTGGTGGCCCATAACTTGGGATGGTGACCAGCAGTTCCTAAGACGATTTGTTTATGAACCCTGTGAAGGGTGTGCAATTTGTGGTCTCCTACCATAATCAAGATTGCATTTGTGGAAATTTGAGGTAGACTTTTCTGTGTAATTATCTTTTTAACTCAGTTCATCCATATGACACTTTTCGGAAATAAAAATGAAAGTGAATGGAAAAGAAAAATAGATCACAATTGTTTTGCTCTTATGAATGAAAATTTTGAACTATGAGGGCAGAGAGGTTATGCTCCGCATTCAGTCAAAATGATATCATTCATTTTCAAAACAGACTACCTTCCATTCTTATTCTATCATCATTTTTCTGTACTTCTCAAATTTGATCCTTTATTCCTCTATATCCTCCTTCTTTATCAAGCAGACCCCTAGGAAATTGGAAACCACTGATTTATACCTTTCATTCATTGTCTGTTATCTTATCAAACATCTAATATCACACTTTCCACTATAATGCTTATTTAATTTTTGATTTTCATGATTAAGGCCCAGGTGCTTGATTTTTAATGCTGTGCCGACAATTTTGTACTAAATGATAGTTTGTTGGTGTGAAACAATGTACAATTTTGTATTTCATCAGAGGAATAAAATAGTATTCTTGACGCCTCCTGATCTTCCTGTGAGATAATTAGTGGAGGGGGGGGGGGCGCTCTGAAGAATCGTCTCTGATAGCAAAATTCAATTAACACTTACCTTTGAGTGAAGAGGGAGCACTAATAGCAGCAAGGGTGGCTGCCATAGCTTGGTCTAAGGCTGAGGAAGAGGACACAGGGGGTGTGAGCTGTGTCATAGGACCTAAAATTAACCAAAAGAAAAAAAAAATTCATAGATTTTTGACAACACAAGTGGGTAAAATTAAATGTAAAAAGAATAAAAAAAGAACATATTTAAAGAAAATTTAAACATTCTGATGCTAGATAGAGTGTTGATTTTGCCTACAGGCGTTAAAATTCAGGATATAACTAAATTTCTCATTAGAGAGGGAAAAAACTCATCCAAGCAAGATATTTCGTCTTAGAGAAAGATGATGTTTGGTGCAACACTACTGCAACTAGTGCAAACGACTCATGCATCGATCCGCATTTTGCTCATACTAATTCTGATGCTGATCAAGAACAAAAGGGGACTGTTGAAACTTTTTCCTTTTAATTCCTTTAGCAGAACTAAACCAAATTATGGGGGATAAGTTGAAAATTGTGAAAAAATTGAGATTTGTTGATTCACTCCCTCACCTGTGGGAATAGGAATCGGAGAGTTGACAGCCGATGAGCTTTGAAAATTGGTGGTTGGCCTGAAAAATAAAAATTCAGAATATATAAGCAGATGAAAAGAGATAAAACATATTTTTCCCCCACTTCAAACTCAACGAAATGTGAAAGGTTTAAAAATCAAAGACAATTGTAGAATGGGAGGCAATAGAGATCTATGCGCCATGGTATATATAAAACGGTATGCTTGCCAATAAATCCAATTAAAAGAGGTAGGAGAGAGGTACTTGCTCCATTACATCATATTAAATTTCACAATAACATGTGTACAGAAGGAGAATGAGGGTGTGCTGGGGTCAAAATTGTAGATGAGGCCAAATATTTGGGTATAATTTTAGATGGCTCACTCAACTTAAGCAAGCATATTGATTACATTGTACCCAAATTGAGGAGAGTGGTATTCTCACGGGTAAATCTCGGGAGATATATCCCAAGAGATGCACTTCGTGAGATATACTTTGCCTTATTTCAATCAGTTCTGGGGTATGGAACAGGAGTAAATGGAGGGGCAGGGGCTACTGTTTTGGATCCTCTGGTTCGCCTGCAGAGGCAGGCCATCAAGGTCATCCTGAGTTTGCTGAAGAGGTATCCCTCTGAGGAACTTTGTGATCTCCTTGGTGTCCTGTCTTTTCAGGGGTTGTATGAGTTTGATCTGATTCGGCTATTCCCTTTACTCCTCAAAGATAGATTGGTTAAAGAAACACGATACAATTTTAGAGGGGACGGATCGGAACTCCTTATGTTGCCTCTGGGGAGGCTCGAGGCTGTAAAAAAAATTTATCTTATACATTGATTATTTACTTTAATAAGCTAAACCCTGAAGTAAGAACTGCATACCTACATACCATGCATTAATTTTTCATTAATCACCTAAATCTTCTTATTATTTACTTAAATTTTTCCTTAATTACTTATCTTTCCCAAATAATCTATTAAGGATTCTTCGAAAACTTGTTTGTTGCTTAAAATATTTTCCTGTTTTGAGCCTTATTTTGTTTGTTTAAGTTATTAGTTCTGATCAGTTACTGTCAGGCTATTGCCAACCAATCTAATTATTTGTTTGTTTTTACACTATATTGTCTATCTCTCTCTCTATTGTAACATACACCACACAAGCTAAGCTTCTGGTGTGTGAAGCAGTTATTTGTACTTCTTTTTTGTAATTGAATATGTAGTTTGTATTAAATAAAAAAAAAATAAATACATTTCAGTAAGTAAAATTTTCTTACAAGTCCAAGCCATCAGCGAGTATTTTTTGCTTCAGCTCATCAAGTTCCTCGGGAATAGTCCAACGAGACTCTTTAGTATTAACATTATGAAAGTACACTTTCCCCGTGTCCGACTGATATTCCTTCCAAGGGCACTTCGAGAGTAACAGCTGAAAAGACAAGCAAACATTTCAAATACATACATTAAGTATCGTTATTGGAACTCTCACTGAAGTTATTGATAAAACAATCCAAGAATAAAGTTTTTTTTCCAATAAAACTAGTAAAAATGGGTAGACAAAACAAAAGTATCGGAAAAAAATCAATCCATGAAGAACATTATGAGGGGGGCTTCTTTCTATCGATTTGGCGACCCCATATATTATTCTATTTCTCACTTGCTTTCATACATGTTCTCTTACTCAAAATAAGCTTAAAATTACCATCCGCACCGATATGGTCTTGCTCCACTTTGGTTTAGTGCTGCAGTTCTGTCTTTTGCTCCTATTCTACCCAGCCATCTTCCAGAAGTTTAGTTTTAGTTTCATGATGAAGTTTTCGCATTTTTTTCAATAATGAGGCTCATGAACTCATGATCTTTTAATTAGTAAAATAAAATTGGATCTAACGGTGATAATGAAAAGCTGGCATCCTGATAAATTTAGAGACAAACTACAAAATGAAAGGGGTTTTAAAAAAAGCTCCTTACCTCTGCTGGTGTCTTGAGTTCTTCAGGTTTTTCCCACAGACTTTGCTTTGTCACGGAATTATAATAGTACACTCTTCCTCCAGGTGCAGTGTGCTCACTCCAGTCACTTTTCTTAATATCTACTTCTCCGTTTTTCTCGCTAAAAGATGATTTTAAAAAAAATGGTAAATCAAAATTGTGGCGACAACTCATCAAAATTTAGGCATAAATAAAAAAACTTTGAGAGATCACAATAGAAATTGACAAAAAAAAATAAAGAACTTGCAGCTGAACATTGGGGCTGGTGGATTGTTAGCTAGCCAATATTATGGGTAGGTACCCACTTTCAAAAAAGTTTTATCATGAAACCCTCCCTTCAAATATATATGATCACTCGCTCACTACATCTACTGGACAAATCTTTTATCTTTGGAGGAAATTTGTGAAACAATAGGTTGCTGGTTACCTGGTGAAACCTTATAATTTCAACAGGTTAGTGTAGTTCATATAATTCCAAAACACTTCAAACTTGAATTAGCTAGTTCCAAACACCTAAGGAAAGTCATAATGACGTATAGAAAGCTGGAACTAAAAAACTCAAACTCAAACAAATATATTAAAATCACGAACGTGTTTCAGGGCTCCCTGGCCCCTTCTTCAAGTCTAAATTAACCTTCAAGAAGGAGCTGGGAAGCCCCGAAACGCGTCGGCGATTATAATTTACTTGTGTGAGTTTTGTAGTTCCGGCTCTTTATATGTCATTATTTTGCTCACAGTTTGTTATCTCAATTTCCCGTTTGTTACGCTACTTTCAGTTTATTACCTAAAGAAAGGTTTAGTTTTTTCAAACGACATTTAAGCTGTGCTCACAAGTGAAATTACCTGAGAGGTGTTAAGATTGATGATTTTGCTAGCTCTGGCGGCACCGGAATTGGAGAACCATTTGGGAGCAACGGTTCTAAAAAAAAAACAAAGTGCACAAGTGAGTAACTATCTAAAAAAGAACACCAGAACTTTGTTCCACTTCATTCCATGGGCATAAAACCACACATGGGTTTATTGACTTTGATTTTGTGATAAAATCTTCCATCCAAATAAGTTCAATAGCTAAAGTTTGACAGTTATTTATAAACCCCAGAGACAATTTTGCTTTATTTTATTTTGGAAAGTTCGTACAAATGTGCCGAATTAACAATGGCACAAGTTAAAGATAGTTCTGAGAGTACAATGAGTAAACAAACAAAAAATAGGTTAACTTTGTCCAGATTACATTAGGTACTTTTCTGATGGAGCTTTTAATGGCCTTCCGTAACAGACCACATTTGCAGAATATCATTATCCTTGAGTTTTGAATGGGGTAGAGTTACACCTGGTTAGGGATACAGGAAATTCTTGGCTTTTTCATCTGGGAAACCCATTCATCTTTAAACCTTTCAGGGTGATGACCTCTTTGTGTTTACAAAACCTCGCGATTTTGCAATACATGCAAAATTTTTACTATGATGTTACTAAAAACTTTCAATTTTCACCTGAATTTTGAAAAAAAATACGCTATTTTACTCCTGATGTACTTTCTTTCCATTTTAAAATCATTTTTCAAGATCTTCCCATTTTCGCAAGCAATCGGTTGTGACCTGTTGGTTGCATAGTTGAGAATTATTTGCACCCTTACATCAGGCACAGATTAATTTGCCCCTGTGTATTTTGATCAAATTGGGAATTTGAAATATGTTACCATGAGGAAATCCAAATGCAGGCGGAGGCACTCCAAATCCAGGGGGCCCTGCAGGGAGCCCAGGTGGGGGCAGTCCTGGTGGTGGAATGAACGCAGGTGGGGGCCCACCTCCAAAACCCATGGGCGCTCCTGGTGGCAGGGCAGGCGGTCCACCAGGAAATGGGGATGGGAAATTCTCTTTTGCTGGATTCTGTAAAAAGCCAAAGAATTTTATATCAGATTGCGAAGAAAAAGATGACTATATCATGAGGTTGCTACTATTGAATCCATTCAAATATTAATTTTGTTCTGCAGCCTTGAGGCAGCTGCTTAGTAACAATGAAACGCGATGCTTTTTTTGGATACTCTGAGGATTATACCTCCATTACAGTGCCTTTTTTCCTCAGGATATTGATGGTTCAGCTATTCCTGAAAATGAGACTTGGTGACTTCTTTGCTACTGAGAGCTTCCTCAAGACCTTCAGACAAATCATAGGTCTCCAAGTTTCTTGAAACCTAAAAACTCAAGGACAATACTTCCAAAATAAGTCCTTTCTACATCATAAAAATTTAACTTCCTTCGTTTTCAGTAATCTGTCGATCTCTTACGTCCGATCAAACTCAGATACTAACTAGCAAACTTATTCCTTGACTTGCTTATGGTTAAGCATGCATCAGAGGTTGCCTTTAAATGCTCGAAAGGATACTTAGAAAGGAAAATAGCAGCGCATACTGATAAATCGGAGAAAACTTGCTCATACCACAAACAGGGGAGGTAGGTGCCGTCTGATGAAGTATCAGCGGTTCTCCCTGTGTGTCTGGTGATCCAGTAAAAGAAAGACTTGGAGTATGAATTAATGATAAAATTTGACACCTACACAGAGGTAAATTTCTCATTCTGAAAATTCTAATTCCCGTAGTTAGGAAAGAGAAGCCGTTCCTCAACATAAACAGTCTTAAAGTGAGGTTAGGTCGGGAGGGTACTCACCATATCCGCGGTGGAGAAATTTTCACGTCCCGGAGAGCTGTCGGTTTAATTTGAGGAGAGTCTTCCGTAGTAGAACATCACACTTAATAATGCAGATCAGACTTCATGAGATTCTACACGAAAAACACGAATTTGCGGTCGTCAATCGGCACGGGGACAAGGGACGAGACGAGCAAAAACGGTGCACGACAACGCGAAAGCCGGGGATATGCGTCGCTACGATTGGCTGATCACGTGTGACGTCATTGACGTCTCGAAAGCTCTAAAACTTTGTAAACATTGGTAAACATCCTCTGAATTTTAGGTTAGTGCATTTGATTCGGCTTCCTAATGTCTTATTCGAATCCGAATTACTTTTTGCAAATTTGATTTCGTTACGACTTTTGACGAATTTTCGAGTCATGTGATCGAGTAAAAATGTTCTCTTTTCCTCGTGTCCTTATTGTCACTTATCGATCAGTGCCCTAACCTTCGTGTTATCGCATGGTTTGTTTAAGTTTTAGTAGTTCAGTCAGTGCCTCACGAAGATGAAGTTCGTAAAGACCGCTAGACTGCTCCTTCAAAGAAAATTACTGCTGCCGAAGCTGACCAGCAGTCAACTGGAGATTAATGGTCCTCTTACAGAACTAAGACTCTCTCCAACCAGCCACCCAGCAATCAGAAGTTTCTTCCACTCCTCCTCCTGTGAGTTCTGGTTTCCAATTTTCAATCTCTACGCTTGTTCTTTTTCCTTAATGCTAGTCTTCTCTGACGCTAGAGAGACAAAAATCATGACCCTGGACATCTAAGAATGATCTCTGAGCTTTCTAAACAAATAAGGTTCAAAATCTCTGCAGGCGACTGTCTTCCTGGCGAAGATCTCGCTAGCTTCCATATAAGTAAATATTTCAGTGAATTTTCTCGCCATTCGGAAAAAAATTCACTGAATCATTTACAGAAAAACACCTAGCGACTTCCTAGCACGAATGTAAGATGCACACCAGAACTTACTTGGTGTAAAATTGCCCTCATTTCTTCATTAACTAATCATTGCACAAATCAGTGCAAGTTTATCTCAGAGTTACATCTTGGAAGCTGATTAGATTGTCTTCACCTCTTCAATTTAATAGGTCCAAAAGTTACACAAACTGATAATTATTGATTTTTTTTCCCTGGCTGTAAATGTCCGAAAGCTTTGCAAGTCGCTCCAGTTTGCTACATCCTCTTATACTGAGCCTTGGATCCAGCTTTCAATCCCAATGTGCTCGATCTTAACTTTTGTTCATAATGGCAAGTGCATCAAAAAGCAGTGACAAGAGGTGAGACAGAGCTGTGATGTTTAAGAGTGAACATTGGCTAATAAGCAACTGGATGCATACAGCGAACAATCATAAATAAATATCTATGATCCATAGTAAATTTTCGCAATTACTATTGTGTGATGAGTAAATGTTACCTCTTTAGTTGCTCCTTTATAAGTACTAGCTGCATTGTCGAAGTAAACTGTTTAGGACCGTTGGGCAATGGAATTACCCGATTCCAAATGCTTGGCGTTGTTCGACTCCGTTTGGATTGTCTGATGTCCTGGACGTTTACCAAACGGAAGTCAACAAGTTATCTGTCTCAGGAGATAGTTGAGAGCGTTGAGCTAACCTCTAAATGTAATTGTGCACTCAAAACAGTTTTTAGTCAACAGAGACAATCGACAACGCGTTTCCCAACGGGTAAGTCAATGGTCTAGTGATATCCGTCAGCGTTGAGCATCCTACGCAAACAGGAAGTTTACTTCTACAACGCACCTATTGTAACTATCCAATTGTTACATGAGGTTTAACTATCATTACTTTTATAAGTAATATTTAAATTTTAATATAGCTCACTTTTTGGAATCTGAAGTTTTGGCATCGTTTTCATCTGCTCCGTCAGTTTTTGGGTTACTTAGGCCTCATCACCCCCTGTGAGTGTTAATTTCTATTTTTAAAATGTCATTGTTTGTAATTTATTGATTTTATTCTATATCAATATTGTCCTGTAATATGCAAACAAAAAATAATTTAAGGAATTTTATTTTTTTCAGACTGTTCCTGTTGCTCTTTGCCTATCACCTTGGTTGATTCTTTTTCATACCGCACACTCTCATACAATCCTGTGCTAGCACCCCAGGACTTTGTATCTTCTCGGCAGTTTTATGCCAATCATGGAAACTGTCGACAGTTCTGGTCAAGAAGCAAGTCCACTGAAGCAGGAGAGAAAGAGTCAAGCAAAGAAGAAATTTCAAAAGGTAGTGATGATATCCCTGAGGAAAAGATGTCCCTATATCAGCGATTCAAACATATGTACAAGAACTATTGGTATGTCTTGATTCCAGTACATGTCGTCACATCGATTGGCTGGGGTGGCATGTTCTACTATATTGCCTCCAGGTAACATGCTATTAATAATTGTCATTTCTATTCATGATCAGTGAGGATTAATGTGTTATCCAAAGAGAAAATAAGAGCCCACATTGAATATTGAATTCTTGGAGGTGTAGCGTTTTGATTGATGTATAATACATGCCACCCTCTCCGAAAAACACCAAAGATGTTGATTTTTAGAATTTCAATTTTCTTCCAGTTGAGTCGATGTTTCTGACTGTCCTGCTAACTCAAATGGAAGAAAATCGAATTTTCAAAAATCAAGATCTTCAGTGTCTTTTGGAGAAGGTGGCATGTATTATACATCAATCAAAACACCAGATCCCCAAGAAGTCAGGGTTGAACATATTTTTGCCAATAAATTGACTGAATTAAAAGAAAAACACATGGTTTCGATTCCCCATGTAATTTTCCATAAGGAATTCAAAAGTGGTCGTCAGGGGTCTGATTAGCTGAAAAGCAAGCGCAGGAATCTCAGACCAGGATCAGGCAGTCACACTTTTTCCCTATTCAATGCGGGCTCTTATTTTCTCTTCGGTGTTATCACACAAATTTGATAAGGTATCACATCAGAATTAGGCATCCACCTCGTAACATGTAAGCACTATATTGCAATTATTGAAAGCTATCCTGTTGTACCTGTCAGTGTTGTATCATATTTTTTCATTTTCAAACGTTTGATTTTCCAGAAGAAAAAAAAAAAATTGGAAGAACACCAAACTAACCTTGGTGGTTGCTACTATAATTGCTATACCATTTGTTTGTAAGGACAATTAAGCTACTCCTTGCAATTGCAACTAAAATTTAGTACCATACTTAACTTGCGTACGTTTCATAATATCTGTATCTCCTTTGCTGATTCCCATTCGACCTCTCTCACAAATTTTCTAAGGCAATTCCTGGATCTTGTAACAGCCTCATTTTTGCTGTTTTTTGATGGGCAAAAAAGTATTTTTTTTTTATATTTTTAAGTTGTACAAAATCCAGCTCATTTTGTTAGAAAAGGATAAACAATTCTGAAAAAAATTATGTGAAAACCTTGAAGAACCATTGAAACTCACCTCGCAAAACAGCCCTGCAACCAACCAGTTCTGCAAAAAATATTGTTGTAGCTTTACCTCAATACTTCAAGTGTTTCCATGTACATAAATCAGTGAATATGCACCACGATTATTGTTTTCTCTAATTAGCTACTTTGCAGCCAACTACAATCAATGCAATTTCCAAAGAAAAATCCCAAAATAGTCTTGGAGAAAAGTTTAAAAAAACTCAATTTTTCAATTGAAGTCTTTAACCTAATTTTCAAAATAAGTAAGTCAAAAATGAGCTCATTTAGTTGTATCATATGTTTTTGCCTCAAATTCCATTACCTGCATAAATTTGAATTATTTTTTCAGTGGCATTGACATACCTGCATTCCTAGAGTCAGTTGGAGCCACACAAAAAATAATCGACATGATGCGGAATTCGCAGACCGGCTATGTGGCTGTTGCATATACAATGTATAAAATTGCCACTCCCGTACGTTACTCAGTTACTCTAGGTAAGTTATCCAACTTGAAACCTCTCTCAAAATTTCAATTTTTCACGTCCTTTTTTTAAATTTGTATTCTTTTATAGTTGCCGATGAATACATTTCTCTAAGCAGCAGGCACCAATATACTCTCATCAATGTGAAATTGCGTGTTGAGTCATCATTCATTAATATGTGCTGAAAAAAGAACATTTGCTCATTAAAAGGATAATTACTTTAGCAGCATTTAACCGTTAGACACACTGTTTATCACACAGTAGTCCCACAGGCACACAAAAAGGATAACGTGAGAAATATGTACAATTTTAAACTTACCAAACCTGCATCAATCCTTATCAAAATCGTCGAAAAAGCCATACATTGGAAATTAATTCAGTTTCTCGGAAACTTTTGGCAATGAAGTGAAGTACAACATGAGATTCTTACAGGCTTCAGTGCCAGATCAGCCTTATCTAATGCTATAAAATAATAAAGGAGAAAGTAAATGCCTGAAAGAGCCCTTGAAACTTACGTTTCAAAAGCGATGTATGTGTGCATAAATGAGAGTTTTCACTTAATGCCTTTTTGGTCCTTAGACTTAGATTATTATTAAAATTGTTAATCATACTCTGGGGCCTGAATTTTGTCGGCAATTTTGTGGCTGACTGCAAGTTGGGGCAAGAATGTTGACTTGGTTATTCGATCGCTGATTAATGGTTTGTCCTGTTAAGGACGTAAGGATGCTTGAAGCTGCTGTAGAAAAGGCTCAGCTTGCGCACAGCTTGAGTTTTGAATATCATTATCCCCACTTGTAGTCGAATTTAATGATTGGATTTTGCAACTTTCAGTCGAGAAATCATGTTTCAAACGAACAGCTTGACTATCGAAGTGAAAAATTGTTGAATTGACTTTCAATATACAGGCAGCACTGTGTATATTGTATATGTTTGAAGAAAAAATATTCTAATGATATCTCCTTTTTTCTTTGTTTTCAGGTGGAACTACAATGACTATCAAACACTTAGTGAGGCATGGTTTGATCAAACCAGTTGATAGCAAGAAGATCCAGCAAATGTACTCTGAAACAAAGGATCAATTCATGGAAAAACGTGACACATTCAAAGAAAATATGATGGAGAAAAAGGACCGTATGTTATCACAAATGGCTGATGTCAAAAAAGAACTAAGCAAGCAGAACAAGAAATAGTCTCCTTTGACTTTAACTTCACTCACATCCAAGCGGAACGATGGCATGGTGCTTTGACAGCAAGGAGTGGAATTTTTCTAAGTCGTTGGCTCAATGCAAATCTTGAAGAATTATAGAGTTGTGATAGGTTTTTAAGTTTGAGTGTGTTGTCAGGGACGTAGATGTTAGTATAGGTGCCATCGCAATATTTAATACAGATCGAGGATCTTAAACGAAGCTGTTGATCAACTGTTATCATATTCTAAGGCGTGTCTTTCAGTTCAGGATTCTTACTTAAACAATTTGGTGCAACTTCATTCTGGCTTTTAACACAATTAATCAAAATTGACAAGTATGTTGATATTACGTATGAAGATTCCCAGACTCGCTAGGAGGTGTTCTGAGGTTTAAAAGCCATGTGTCTGAGGTCTGACATTGAGAGGAAACAGCATCTTCCTGAAAATTGACCTGAGTTGTTGTATTGTATCAAATTCTCAAGATGTCTTTTGAAGTAATGTTAAAGTTCATGATATTTTTTTATATTTTTATATTGTCTAAATTGAAGGAGGTGTAAAAATTGCTTATTTCACTGCTCCTCAGATCAAATTTTTATGATCCAAGTTTGTAGACTACCAAAGAATGTGTCATTAGGTTTTTTGAGCGGGCAAGTTTCTACCCTCAGTACTAACAGAGTCTTAAACCATTCTTACCAAGTTTTTTTTTACCTTCTATTGTAAAATTTGCCAAAACTTACTTCAGAAAACTTTTTCATTATCACAAATAGCAATCCTCCAACAGTTAGTAAGGGAGTTTTATGACAAATTTAAGAAAAACTGCATAATCGGAAAATATGAAAAATGTGAAAAACCTGATAGAATAAGTTTGACAACTTACCTTGTTGCCTGCAAAAGTTTACGATCTTGCCTTGCTCCTTGTATGTGGTGGAATTTTGACTGAAATATGCAGTCAATATCCAGCTTTAATTTCAGGTTTGCCTATGTTAGGCTATGACATTTTATCTTCCAGCTCTTTCTTACTCCTCAGTTTCTTTGTTCACCAAAAATTTTACCAGCTCTTCATCGATAAAATTTTTATTTTCTTGCTTTTTATCAGTATGGCAAAATCATTTTTGTATGTTTTACCAACTCAAAAAACATCAGTTTCAGCGCCTGAATGAGAGCGATACCATCATAAATGAAGCCCTGGGTGCAGATAGGACATTGCTTGATTGTGGTGTCTCAGAATCTTCGTTAATGTTTCATCCATCGTAAGTGAAGCAAATGTAATTTGTTGAAACTTTTACTAATATTTTGTATGATTTTGCAATACTCTAAACCAAGAATTCAGAGAATCCACTCAATAGATATCTTCCGTAATTAGAAATTAGCTGAGGAGATTCTGAAACACCACAACCAAGACGGCCCTTCCTGCAGCCAACGCCTCATAATATCATCATGTGCATTATTTTTAAGTAAATATGTACATACTATCAAAGCTTTAAGATTTGTTTAAATTTGTACTTACTTGGCCTTTTCTTGTTTAATTTGTATAACCGAGGAGCAAGGAAAAAGTACCAAATTTATTCTCACTTTGTTCTCATTACAGCAGTTTGAATAACATGCCCCAGTTATTTTTTCTTGTCCTAGGTCTTTTCATCAATTCTATAGACCAACAGACCAGGTGAGATTTTGCGCACCATAAGATATGTTTCCTCTTCAAAACTTTAGGCAGAAAACGCGAAAAATGTTCAAAAAGTCGCAAAGTAACTGATAAATGAGAACTAGTATTTTACATACTTCCTACGAAAATGTCATCAACTTAGCTTCTCGGAAAACCAAAATCCAATAGGTCAAATGAGTCTTTATATTTGACTAACAACTAATTAATTTTGAAAAACGTGAAACCTTTTCCACTCTGATACTTGATATTTTGAAGCAAGTTAAAAAAATGCTGTTTGCCCCAGAAATTCATCTCAGCTTAAAAAAACACTGGTTTTAACTAAGTGGCCAAATTGACACTAGAAGACTTCTTTGAGAGGAAATTTTCAACTGGTGAACACAAAAGGCGTTTCACACTGAAAAGTTAAAATCGTAACTTTTGATGTTTCAAACGTTCGGAGAGAAATTTTGACGTCGGAAGATGTGTTTTGGCGATTGATTTTCTACCCTACCTAGTAACTCGTCAAAACAATCAGAGTAAATAATACTTCTCCTTCCTTCGTCTGCAAATTTAACAGCATCAGCCCCACCTTTTTCTGAGATATTTCACTCATTGTTTTATTCATATTCTAGGTGTAGTCCAGCCGGGTCATTTTGACTGCCGTGGTTAAAAAATGGCAATTTTTTTCCAACTTTTGTGTCTTCTTTGCCACAACCCCAAGCTATTGTTATTGCCTAGTTTATGGTTTTGTATTGTTACCATGTTTCAGATGTTTATGTAAATACATAAAGCTATGTTTTTTACTCATACTCTGTCTAGATTTTCTTAATCTGGAAATGAAGGTTGCTTTTGACACTTTTTTTTTCATTTTCATAGTTCCATAATGAGTGAAATTATATTAATTTTAAAATAAAAATTTTCTGTTAGTTTCATGGTGTCCCTAATCAGTAAAATTTTATGAATTCAAAGGTTAATCTAAATTAGAAGAAAAGGAACTTTAAGATATTAAATTACTCCCATGAAAGCACCAGTTTTAATTCTTGGACGATAAAAATAGAAAGAATAATCATTGCATCTAGAGGAGTCTAAGTGTCTGCGTCTTCAGCTTCATACATATTACTAATAAGCAACTTAAAAACTCCGAGGTATGATAAGTGGACACAACATGAAACCATTTACAAGCTCGCACACGTTGCAAAAAATAAATAAAAATTAGATGTTAGGATGTGTTACAGAATCCGTACGACCCCTTCCTCAAAGACCTCACTGTTAATTCCTCAAAAACATTACTTCAGAAACTTTAAAAATAAAGTTGATTTAACAAAAGACAGAATTCAATTTTTGATATTCTTCACTGAGACGGGAAAATTTGCAAATGGGAATTAGATGTTATAATAGGATTTTGAAAAAGAACTTCCCCGGGTATATACAGCTTTGATGTTACCCTAAAGGTAGTACAGGAATTTCAGAAAAACATTACTTTTGTTTGAAAAGATTCGCCTTGAGGTGTAATTAGACTGATGCAATCCTCCCCCCCCCCCCCATCACTCTTTTTTATTTGTTTGTCATATTTTTAATTATACTAAAGAGAATTATTTATATTAGAGAGCAGTTAAAAACCTTCTCTCAGAGACAGAAGACTGCATAGGTAGCAATGAAAAAATTTAATGCCAGGAAATCCAGGTGGCTAATAAGACAAAACAAAATTTAGTTACAAAATTAGTTGTATTTTAGTAAATAAAATAACTCTTTACAAACATTTACAATTATGAACAATTAGGTAACAAAAATCATCAAAATGTACACAAAGATCAGGAATAACCTGCAAAAATTTACAAATTTACAACTTTTTGAACGTGATATTAAGTTATACACACTTTGACCACAAGAAGCCAATCAATATAATGATCATGCGCAACATTAACAATACGCAATCAATGAATTTGCACTACATTTGGCATGTTTCCTGAATACGTAATATTAAACGGACATGACAAAAAGAGAAACATTTTTTATATAATTTCAGTGAGAAAGATTCTCATTTTTGAAATTCTAAGAGTTGACACAGCTTAAAAAATTGTAGAATTTGTAAGAGCACATTCGATTTCAACATCAGCTCAACCAGCTGATGTTGGTGCCTGGCTATAGTATATGAGAGTAGAATATTACAATTAGAGAGCAAAAGTAAAGGAATATCTGGTTAAACTTAAAAGAAATTATTCAATTAGGAATTATTGAAATTGATGGGAAATTAAAAGGAAAGAAAATCAAGGGAAAATACAATACAAAATAATCATTAAAGATCAGTTATTAAATAATCCAAATTAAAAAATATCGGTAAAGAGGGAATAAATTAAAGCGCATTCAAAAATATTACTCTAATGTTAATTCATATGGTTCAAGTGTTAGGAGTCATGCGAATTGAAAATTGAGACTTTCACAGGATGGAAAGGTTATTAAGGTGACTACATAGTCAATTTCATACTAGGTATAATTGAAGAGGGTGCAAATAAAGCACAGTAAATAGGTATTTGAGGTTAGGAACTTAATGCTAGCACACTGGCAAAATAATCGCAAGTTCCTGATACATACTTAAGAAGGTAAAAAATGAAAAAGCTTTGATTACAGTATCAAGGAATGTATTCCATTGTATTTGATGAATATGCTTGATAATTTCAGTGATATTTATTGAATATTCAAGGCAAATTTTCAAGTTATGAAACTCGACAACACTCAACGCTTGAACTCACTCAACTGTTGAAAGTGCAAAAAGATCTGGACCTCTAGAAATTTTATCAGTTTGCCAGCAAAAACGCAAAAGGAAGATAAAAACTGAACAAAACTTAAAATAGCGATATAAAAATAGTCTTGGCAGTAATGACTGAGAGAAAAAAAATTATGACTTACGAACTAGAATAAAAATTTTCAATGACAAGGAGATTTTTATGTCTAACAACAATCGTGTTAAATGATAATATTCATTATTTTCAAGTACTACAACTTTCCAAGAACTGATCGCTAAAAATAAATCACAAGATCATTGTACATGAAGGTGTTGGAAGAAAGTAAATTAAACATAAAATCTGGGAGTATCTCCTCGATTTCAGTGATCCTCTCACAAAAAGGTCACTTTTTGCCTTATCATAGCTTAATTTAATTGTAATACTGTCTCAATAAAGAATTAGGAAGAAATTTAATTATGACTTTGAAATTAACAAATGTCTTCGATTGAACAATTGTTTCACACAATTTTACCAACATATATTTCCACAGACCTGCTCATGTGGGTGGATTTTGTTTGTTAACAAAAATCTAATTCCAGCAGAAAAATGAAATTCAATTGAACTACGACGAGCTGTCTATATTTACTTCCATGAAATTTTAGCGCTGGTATCTTGGATCTTACTGTGCTTCAGCTGATATTGGTTTCAGTACAACCGTAGCTCAGGCGGTTGTGCTGTTATGACCGTGGCTACCTTTGAAGAAGGTTAGTAGAAGCACTTTTAGACTGCTCCTGGGATTCAGCCAAAATGCATTTTTCTCCGTGTTTGTCCAATTTTCATGTTAATAGAATTCCAAATGAATACTACAGCCTTGATATAATATGCTATCTGATCGTACATTACTAGTATGTTTGGGGCAAATTATTTTGATGAGCAAACAGACTGACCCCTGGGTCTAATTCATAAAGCTAGAATTAACTAAGGAAGACCTACATAGAAAATAAAAACAAGAGGCTAAATGCTAATGAAAGGCACACTTATGGGTAGAAACACCACATTAATAAAATACTTAATTGAAGAAGCGAACTTTAGAAGTGAAAAAAAATTGTCATTTGGTAGCGGTTTTATTCTAGTTGTTCGCCGCTATCTAATCGTGAAAATAAGCTATTCTCTGAGGAGATGCTAAGTTGGAAGCCAAGATAAATGCGAGAGATAGTTTCACTCTAACTAGAGAATCTTACACCACACACAGTACTACTTCCACTGGTACAAACAACGTTTTATCTAGAAGGTAAATTTTTGTGCAAGGGTTTACTTTGTACAGAAGTAATGTGAGATCCAGAGTTTTGGCACAAAATCAATCTAAAAAGCAAAGTCAATAGACTTAAAATGAGTGAATCAGTAATATTGTGCGTTTGTGTTTAAACCCTTATAAAACAAATCAGCAAAATTCAATACACAAACAAAAAGTAGTTTGCGACCATAATGACTTTTTAACGCTGTTTTTGATGGTACCTGTATTGAATTCAGATTTCCTTAGAATCTGCCTTATAAAAACGGTATCAAAACATTCACTTTGGATTGGTACTTTCTTGTACCAGTTGCGTGCTTTCTGATCGAAGTTCCAAGTTCACACGAGCTTTTTTAAGGATATGGTGCGTTTTGTGAAGCTGCCTACAAATGGCACTCTCAACTTGCCGCTTTTTCTTATTAGCAGTTGACAGTTGATTGAGAGTCTCTTCAAGTGCCTGTTTGGTGCGCAGCAGTTTATTGCGCAGAGTAACATTTTCTTCTTCAAGTTTTGCGACCTCTGAACTGCTCTTGCCTAGAAATCAGAGATCAAAGTAAATAAAATCTGGTCTTTAAAAATATATTTAAATATACAATATAATATAATATTATATAATATATTTAAATGTTGATTGATAATATTCTAGGTTTTTTCATTCATGAATTTGAAAAAAGTCCCCAAAAAACTCTTGACATTGAAATACTGAGTTCACTTAAATCCTGATAAAGTGCTTTCATTCAGTTAAAATTCAAATTTTTCTTATTTTGGGCATCAGAGAATTGATTCGATTTTCTTGTGGTGTTCGTCTTTTCTCTTCATTTGAACATAAATGATATTTTGATAGAGTTCTTTTTCTGACAAGTATCAACTTTAGCTAATTCAAAATACTGTACTCATCCTGACTTCTTAATTTAAAAAATCACAGCATTGATAAAGGATTATTATTTTTTTTTAAATAAAAAAAAACTAGTAATTTACATTGCTTTTGAAAAGAACTTGCTTGCTTGGTGCTTGATACTTACAGAGTGTGACTTGGTCGCTGGAAGAGGCACGGCCTTGGTCACTCTCTATCCCAAGATCTGGTGAACATGTTCCCACATCCATATTTTTCTCCGTCATCTGTACAGAAAAAGGAATAAGTACCAGATTGTGAAGTCAATTGACCTCAGAAAAAAATTGTCTAAAGAATAAAATTTGTAAAAAGTTCTAAGGTAAAAAAAATCATTGAACATGATGGCATTATTGAAAATCACTTGCATCACACTGAAATCGATGTTGAAAGTTGCTTCACATGAATTTTGGTTAGCAACAATGCAGAGTTCTAATTTTTTTTATTATTATTATTATTATTTTTTACCAAAAAAGAAGACTTTTAGTTCTTGGATTTTTCACAAATTATTTTTTTTTCTCTTTTAAAGATAACTATGTGAAAGTTTTGAACAATAACTTTCATCAGATTTTCTTATTTTTTTATATAAAAAAAAGAAAAAAAAAGAAAAAAAAAGAAGAAAAAAGAAAAAAAAGACGAAAACATGAAAAAGTCACATTAGAGATTCTTACATATTTTGAGACTTTCACCAGCTAAATAAAGCATACTTTGATGTAAAGACAGTCTTTGAAACTAAACATCCACTTCAATGGAAAACTGGCAAATAATGGCAATATATCCTCTGGCAAAAAAGNATGCAATAGTGTATTTCCTTCGGAAAATACACTAAAAAGAAGAAAAAAGAAAAAAAAGACGAAAACATGAAAAAGTCACATTAGAGATTCTTACATATTTTGAGACTTTCACCAGCTAAATAAAGCATACTTTGATGTAAAGACAGTCTTTGAAACTAAACATCCACTTCAATGGAAAACTGGCAAATAATGGCAATATATCCTCTGGCAAAAAAGCTTTGTCATAAGAAAAATAATCTAATCCACAATGAGACCTGTTGAGATGCAATCTTCCTTATATTTTGACTTTGCTCATCTAAATTTGAGGGCTTCTTGAATAAAATGTCATCATGTACAAGTCTTCAATTCTCTCTTTACGATTGTACTGCCCTCATGAGTATGTTTCTAATAAATCACAGATAAGTAGTTTAAACTATGTTTCAACATCAATCCAGTTAATTTTTCAGAGGAATTTTTCTAAAAGATGGCATGATAAAAATAATTAACTATTCTGCGCTAGCTCATCCACCAAATCATTGAAACTATGTATGTCGGCCGCCTGACAGGACAAGACCCTCTCTTAACCATGAAATAAATCGCATTTTGATGTCTTATTGGGCTGCTTTAAAATTTCAATAATTAGCCCGCACGTTGTATTGCTCTGGATATTTTTCACTAAAAAAAGCAAAAGTTAGGGAAATACCTGCAATGGCAGCGCAAGTTCCTGATCCGAGACATAGTCTGATGAGTTTTCATTACTCCGCTGCCGTAGGTAAATGTGGTTATACGTCAGGGTTGAAATGCAAGTTTTCAGCCTTTGTGATGTTTGAGCATCATTCACAGTATCCTGAAATACAAAAGGAAGGTAATTAAAATAACTCTGAACTATTGTAGCCAAAGAAATGATGCCGAACTATTGCAAAATTCTTTTGGCTCAAAATCAGAGTGAATTTCTTCAATTTTCAGGCGTTAACATACTCTAAATAAATAGGGACAGTAAAATAGTAAAAAGAAATTTCAAGATTTTAAAACAGCAAAAGTTGATGTACGTATTCACTAATTTTTTTGGTTTATGAGAGGGACCCCTACGAAAAAGGACCAGGAGAACAATGTCGAAATGCCAGGTAAACAACTCAATTCTCTACTGATCTTAACTGACATCAATCAAATATTCTACTGACATCAGTTGAGATCAGTATGAAATTTCACTGTTTAACTGTCTAATATTGCTCTACTGATTAATTTTATTGGGGATCCTAATCCAGACCTGATTAGTTACAAAGTCTTATTTTTGAAGTACAATTCTTAGTACAAAAAAAATTGTGCGCAAGACTCAGGTCAATAGGTCAAGGACTAAATTATTTTATTTTGTTTCGTTACAGGAAAGCAAAAATAAAATATTTGATACTGAAGACATGTATGATTATGAAACTCTTATATTTATATTTTTAGCAACCTTTTATATTAATGTTTATGAAACTCTTATATTCCTGAAACTCTCATCAGGTTCGGTCAATAAGCAACTAACAAACAAAATTAAGTTTCAAAAAGTTGAAGAAACTTACAACATTCAGCGGTGCTATCTGTACAGGACTGCCCAGGAGTGATTCCTCGCCGGCTGAGGTGGCTTCGCCATCCGAGTACGACTCTTTGTAGACATACAAGTTGGCAAGCTTGGATTCTAGTTCCCCATTGGCTGCCTCTAGTTCAGCTACCCGCCTCTCTAGTTCCCGCTTGACTCGCTCCAGCTCTTCACCCTGCAAAAAAGATAAAAACGAATTAATGTTTTGGTTAGCACATTCAGAGATAGTCTTTCCTACTTTTTTCCTTAAATATTTTGTTATAAAAACTGACATTGCTGAAAAGCATTAATTTTTTCAAACACTTTAATTAATAAAATTAGAGAGAGAATGCTTTGACACAGCAGGGGATATAAACGCTAAACGTACAAGTCCAAAAGTAAATTAAATTAATGCAAACTTGGAGCAAATGAGCTAGATTTTAGGGCTTTCTGTTTTTAGAAATTAAGAGAGAAAAACGGCATGAATAAAGCGCAGACTTCAGAGAAAAAAAAAAAAAAAAAAAAAAAAAAAAAAAAAAAAAAAAATTCTGTGTTTTTTGCTTATCTAATTCCATCAAAGCAAACAAATCCTCATTTTTGAACAGGTTCATCTTCTTTAAGCACATTCTTACAATCTAATTGATATAGCTAATTTTTTTTAATCTATTGGTATCATTCATTGAATTTCTGACAGGAAAATTTGGAGTAATAAAAGTATAATACAAGAATAAGCAACATGCGAGACGGAGTGAACAATCAGGATTGTTGTCTTCAGATATAAAAAAGAAGGGAGGAAAGAAAATGAATAAAGTAAATGAGCTTAAAAATACACACACACTTACATGCAAAAAGTAAAAGGGCTGAAGAGAAAGTAAATGCTTATTATCAAGCTATTCTGAAAAGGAATCTTGAAGAAATTTCCTGACTTCAATTCCACCCAAGTGGCATTTTACAATTGGAAAGTTGTAATTTATTGAAATGCAGTTATAATTTTAATGCCACTTAATAGCAATAAAACCGGTGGGATCATCAACATTTGAGCAATTTCACCCAGTTTTATCAATTAAATCTCAAATAACTCCAATTTTTCATTGATAATATCACCGAGACTTGGCATTAAAAAAATAACGATTATGATGCAAGAAATCCATTTTTCGGTTCAGATAATACGCATAGTAATTTGGATTTTTCATTAGTTATGTTAGGGTAGCATTTACTAGCAAAAGGTATCTAAAATTATTTCTACAACACTCAGTGCAAAGCTGGTGTTACATGTCTGCCGGTGCTGTAGTGAGTGCGGTTCCGCAGCTCCTGCTGCAGACGTAGTTTGTCATTGGCCAGGCGAGTCCTCTCTAGCACTACCTCGGAAGTCGTGAGTGTTGCGTGGTCCAGCTGCCGGCGGAGTTCAGCCTCCCGCTCTGCGAACCATGACTTCAACTCGCGTTCACGCAGCTGGGCAAACACGTTAAATCCCCACCCATTATTCCCGCCACCACAAAGCAAATTTTAAAATTTTTAGTTGCAGAATCAGGGGTGCAGGAGGTTTAGAATCATACTCGCTTACTCGACTCAGACGTTGTTTGGGGACATAGATGAAATTCATTGATATTTAAACCCTTTTTTTTTCATTGCTTTATAATGGAAACTTCTGCACAAAAAAGATTGTTCATTGTGGCCATTTGAGCCTGTAGCGTACTGAGTAAACTACTTCGCAGAGAGGTCATCAACTGTAGAGACTTAAGGATATTAAAATTTAAGGACACATGCCCTGACACACGGTAATTGGGACACACAAGGAAATTCTGCACCCCTGTACATAATGTATACGGAATGTAAGAGGTTAATCTCCAATATCCAGATAAATACTTTTGACAGTCACGATCAGACGGAAAGAGAGATTGATGAACATTTTAATTCTTGGATGTGATAGAGCTGATGATGGAGTGTGCGTGCAGCTCCAAAACAATTGTTCCTTTTATAAAAAAGTGAGTGAGCTCAAAATTTCTATTTTTATAATTGACAATAGGGTGTACCATTTGTTTTAAAAGTTCACTGTTTAGAGGGATCCATCTTCATCCACAATTTTAATTCTTACTTTTTCCTTTACTTTAAGCGCCATAGCATTTCTCATTAGGTAATCATGCAAAAGAAGGGGAATTCTGGGGAAAATTTTTCCACTCTGCACTCTTGGATGGAAATTTTTCATGGAAATGATGAGACTAAACAAAATGAATGATAATTGAAATTATTAATTTTTTCTGTTCCTCAATGCCACTTTGAGTCTGAAGTGCAAAAAAAGCAGTTAAAGCTTTAAAAAAAATGTGTACACTGAATTAAAGTGTGGAAAATTTGGTTTTAAAAGTAAACCAACGGTTGTATTCACAGTTGTTTCCTTAACTTTAGGGCCTCTTTTGGCCATGAAAAATATATTTATAAGGAATAATGGATGAAGAAGTTGAGGGATATTTTAAGAATGTATAAAGGAACTCCTTCAAAATTGAAAATTAAATGGAGTCTTTGGATACTAATTATTTGTAATATCTGTTATTCAGTCGGGAAAAGCGTAAAGCACTCAAGTCTATAGATTTCTTACATAGAATACCCGAAGACAAAATGCACTCAAAATTATTTTTACCCCAATTTTTGGATAAACATCTCTCAACTTCTTTACCCGCAATAATTTTCAATTGGAAAAATGGCCCTGAGGCAATGAAATGACCATTTAAAAGGCCCCCACACTATAAAGTATTGATAATGGATAATGATAATAGATTTAATTTTGAAAAGTTTGGAAAAGAAAAGTGACACAAAAAATGGAAGTCTTAAACTGCCACCAATATTATCACATGCACCCGATATTCCAAGGGGAAAGATAGCTTAGATACATCAAACATCACTGCAACTGAAGGATTACTCCATTATAATTTCACTTTATGTATTCAATTGTGATGAACAAAATCGCCCAACCATAGGAGCTAAAACTTCATGGAAGTGCAGTTCTCAAGGAATAAAAGTGTGCATGTAACATTCCTACCTTGTACTGTTTCTCCAAGGTCCTCGTATGAGTCTCAGCATACGCACATTGAGATGAAGCAGCCTGTAACTGATAACGGAGCCCTGCTTCAGTCTCACGTGCCACTTTCTCGGCTTTATTCAGCTGCTCTGCGCGGACCTCTTGTTCCGCCTTGATGGCATCTACACAGTCTGCCATTTCTGCTTTTTCACGAACGAGGGCATCTACCTTTGCCCGCCATGTTTGCACTAATTCAAGTGCCTCCGCACGTTCTCGTTTGAGAGTTTCAATCTGTTGGGACATTTCCATCAGCACCCGCCGGTGGAGCTCTGCATTATGCGTTTCTTCTGCACGGAAGGATTCTAGTTCAGACTTCAAACCTGCAAAATCAGAGAAAAATTGCTGAAAACTAAGAATTGGCTAGGACTAATGGTACTACAGTTTAGGAATGAGACTTATACCAACTTGTCTTGGGATAAGGCTTTCATGAAGGTTAGGCTGTTAGTTAATTAATTTGTCTGTTCTATTGACAAGATGTCCTTGTTGTCCTAAGTTTTTTGAGTGTTATCTCCCTGTATTCTTTTTCCATCAGGTTGAGTTTTGTATTTTATAGTGTTCAATTGTTTTTTGAGTTTCCAGCCATTTCTGATTCAATTTAAAAAGATCATGTATCAGGGTTCCTAAAATTTCATAATTTTTTGATTCCCAGACATTTTTTGCTTTTCTCCCACTCCAAAATTTCTGAATTATTTATCTTTCCCTGAACAAAGTTGTCATTTGGAATTGTTTCATTTTAATTAGGCTGCTAGGATGACATGCTGCTCCCAAAATTCCCTGACTTCTCTAGGTTGCTGGATGCCTTGAAGAGATACATAATATTGATACTCGCATTGCACATTCTACCTGAAAAAATTAATTGGGACAAAATTCAAACTAACCAGTAACTTCTTTTTCACATTGCGCCTTAAGTGTGTTCAGTTCAGTCTCGCGTTGGTCCAAAAGCATTTTGGTCTCATTTGCCTCTGACCTCAGCGTACCAACCTCACGCCGCAATGTCATAGCCTCGCTTTCTCGTTGGCCGAGACGCATCTTTGTCTCTTCAAACTTGCGTTCTGTCTCACGGAATTCTCTTTCCGTTAACATGAGCCGCCCAGACAATTCCTCTACCTTTATTAAAAAATAAACGACAAATTGAAAAAATTAAGAAGTGGAACAAAGTTTAGAGATATCCATTTAAAAGAAAACTTTCAATAAATCATTAAAACAAATTTGAATAAATTGAAAAGAACAAAATATGGGTTGAATGAATTCAGGGAGTTTGAAAATTTTTCTGAATAAGAACAGTAAGCTTGTAGTTCCATTACCTAGAATGATTTTTGGAGATATTACAAGAAGCTAAAATGTTAAATTTTTTTGGATGTAGAAAAAAATCAATTTGTGCAGACAATAAAAATTTTGGATTTTGATCATTAGTCTTAAGCCAGCTAAATTTTATGGGCAAAATATAAAATCAAAAGTCTGTAAAACGTTTAATTCTTTTGGAATTGCAAACATTTGTCTCCTTGTGTTTAGTGACTTTTTTTTTATTTATTTTGGCTGTAGATTTTGATGACATCATTTGCCTTCGTTCAGCGGTTCTGATACTTTCATTGCGATAAGGTGAGAAGTTTGCAAAGCTCAACTGATTTTTTCCATTTAATTTTGTAAATGGTTCGTCAATTATGTGTGTTCACTTTTCAGCAGTGTCAATCAATTATTTTAAGTTTTGTATCTGGCTTACGTAAAATTACTGCAGATGTTCAACAAGTTTGTTTTTAGACTTAAGAGCATGTGTATCTATGGAAAAAAATTAGTGAGTGAGTGGATAGGTGGGCATTTTTATGGCGAATTCCAAGAAAAAATTTTCAATCATCAGAATATCCACCCTTAAACAAAATTGTTTGTTTGAAACTTTGATCGTTAATTACACATAATTAAGAATCATACCTTGGCCTCAGCTGCATGGAGTTTAGCTGTTGCCTCACACAGACTGTTCTCAACTTCTTTCACACGCTTTTCATTCCACTCTTGCGTTTCCTTGGTGCGAAGCTCAAACTCAATTGCACACTCTTTGAGTCTATTCTGGGCCTCCAAGAGGGCGCACTCCTTTTCCAGGATGCATTCCTTTTGCGTTTGAATATGCGCTTGAACTTGTTTGATCTCAACGCGAAGTTGTGAGACCGTTTCCTGTGTGGCTGCATGGGCAGTCTTCTCTTCCGCCAGGGCTGATTTGACTTGAGAAAGCTCTTGCGTCATTGCATTGTAGTCATTTTTGAGTTGAGAGAGGGATCCAAGCTCTGAGGTGGATTCAGCTAGTTGTGCTGAAAATTCAATGAGACATTAATGTATATGTTGTATGTATGTATGTATGTATGTATGTTGTATGTATGAAGGGAACATACATTCTCATAATATGGACATTTTAAAATCACCTTTAGCTCCTCAGATAAAAGTGTTTCTTAGTTATGATTTTTGTTTACATTTTTTTCTAAAACTACCAATTTCATTCAGTCAAAATTCAGTTGATCTGTTTTTTTCAAGATTGCTTTAAATACACAACCGAAGAAAGAAAGCAATTACGTTTCATTCGAATAGTATTTCCTTACCTACTACCAGGGCATTTCGTCTAAAGAAGTAAAGGTTATTCTGGTTTGATATCAAATACATTTCTTGCAAGAGATCCTAAGTGGACAGTTCTATTTCAATATTGTACATGTGAGCCAAGGAATAAATATTTCCGATATTTCAGTGATTTTTATTTGTGTCATTCCTGTGAATCAGAGAAATTTGCCAGCATATTTTGTCCACCAAGACAATGGCTCATTCTAATCAACACCTGATAAAGGACCATCAACGTACCTTCGAGTCCTTTAACTTGTGTCTCAAGTTGATGGATTGTTTCCTGGCTGATGTGTCCTTTCCGAGCCTCTCGTTGGGCAGCATCTTTAGATTTGAGCTGCGCATCTTCCAGCAAAACGAGGAGTGTCTGACATCGCGTATTGGCCATTATAAGCTGTTTCTCAAGAATTGCACATTTTGAATGGGAACTTGACAGCTGACTGTTCAGGCTTCTTAGTTGGCGGACGAATTCTTCATCACTTATCTGTTCCAACAGAGAAACACATTGAGATAAAATAGCAAATAATTTTATTTTTCTCAACAAATACGACATCTGATGTACTTTAAATAAATAGTAATTGCATGAAGAGAAAACGTAATGGAAACATCAACACACCTTATTAGAAACTGTCGCTATCACACCATGAAGACTTTGAATTTCTTGTCTCAATGACGAATTCATCTCTTCAAATAGACGGAGTTTCTGTTTCATCGATTTACCATATATTTTTTTACTCTGTTTACCTGGAACAATAGACCACAAAAATCACAAACTATAAATCTTGAAAAATCATAGGGATACAAGGCAAGATACACTGATGCTGTGAGGCTAGCTTGATGACAATGGAAATGGTAGTAGTGACCAACGTGAAGAGAGATCTTGAAAAAAGGGGCAATAATTTTTACTGGCAATCGCATATTCCGGGGGAAAATTTCAACATGCAATAATTAAAACAATTAAATTGATTTGAAAAAACTTTTCTGAACTAAAAAAATTCAAGATATATCGATAAGTACTATCCCCTAAAAACTATACAGTAAAACAGGAAGTCCTTAAAGTTTCAATAGGAGATGCGGGTTCCTACAGTTTCACCATCAATAAACATGAGAAGAGCAATTAGTATGATTAATTTTAGAATTGAAAATGATACCACCTTTCAATTTTAGAAATCGTTATACTCTTTATCATTAAACCGCAAGAGAGAAAATCCCAGTCAACTTCATAAAAATCTCTGCCATTAGCCCAGTTACTTGTGCTGAGGGCAGGATAGCTACTATATTTCAATGAATTTCTTTTTACCTGATAGTTTGAGTTTAGAGATGTCTTCTAGGTCAGATGTTTCTGTCTCTGAACATTGGTTAGTGCCTGCCATTGATTCCTTGCTGAGCCCAATTCTAGCCAAAGAGGCACATCGGTCTGGTTCAGACCAAACTTCTGATTCTGAACCGCATGATCCACCATAATCTGCGAACCTCTTGGCTCTGAAATGAATGACCCGACACTTGTACTTTAATAAAGTCGTCAATCTCAAAAAAGAGACATTTTGAAAATGTATTAACCTTTTGACAACGTTCTACATAATGCATTGAAGCTGATAAACTAGATTTTGTTTGAACTATTTGACTCATGGAATAAAGAATCCTGAGGACTAAAAAGAACTTAGTATATTGAAGCTAGATTGAAGCAAAAAAAGGGGTCGAATTGACCATTCATGATTTAGTTAGATTGGATGGTGTGATGAACTAGTGGATTTGTGAGACCGCAAGTAATTTTTCTTCATATTTGAGGATTTATCAATACAGGATACTTCTTCTTAACTTACTACTTCAAACAGAAAAATACAGCGGGAACTTGACAACAATAGCAACTAAATTCAGAACTTTTCGAAAAAAGGAATGTTATCGCATGGTCAAGGATGATTTCCTTTCTTAGTTTCATCAACTAGTGCAGAGAATTACATTTTTTCTTTTGTGTCCTTCTCCATCTATCTTTTGACTAGGGACTGAGTCCTTTTTGTAAGGGTTGGCTGAGCTTTGTATAATTGGATAACCTCAAGGTTAGAGGCAACATGGACCCCTTCTCTGGGTCTGATTTTTGCTCCTCAGATCAACACTCTCATTAAAGGTCAAGTTTTGCTCAATTTATGAAATTTCACAGATTTTAACTTACTTAGAAAATTGTTGCAATATTTGAAAGTTAACTTTCGGCAAACCAGTACAGCTATTTAAAAAAAAGAAGGGAAAAAGAGACTTTCTTGAAGCACTGACCTGGATGTTGGGCTCTCTAGAGATTTGCCGGTCACAGAGAACATAGGATCAAATTTGGATGCTCCTGATACTGGAATACAACGTTGTGCAAAATCTGCACAGAAATTGGGAAGGCTTGGGCAGTCTGACGCAGAACCCACTTCTAAATTCACCGAGTTGAGTTGCTCTGTAAGGGCAACTACCTCTGATCGAAGAAGATTCAGCTCAGCTTCTTCCTTGCCTTCAGCTTTTGAGGACGGTTCCTGTAAATATCAGTGATCAGTCACTCAATTTTGTACACCATGAAATGCTCTCTTGTGAGAAAAATGTATATTAGAGCAAGCAGTTTGCCAATCGAGACACAAGTTGTTTTTAGACAGAGTGTTGGTGGTGTATACTAAATTTTAATGCTCATGAGCAAAATCACCGACATTTTATTTATAAATAAGTATTCCTGGAAATTAACAGTGCATACTGATGATTCTTCCACTTTACTTTGATCACAGTTACTCATAAAACGGCTAATTCTAAAATAGGCATTACTGATGAATAAATCTAAGGTGACGGCAACTGTACCCTAAGTTTTTGTGAAGGATGATGTTATTTTTCTTTTTTTAAGTAGTACTATCTTGGTTACTGTAAAACAGAAACTTAACATTTGAATAGATCTTAGGAAATACACCAAGTCTGTAAACCTCACGCATTGGAAAAGTATCCTTCATTTAGTGCATCTGACCTATATTCCGAACAGTATGCTGCCTCATGAAACCTACCTTGGTCTCTGCTCCTGTTTGAAGAGTCTCCAACTCAACCTCGGCCAAAGCGTCCTCCTCACTCGAGAAATTAATTTCTGAGTAGTCTGGTAAGATCGGCTCAACAGATGGACATTTCAGTGAGAGCTCCATTCCAGACTCAGCATAGGTGCCATCCATAAATGAAGCTGACAAAGATTTAGACAGGAGCCGAGACTGTGTTACAGCTTCCTGGAGTATGCGACGCTTTTCCTCAGAGAGAGATGCATTCTGGCTTATGAGAGAGTCAAGGAACCCAGCTAGCTCTTCCAGCCGCGTTGTTAAAAGGTGGCAAGCATTAGTTGATTCTTTCAGCTGTTTCTCTGCAATCTGTAATTATGAAGAAAACCAATAAGGATTTTTTCTTGGAATGAGAAACAAACTTCCTGAGGACAAATAATTCCATATCAGCTGGTATTGGATTCTTTGTAACATTCAAATTTTTAAAATAGTGTAGGTAGTATACATGCGCAAGGATACTACAATAGAAGTAACTAACTGATTTTCTTGAAGTTTCTAAAGCTATACTTAGGGTGACTTTTTGGCACATAGCAGATAACATAGATTAACGAAGTAAACCATTGTTCTTTTTAGTCCAAAAATGAATCATTTATTACTACAGAACATTGAATAAGTCTTCAGATCAATCTATTGTCATTTTGTTCAAGATGTATGGCATAAAAGAAAACTTGATAGTACAGTTTCATTGTTCCTGTAAATTTCATAATAAGGACAAACATGCTCTTACATTAGATTTTTTTTAGAATATACCTTTGGCGTAATTTTGAACTTTATACAACCATAGACCTAGTCCCTCTCAATTACAGCCAAAAACAAATCTTCAACAAAATATCTTCAAAAAGAGAGTTATCAAACGATAGCTTAAAAAGCAAATTTTGCTTTAAAAATCAAAATCGTGTTTTGAATGTTCAGAAAAACAGATTGAATAGGTTCGGGATTACTTTTTTAAAAGTGCATACTTTAATAGTCTATTGTTGAAAAAAAACTTTCAGAAGTTTAGAGTTACAGTCAAAATTTTTAACTAAGGATTAGTTATTTTATTTAACTAATTAAGATAAAATTTGTTGTATTCTTTTTTAAGTTTTTGCTGGATAAAGCACTCTGGAAAGTAATTTTTTAAAGATAGACAGCTGATATGGGCATTCAGAAACGAAAAATGTGTTTTTAACAAACATTAAAAATGATGCCAATACCAATTTTAGCAAAGTTTTGTAATCAGAGTTTGTTTACTCGCACTGAGAAATCTCTTTTAAATAATATAAAAAAAAATAAAATTTTACTGAGACCTCGGCAGTAGTCCTGGCTTCATGACACTGCTCCATTAACTTCCTCTCAGCAATTTCCATCTGAGCGACTTTGCCACTAAGCTTTGTAACTTCCTCCAATGCAGTTTCCAACTGTGCCAGTACAAAGCGATTACCCACATTCTCTTTGTCTTCCAAATGCACAGAGAGGTTGTCCATTCTTGGGGCTAGCACTTCCACATTGGCTGTGCGCTTGAGAGCTGTCTTCAATGAAAGAAGTTCTGACTGCCGGCGCTCGGCCAGTTTGTTCAGTTTCTCAATTTCTCTGTTTTTACTCCACAGCTCTTTGTTTACAAGTTCCTGAAGATTGTAGGTGTGCTTTTGAAGCTGAGATTTAAGCCTGAAGGCAAAAGAAAATACAATTATTTGTGCGAAATTTAAAAAGAGCACACTGGAAATAGTGGAAAAACTGGAAATAGTTGAATTTGGAATTTAAGATAGCAATTAAATGTTTTAAAATAATTGTGAGACCATTATTGCACAAAGAGTTTAAATACATTTGAAAATTTTTATTTTCTTTTGGTAGCCTTGATATTCATGCAAAACCAATTATGGAGCTACAAAATGGATTTTAGATGCTTTTTTTTTTGGTAGAAAAATTTCTACAAACATGTTGGCATTAGGACATTACAAATATCAAGTTAAAATTGAGTTATGATGATTTGAAGTTTATGGTTCAGGAAGTTTTAAAGAAAACTCAGTTGGAGGTTTCAATCTGCCGTTCTGGGGAATTGTGATGGTCGAATTAGAACCAAACTTAACGCAGTCTATTGATTCAAAAGTGAACTTAAACCACTCTTAACTTGCTTCCCGATATACTACAGAACATTTTCTGATGAAAACACAAAAATGGATTTTCCGAGATAATATCTTGAACCACTTATCTTATTAGTGAACTTAATCTTCTTTCCATTGACTGGCTACAAAACAATATACAGAAATATATTACGATGCAAAGATAATAAGGGGAAAAAAAACAAGCACTTAATGTTACCTGATATTTTCTGTTTCTTTTTCCCTGAGTTGTTGGGCAAGATCTTCCTTCTCATTTAATTGCACTAACTCTAATTTTAGTTCAAGTTCACGCAGTTCTTGATTAAGCTTGTTGATCAGTGCGTCTTTTTCCTCTATACATCTTTCAAGGTGACTAGACTCTTTTACTTTTTCTGAGGCATCGCTGCTCACTTTCTGTAAAAGAGAAAAAAAAGTAGATTGAAAAATATTTGAAAGAAAAGAGAGAGCAGAGAGACCAGTGATCAGAGATAGTTCGTTGTTGATTTTATCATTCTTTTGGCTTCTTTTAAGACTCCATTTTCTAACCACTAAAACTATCTTAAACTATACTGTTAATACTTAATGGTAACTAGTATTATGCCTGAAAAGCATAATTCTATTAAGAATCTTAACTTCAGAGGAATGGCGAAATAATAATAGAACAATCTGGCAGTTGAAGTTGGAGTATTTTAGGTTTCTGACTGGTTTTCTTTTATAAAATATTTTAGATAAAGTTAAAAGTTCTTAACTTGGTTTTGTACATCCTTCTAATTTTTTACATCCTACCTGAATTTAAGATTCGAGAACATGGAGATCGTTTGAAATGCTTCAAAACGTTCAGAACAATCAAGGTCACATATTTAGGTTTTAAAGTTCTGCTCTCCTTTCAAATTTTATTTTCTGCGATTTCTGGGAAATCCTTGAGGGAATTTAAATAACAACTAGTTGATAAATTTAATGACCGACTTACTTTTCTGATTATTATCTAAATGCTTTCTCTGGCCAAACTTAATCTTAATATAATCCACCCATTAATAATTTATCCCAAAGGTCAGTAATTAATTACCTTGACCTCCTGTCTGAGTTGATGAGCTGTTCTGTTAGCATCTGCAAGCTCAGAATTCAACCTTTCAATCTCAGCTTTCAGTTCTGCGGTGCGTCCAGAATCGCTTGTTTGCTCTTCGTTCTGCAACAAAAAATGCCACTAGAGATATCTTACCTAACTGCTAGGCCTGATTCCCAATGTCTAATGGACTGAAGATTTTTCAAAAATTGTTCAGTGAATTGATTTGAATGATTTTCGATTCAATTATTGATTATTATTTGTATAATAAATGCGACCTACTATCATGAAGAGTTACCTTAGGATTTTTCTGATTGCTATAGACAGGAGAGTTCAAAGAATATACACGGGGCTAGATATGTGGAAAAGGGCTCGTAACTTTTACAGAAAAACTTTTCGCAGGAGTGACAGAAACACTTCATTTCCATTTTGAACAGAACGCAACATGTAGTCTTTCAAAATAATCATCAGAAATTTTATGCAGAGAATTCATAAGATAATAGGTTAGATAAAAGTTGTTCGAACTTTGTTATAATCTAGAAACGTAAATTTGTGGAGATAAATATCGTAAAATAACAGAATTATACCCTACAAGCGGATGCAATAATTTCGATTTTCAAATATCAAAGATAAAGAGCTCTCTCTAAGACCAGTCACACACTTCATTTTAAGCCTTAATGGTGTTTCGTTTTCATCTTTTCTTAGTTTGCAAACATATATCTAATTTTTCAAGATTGTCTAATTTTTGTCTTTTTCTGAAATTCTATGCTCTTGGGGAGAGAAAGTAATTCTCCATGAATTCGCTTAAAAATTTACTTGGAATGAATGAAGGAAGGACAATACTTAAATTTCCAGAGATTAAACGGATCAAAATATTGACACATTCATTTCTTCTCCTGAATTCAGGTTTTAAATACCTATTACAAGTTTATTCATTTTAATATTTTCCCTAAAATTCAAGATAACATGCTATTCTCAATTCTTCATTTCAGGATAAGAAAATAAAATGAAATACAATTACCTTTAAGAATCTTTCATTTTATCTCAAATAAAAAGTTTTCATCAGCATTTAACCCACAAAGAAATGCAATACCCACTTGAAGGTACACGAGTGGCATTTTTGTTGATGGTTCATCAAAGACTTAAATATTTGTGAGGAAAATTCAACTTCCAAGTTTTCACAGAAAACTACGTTACAGGAAATGACGAGAGCCGGTCAAAAATACCCTCTTTCTCATTGTCATCTAAGAAGGAAAACGGTCTAAAAGAGATTGTTCTTTAATAAAATTTTGTTGCTTATTTTTACGGCATAAATACTTGTCCATCACACTTCACGCGGATCCAAAAGCTTGGAGAGTTGAGATTTTGGCTAAGAAGCGAAGAAAAAAGACACATAGGGGTACAGTCCAAGGAGGCTTTATTTATGTTTTGACAAGCAATAAACATATATACAAACGATTAATACTACTTGGGTTAAGAAAATCCGAAACTAAAAACCTTGGGGAGGAATGGCGGGTTAAAGTCTTGTACATGCATAAAAGCCCATGCGTAGGGTAAGTTATGCACTGTCAACAGGATAACATGCTTTTAACTGATCAAGTTGGGGCTTTAGATATCATAGATGTGGATTAAAATGTTCTGTTTGGACGAAGCAGTTCATTTCAGGATTTCAAGTTTACGAGGGGAAGGGAAACTGTAGCAAAAATCAAGGAGAATTTACAAAATTAAAGGCATGATTTTAGACTTCGATAATTTTTCCCTGCAGATTTGTGTGCTGTTGAGCTATACTCAAGCACCTACATAAGTTGATACTCTCAATTTTTTTCTTTAAAAAAAATGAAATGGAATTGGCATAAATAATTCTCACCACTCGTTCAACAAAAAGGGAAAAAAAATCAACCAAAGAACTCTTTTCAATTTTTTATGTCTTTGCTGGTTAGGTCAAGCTCAGCATTTGATGCATATAAATTTTTGCAAAACAACAATGAGTGGAGAGTGATAAGAGAATATTGCAGGATATTTACAGGTACTTTTCTTTACGTTGTTAAAAAAAATAATTATTACATACTAGTATAACGAATTGTTAAAAATATCACAGAAAATATGAGAATGGTTTAATAATTATCTGTTATTTACCGGCATGAAGAAAGAAATGATCAAATCTAGACTTGCATTAATTGATGTGTATTCACTAGTTGTGTTTCTGGCACACTTCATCATCCTTCATTCTTTTCTGTGCCATACAATCTTTAATAGGCAGTCAATTAATAAGAAAACACAAAATGCGTTTTTCAAACTCTAAATTTGTATGATACACATTGACCTTGGTTAATAATTTATACGTTTAAAATTAAATCCACTGCTAAAATCTAACACTAATTCAAAAATAAGATTTTCATTAGCAGCTTCAATTTAGCTTGCAAACATATTTTTTTTAGCAGTACAGTAAGAAAAGAAGATCATCAGGGCAACTTGTATTTATCTCTTCTATAAAGGAAATTATCCTTAAATGTGCCTGATTATTTTTTGACACGAAAGATAATTACTAAACCAATCCTGTAATATGACAGCCTAGTAAATCGTGAAACTTCACATTTTCCCATTTAGCTACTGTGAAAAAACTTGCTAAAAAAAGCAAGCTAATTAAGTGAGAGATAATATATTCACTAAAAAATGACTAACTACTACACAAAGAAAAAAGGCAAAACTACTACATACACAAAAGCTTCATAAAATCTACGCCACGTATTTGATTGTATTCCAGAAAATATAATTGTAAAAATTCTCTACTTTATGCGATGAAAAAAAAAACACTTTTGAAGTTGAAGAACATTCAAATTTTGTTCTTTATCACAGGTATTACAATTACAGCATCGTGCCAGGTGTTTCGTACATTCTGTTAACACTAATTTTGAACTTGAAAGGGCTTTGAGAAATCACAAAATGTTCAAAAAGTAAAGCACAAAAGGTACAGGCAAGCAAAACTGGTAGATAGCGTCAAAAACCAAACGAAAAATTGCAAAAGCATAAAATAGCTGAGAGGAATTAAAATACAGCCTCCTTCATAGCGTTTCTTTCCTCATAATATTTTCCTTTCTTAATCCTGTTTCATAATAACATTTTTGGATATGGACCGAAATTAAAAGGACGTGATCCAAAAATTAGATTCTTATTTCATTCAATTTTTCACCCGATGATAGAAATACCCATCATCACATTAGTGGCAACTAGACTCAGTAAAACTGAAATTGAAGCCAAAAAAAGTATGCGTAATGCAGGTGAAAAAAATTCAGGAGGAATGTCGACTAGAAGTTTAAGTTACATTGATTTTTTGCACAAAGGTGAACTACAGGAAACTAAGAAGAAAATACAGTAAATAAATAGTGCAAGCAAATGGCCAAATTAGGCATCATAGACGGTGCTGGTTACCTGATCTTGGGCAGAGGATGAAGTGTCTTTTTTCTGCTGCCGTAATCGCTTGTTTACATGCATCAGGTACTGTATTGTTTTCATTGCCTTTGTATTCTCTACCAACACTTTGGTCAGCTGTTCCCGCAAAGATGCGTTCTCCGAAGGTGAGTCATCAGCAGATTTGCATGGCGATGTGGCAACACTAGTTTTATGCTCGGAGAAGCTAGGCTGACACGCAACACTGCTTTTCTTTTTCTAATAAAGAAATATAGAGAAAAATGAAATTCTAACTAAGAGTATCAATGCTGAATCTTAATTAGAGGCCACAAAGCTAACAAGATCCATCAACAAGCGCAGTTTTAGGGAAACAAAGAAATTTGCACAGAGTTCATCTGCAATTGAAAACCGTTTTCCAAAAATTTCAAATGATTTCTAATTAAAGACCATTTACCTAAATGTACTAAATATGTGATGGGCTATAATATTAACCTGACTCAGTGGAAGTTGGTAATATTAAAAAAAAAAAAACCTAGATGATTTTCCAATTTCTACCACAAACATTTAAATCCAACAGTATGAGACCTCTTGCTATTTATTTAACGTTTTCATACTCATTTCACGGTCTTTCTCCTCCATTAACAAGGATGAATAATTGAATATATGGCCGTTATTGTTCTTGAAACTCATGCCGCGGCAACTTTGAGTCAAGAAAAAAAAATTTGGTACAAAAAATGAGTAGGATATGTTCTTTGCTAAACAAGAATGAAATCATCTGCAAAGACAACATTAGAGCACAGGTAAAAGGTATTAAATATAAGAGCTGAGTCGGGAGTAGGAGACTATTTTTAATTAAATTCTAAAATAAACAACAGACCTCTTTGACATTTAAGAACACTGCAACTAGTGAAATATTTTATTAGACTACATGTAACTTGGAATAATTAAGTGGATTTTTCGCTTACCTTTAAATCCAGCTGGCTTTGACTACTAGAGGATGGTGGAGATGAAATTTGACCATTTACAGTCACTAACTTGCGTTTTAAATCTAAGAGATCCTGAAACAAAGACATTTGCAGTTTATTTTCAGTCTATATCTTAAGTAATTATAGCAGGATTAAAATAAAAAATAATTTTAATTATTGACAGTCATTACAACTGCTTGAAAGATCTTTGAAAAAACTCTGACTTTCTGCTGACATCGTAGCTACACAGTCAGTTTAATTGAAGTCTACCGCAATTCCAATATCAGTTGGTCGTTACATGTTTTAATACATACAGCTTAAGACTAAAGTTTGATTTTAGGAGAGCTAAAACTTCACACTTGTACATAGGTTTGTTCCTGTATACAGACAGTTCATCCAACTGAAAACGTCTGCCGCTAAAAATTTGAAATAATCGAGCTCATCTTTTGAGGAATATCTCACTTAGAGGTTCGCTTGAATAAAATAATGTATGAATTCAAAGAAGAAAAATATCTCCCATCACATGACGGTTAGAAGTTTAGATTTACTGGCTAGGTTAAGATGCCAATGAGTTTCAACAAGACTTTAACTCACCTTCCTCAGAGTCTGGTTCTGTGTTTCTAATTGAGCTTTCTGGACACTGAGTATTTGGAGTGACTCTGTTTTGGTTTGATAAGACCGCTGCAATACATCCATGGCTTTAGCTGTCTCTACTAGTAACTCATCCTTCTCTGACAACTCTTTCCGCAGTGTTTCTAACTCAACCTGGAACAAGCAATAATTCAGTCAATTAGGCGTGAAATAGAAATTTCCTACAACTTTGACCCAAGATGGACTAGTAAATATTCTGTATTTTTCCCCCTGAAAATTAGAGGGGGAGGAGGAGCTATATTGAGTCTGATATAATTCATGAGGAGCATATAGATTTCTTGAAGAACCCAACAAGAAGGCCAGGTCAAGATTCAGAAAAAGGTTTGGCGTACTTTCGGATCCATGGTGAATGCACGATAGACAAATAAATATGAACAATTCAAGAGTATTCAGGGACAATTTTTCAACTCGAAGGACTATCGACGTTTTTGGTCCAAAAATGTTCATCAAACTCTTCTCTACACTCCAGGTTTGTCAACTCAATTTGAAAGTTTTTGTTGACTAAAATCCCTTTTCCCGGCAATGGTCGAATATTTTCTCAAAACAAGAAAAAAGAAAAGACACGTAAAGAATAGTTTTCCTCTACTCCTCGGTGGTAGGAGAAAGGAGAGTAAAAGCTAGAATTTGGGATAGAAAACAAGGGGCAATTATAACGTGCTAAGGAAAAAAATCATAGGAGCATACGAATGTTACCGAAATTTCCTTTCAGAAAATATTACTTTTGAAGAAAGTTATGAATTTTCCTTGACATTTTCGAACACCTCATTGTCAGACAAAATTACGAACGATTCTTTGAAAAATCGGAAGAGAAATGTTCAGGAATTTCCCCAGGGTGTCTGTACTAAAATAGGCTGACCAAAAATCAGTACTTTTACAGTGCTTTTTCAGTACAATCCCAAGAAATTCCGTACCTTCTTAACAGAAAAATTCAGTACTTTTTCAGTGCCTCCAATTGACGAAATTTGAAAAATTTGAATTTCCCGCTCAAATTGCGACAAAAATGACGACAAAAAATGAAAAAATTCCGGATCTCCTTGCGGAATTCCGCATTTTTTCAGTACTTCCGGACCACCCTTAAAAAATCAGAACTATTTCCGGAAATTCCGGACTTGTAGACACCCTGGTTATAGTTATAGATCAAATGGAGAGTAGATTACACTACACAAAAGACATCGTTTGTACCTCGCTCAAATTATGACAAAAATGCCAAGAATTGAAAAAAATTCCGGACCTTCTTGCGGAATTTCCGCACTTTTTCAATACTTCCGGACCGCTCTTAAAAAATCAATGCTATTTCCAGACTTGTAGACACCCTGCCCCCCAAAAATTCGTGAGTTGTCAAAGGAAATTTGATAACGTCTGAAGGCTCATACATCATTCTTCCTTAGTACGGGAGAGTTGGTGCATGGTGGCTTACGCTGAGGTCGAGGATCTTCTGTGTGGCTTCCTCGATGCTTTTGATGCTCTTCATCTGCTCTTTGCGCTCCTCGGCGAAGTAGATGCGGAGCTTGAGGTTGAAGTTTTCCTTTTTGAGAGCGTTGAGCTGCTCCTCGTACTCCTTGAGGCTGAATCCTCCGCTGCCCCCAACGCCGGGCGTCGACACTGCAACACAACAAGAAGCAACATTACAACCTCTGCTTATAGACATGCACACTGGATCATCAAAAAAATAAGACAACCGCTGAACCGCGGTACGGTAAAAACTCGACAATCCGCAGTTGAAATTGTGATCCATGCCTCAGTGGGACTCAACCGTACTGCCGTGCTCAGGAAGAACGCCGTATGAACATTCGAGAGTTGCCAAATGTCCTTCTAGATGCTTATTTTTGAGGAAAGTTATGGGTGTTTTTCCTTGAAATAGTCAGGAACTTTAGGTGAAATTGCGAAAAAAATTATTTGAAAAATCGGGAGGAAAATATTCATAAGTTTATCAGGAAATACGGTTTTTATTGAAGGAAATTTGGCAACGCCTGAAGGCTCATACGGCGTTTTACCTTAGCACGGCAGCGTAGTGTTTAGAATTCTTGATCATGCTCATGAGCTCATTCCTTGATGAGAAACCGGAGTTTTCTTCCGCTTCCCTGGGATTTTCTTGGAAAAATCTATCAATTTTTTCTCATTTTTTGGCCGATTCTTTGGCGCACAGACAATTTTTAAAGTCAAAAGTGGTACTGATGTTTGTATTATCTAGGCAATGGAAGGTTCTCCATAATTATGATGATTTAAATATCAAATAAGTCATTCAAGAGGTCAAAAATGGCGGCTTAGGTGCAATAACATAAACCTAAATAACAACAGGTATTTAAAGTTTCCACAAAATTTGAGGACGAAATTGTCTCTAAGCGGTAGAAGAAGAGATTCCCGGTTTTTTGGAATAGTTTCTCCGATTTTTCCTGAATTTTGTCGTCCTTGATGAATAACGGGGTTTCCCGGTTCAAAGAACTTCAAAAAACGGACACATAACCTTCGTCTGTGGGACCCCAAGTTCAGGTCTTACAGATCTCTGAAGTTTTCGGATCGTACGTCCGAAAACTTCAGATATCCATGTGACCTGAACCTCGGGCCCTTTGGACGAAGTTTTTCCCTCCGTGCATCATCATGTTTAAAATGCGCCGATTTCTTAGTGCGAAAATTAAAATAAAATAGTAGGGGCCATTTGAAAACAGCAACTACCGCTAGGTACTTGCAATTTGAAAATCAAAGTGACTTTCCACTGCTATGGTGATCGCGACTACACATCTGTCATGAGGGTGTTTGTATCAGCATCCTCTTTAAAAATCAAAAAGAAAAAGGACATTATCGAATATTTGAAGACGTTGCGATGGAGATACGCATTTTTCAACATTCACTCGTCACCTACCAGCCAAAGTATTACGAGCGCCATGCGAAGTATCAACATTTTCGCCGCCATTTTGTATTTTTACATAGAATTTGTTGGTGGAATCTGTTTGAAAATGTAACTAAATTTTATCGGCAGTACAAGGAAAATTCAGTGAAATTTTACGACAGCTTTATCGAACAATTTCTGGGTAAAAATTAAAGTAACGACGAAAGTTTTGAAATTTCGCATGGCGCTTGTGATACTTCGGCCGGAAGGTGACGCGCTATCGATGAGTGGAGGCCACATGAAGTGAAGTTTTTCCTCTCAGTTGAAAATCGAAAAAGAAATCAGTATGATGCAGCAGAATATGTACGGTAACTAGACGATCGCTTACTTCTGGTATTGATTCACTTCAAATAATGATCCCGATTCGATTCAAATCTGTTGAAAAGGAGTGGAGGTGGAACTGCGACGGAGGAGGAAGACTCGAGTTGGGTTAGGTTGGGTCACGCAACTAAATCAACTTCACGGCTATGCTGGAGGTATCGCACGGATATGAAGGCGCGTCACTGTTCGATCGCGAAGATTTCTTCGAAGACTGCAACTAACGGAGGATTTGTGTATACGAACAGCAAATCGATGGTTAAAGTCGATCAATGAGCAGCTTCGATTTTGACGTTGCGAATTTCCAGTCTTGATCTTTTTTCTCAAATAAAAATACAGCAGTTAGGTAACGAGGGGAAGGGGGCAGTTACGGTTGAAGCAATTTTTGTTCTACCGTCGTCACAGCGAGAGCTGCATCGCTCTGAAATTTTAAAAAAAAAACCCTTCTTATTACTCAGTTCTCGGTAATCATTCTATAGTCATTTAAAAAAAAAAAAATTCTGACCTTTTGAGTTGAAAAACACTCATCCCTCAATTCACACTGGAAAAAAAAAACATATTGGATCTAGAGTCCAGACTCTTAAAAACATCGACAAGAAAAAATACTCTTGATTCAATCGGATTTTTGCTTAAATCAAGAACCAAGCCTCTTAATTTGAGCAAAAATCTTATTGAATCAAGAGTATTTTTTCTTGTTAATGTTTTCAAGAGTCTGGACTCCAGGTCCAATGTGTTTTTTTTCCAGTGTAATGGGCCACCCGACAGAGTAAGGCATTGAGCACTTGCGATACATGTTACCTCATCAGAGTTGGTCGTAGAACACGGTGGAAAGATCTGAAATTTCCAAATTTCAATGCATGCGTGAAGAAAACGTTTTCTCTTTGCGCTTATTCACAGTTTCCGCTTGCCAAGAAACCTAAGTCTACTCGAGCCAAATGAGACGCGAAATGCACTTCAGTCCACGTAGCGATGAAATAATTCTTCCAGCGTGCTACAATTTCTAAAAAGTTTATCGTATATGAAAGGAATAAGAGGATATTTGTAGAACCTCATTTAATAGTTATCTACCGAGGGTGAAATAATTTTCCATGGCCGAATTGAGGTAAGGACGGTAAATCTGTTTGGTGGCAAGCGGGAAGTTTGAATTTACTAATTTTAAGTGTAAATTATAAACATCATGAATTCCTCTCTCATCACATGATGTAAGAATTTTTGAACGTGTCTAGCAGGTTCTGCGTTAAATTTTGATGGGGGCGGGCTACAATTTCTAAAAATTTGATCGTGCATGAAAGGAATAAGGGGATATTTGTGGAGCCAAAAATAGTCCTCATTACCGAGGGTGAAATAGTTTTCCATAGCTGAATTGAGGTACGATAAATCTGGTTAATTTGTGCAAGCGGGAAGTTTGAATTCACTAATTTTAAGCATAAATTATGAAGATTAATTCCTATCTCATCACATGATGTCGAAATTTTTGAACGTATGACCAGGTTTTGCGTTAATTTTCGATGAAGGAATTTACCTTGTGGTACTTCAACTGTTGACTTAACTAGAAAGCCCACGTCAAAATAAGTTTACGCACTTTCAGACTGACACAGAAGATCGTCTGCAGTCACTTTTACACGTAGAAAAAATGCAAGAGGCAAGAAGACGGATCTTCGGTCGTAGCTTAAAAAAGCGCCAACTTACTTGACGTGGACCTACTTGTCTAGGTACTGGTCCTCTTTTTTCCCTGGGTGCTGTCCGATAGCGTCGTTCCTTTAACAAAACTCTGTTTTGACGTGAAGGGCGCACTTCAATTTTCATGCAAGCTCTGAAAAGAATCGCGCGTTACATGGACATTGAGGCTCATGCCAAAAAGAGTTAGGACATCGGGAGAGCGACGGTATTAGACACAACACTTCATTCCTGGCGCTAAACAAATGCAGTTTCCGTCGCGGTTCGAACCGGCAACGAACGGGCACCTATTTTGGCGCGGTGGATGTTTTGATGCATACCTCGAATTTTTGAAGGCAAAACGACTGCTTCATAACCCGAGTGATGAATGACTGCCTGCGAGAGCCCGCTGCTTCCGCTATCAACGAAATCTTTGATGCACGCGCCAGGGTCTGGCGACAGCTCAACTGGAAACTGGAAAGACGCGCACTGGCATTGCCACGGTACAGGGATCAAAGTTTCCCGGGAACGTACCTCTTCAAAGTGTGAGTGATTACCGTGCAAACGAGAATGTGTACGTACTCTCTGTTATAGTTTCGTGGGAAAGAAAAAATTAGACGGGCGTAGGAAAGTTCCCACTTGGGATTTCTACCGCGCTGTGGCTTGTCAAATGAAATGTCAAATTTCTCTGACATTTCTCAATATTAACCCTGACTTTACCAGGGTGTCTAGTATTTTTTAATTTTGAAAAATCCTGATATTTTCCTGATATATTATATAAAATTCCTGATTTTTTCATTTTGAAAATTTCTTATATTTTCCTGATTTTTCTCGACTCCTGGCACGGTAGGCAAAAAGCAGTAAGGATTTCTCCGCTGAGGAGATACACAGAAGAAAAATTCCTGATTAAACGTCCGATTTTTCTGATTTTCCTGATGTTTTCCTGATCGGCCAAAATTCCTGATATTTTCCGGTTTTTCCTGATGCTAGACACCCTGTTTACCGACAAAATTCGTGTTACTTCCACTGTTTAAAAACGCAGAAGAAACCCTGATTACAAAGGTATACCAAAATTTTTCGACTTAGCCAGATGCTAAAATTCCTCGAATCTTTGATTCATTTTCTTTGATAGGGAACGCCGACCGGACGGACTACATTTTCCCCAGTATGGTTTTTTTGACTCCAGACACTTTAAAATGCCTAGCAATAATGAAATTTCAGCCATTGTTTTTGTATGATTTTTTACGGTGACAATACTTCCTCTACCCGCGTTACTCTTCGAGATAATATACTTAATAGGAGCGGAAATTTTGAAACACCGCAATGAAGATACGTGGTTCCGCACTTAGACCATCGATATTCGCCTTCCGGGTGCATTTTTCCAATCATGGTTTTGTCGACTCCAGACACCTTAATATGCCTAGAAATAATGCTATGTCAACCTTCGTTTCTGTATGATATATTTACGGTAACAATACTTCCTCTACCCGCGTTGCTTTTCGAGGAAATATAATAGGAGCGAAAATTATGAGACACTGTGCAGGGTGTCTACTAAAATACGCTGACCAAAAATCAGTAATTTTACAGTACTTTTTCAGCACAATCCCCAGAAATTCCGCACCTTCTTAACAGAAAAATTCAGTACTTTTTCAGAACCTCTATTTGACGAAATTCGAAAAATTTCAAAAATTTGAATTGCTCGCTCAAATTATGACAAAAATAACAAGAAATGAAAAAAAAT